TCCATCCCTTTGCTGACTTGAACTTTGATGGCGTCATTACTTGGGTCTGTCATTGGTGCCTATCTGGGGTGATTAGCTGTTTGTGTCTCCTCAGGAAAAGTTCATGCAACTAACAAAGGGCTATTAGAAAGCAAGGCAGCCAGGGGTGGTGGTGCGCTGGGGAGGCCGAGGCTGCGGATCTCTTGGAGTGTGAGGCCAGCCTAGTCTACGTAGTGAATTTTAGGTTAGCCGGGGCTACATAGTGAGATCCTCTCTTAAAAAGGGGAGAGGGGAGCCGGGGGGGTGGGGGTGGGGGGGGGGGTGGGGTGGGGTGGGGTGGGGTGGGGTGGTGGCGCACGCCTTTAATCCCAGCACTTGGGAGGCAGAGCCAGGCGGATCTCTGTGAGTTCAAGGCCAGCCTGGTCTCCAAAGCGAGTTCCAGGAAAGGCGCAAAGCCGGGCGGTGGTGGCGCACGCCTTTAATCCCAGCACTCGGGAGGCAGAGCCAGGCGGATCTCTGTGAGTTCGAGGCCAGCCTGGTCTCCAAAGCCAGTTCCAGGAAAGGCGCAAAGCTACACAGAGAAACCCTGTCTCGAAAAACCAAAAAAAAAAAAAAAAAAAAAGGGGAGCGGGGGAAGGGGAGTTGGAGATATGGCTCAGCAGTTAAGCTCTTTTGCTGCTCTAGCAGAGGACCCAAACTTGGTTCTCATCATTCACATGGTGGCTCACAACTATCCATAACTCTGGTTCTGGAGGAGCCAATATCCACTTCTGGATTCTACAGGAATTAGGCACATACATATATGTAGACACTAAATCTAAAAAACAAACAAACAAACAAAAAAGACAGTGGGGATACCATGGAGGCCCAGGTGCCTGGAAAGGAAATGCTCCATCAAGGAGATGGGGCGTCCATGAGCTGACTATCGAGTATTTAAGAGAAGGGAGGAGTCTTCCAGAACAATTGGAGAGGCAATTGGGGTCTTAAGATTCAAAATTCAGCCAGGCATAGTGGTGCACACCTTTAATCCCAGCACTTGGGAGGCAGAGGAAGGTGGATCTCTGGGAGTTCGAGGCCAGCCTGGTCTACAGAGTGAGTTCCAGGACAGCAGGGCTACATAGTGAGACCCTGTCTTGAAAAAAAAGAGAGAGAGAAGATTCTAAGTTCAGACCTTTCCACAGCACAGCAGGAAATGTGACAAGAGGCCATTCCTCCAGGCAGCTCCAAGGCAGAGAACCAGATTAGAGCCACCCTCAGGCCCTAGCATGGTCCTAGATTACCTAGAGTGCCAGTATTGGGAGAAGTGGCCTTTAAAGAGATATCTGAGGTTGAAAAAGGTCCCTCAGTAGTAGTGTGCCCTAATCCAATATGAGTGGTATCCTTATAAAAAAATTTCCTGGGAACATTGGGCATGGTAGCTCATGCTTGTGATCCCAGCACTCAAAAGGTAGATCAAGAGTTGAAAGCCATGTTTGACTATATAGTGAGTTCAAGGCTAGCCTGGGCTACATGAGACCCTGGAGAGAGGTGGGGGCAGGGGACTACATGAAGGCACAGGGAGATGATGACCATCTGTAAGTCATCAGTCAGTTTGACGATGCACACCACCCAGCAGGTGTAGCCACAATGCCCTGTGGTTTGTGCAAGGAAGCTACAGGTAGTGAAAGTATGCCAGCTGCTTGTCTCTGACAAGGTTCTTCTCTGGGTCTGGCAAAGAGTGCACATACCTTTCATTCAGCATCAGTATGAACATGGGCTGACATATCTGTCTTTACTATAAGTCAAGAGTAGACTGGAGTAAAGTGTATTGACAGCAACACTGGCTGGGGGAGGAGGAAGGGAAGGTACTCTCTCCACAGTCAGTTCAACGCTGCATGGAGACTGAGAGTCAGTGTGCACCCTCTTTACCTTGGTTTCCAAAACCGTACACCAAAACCATACACCTTAGTATCACATTGCAAATAGTTTTATGGACAGGGTACCCTTGGAGATGGCAGATAACATATAGTACCAAGTTACTAATGAAAGACATTTTTTAAAGATTTATTTATTTTATGTATATGAGTGCTCTATCTGCATGTGCGCCTTTATGCCAGAAGAAAGCATCAGATACCGATAAAGATGGTTGTGAGCCACCATGTGGTTGCTGGGAACTGAACTCAGGATCTTTGGAAGAGCAGCCAGTGCTCATAACAGATGAGCCATCTCTCCAGCCCTGAAGAAGGACATCTTAAAATGAACATGACAAGAGTTATGAAATGAAACCTAGATGGCTGGAAGCAATACACAATGTTAATACCACATTCAGAGCAGGCAGAAACGCTTAGTTACCCTGTGCACTCAGTCAGCTAGCCTCTTTTTTGTTGTTTTCAAGACAACAAAACGTTTCAAGCTGTCCTGGAACTCACTATGTGGATCAGGCCCTGAACTCACATACCGCCTGCCTCTGCCACCCAAGTGCTGGGATCAAAGGTGCAAAAGCGTGTCCCACAACCACCCAGCTTAGTCAGATAGCCTCTTAATTCCATCTACTCAGCCATCTGGAATGTTCTCAACACCACATGCTAACTCTACACAGGAACAGAAGTGGGCTGAGGGGAAACACCACTCATAAGCACAAATAAATTACAGGACATTACAATAATTACAGTGCTACCTGATACATACCAAGATTTGACCAGAGAGTTGAGTTAGCTAGAAAACTATAGTGAAATGAGCTGCATAGCTTTCTCCTTCACTGTTCGGAGGAAGGAAAGACTGTGTGGGCTGTCCTGGAACTCTCTTTGTAGACCAGGCTGGCCTCACACAGAGATCCACCTGCCTCTGCCTTCTGAGTGCTGGGATCAAAGGTGTGTACCACCATACCTGGCTTTCTTTCTTGTTCTTACTACCTCCAGCGGCCTGACGTTTCAGAAGGCAAGACACTAGAACCAACCTGTGGCAAGGGGCTCTGACTGCAGTTCTTGGTATCCAGAGAACATCCTGGCATGGATCTTTAGAAACAGGTGCTAAAAATATCTTCCTATTCTTGCAATCTCCGTATTTGACAAACAGATAAACAAGGGTGCCGAATATGTTTGCAAAGGACAAAATGGTAAGTGCATCCAAACCTCCCAAGAAACATTTTCATGCAAAATATTTGATTCTCCAAGGAATCTCAGCATAGAGAAGTCAGGAGCCAGTCAAGGGACACCTCTGATGATTTATGGAAAAGGAGAAGGCAAACTATAAAGATAGGACTAAGGCTGTCACACAGTGATAGTGAGCTTGATTAGCATGTGTGAGGGCCTAGGTTCAATCCCTTGGACCAGCAAAAACAGAACAAATAAATGGGGGAAAATCCACTTCAGTCCTCTTGAATGTACCCAGTATTGTGCTAGTGGTCATAAGAAATTACAAAGGATAAATCTTACCATTGACAATGCAAAGAGCTCTTAGATTTATCAATTTTAATAGTTAATAACAGTTATGGGTGGAGGACACACTTACTGCATGCGACACAATATATAACATACCACCTCACTGCATTCACTCTTTCCTGCAGCTAACTAGTTTTCTTCAAGTCTGTATGCCTGGAAATGGTATGAGGCAGATGGCTTACAAAAAATAATCTCCAGGTTCCCCCCAAATTACATAAAAAAACATTATCCCCAAATGTTTTTGATCAGTGTCTTTTCATATTTTTGGACAGATAGCATTAAATACTTAGCTAAAATGTGAAAGAATTCAATCTAGCAGGGGATTTCAAATGCCTTGAACTTTTTTTTTGTTGTTCAGAGCTAAGGACCGAACCCAGGGCCTTGTGCTTGCTAGGCAAACACTCCACCACTGAGCTAATGCCCAAACCCTTGAATTTTTATATATCAGGAGAACAAGGCAAGCTGGATGGGTGGTAAAGCCAGCCTACCATCCTAGCACTTGGGAGGTGGAGGCTGGAGGGCCATTAGTTCAAAGTCATCTTCCCATACATAGTTTGAATCCAGCCTAGGCTACATGAGACTTTGTCTTTGAAAACACATACATACACACCAATACAAATAAACTTAAATGAATAAATAAAACAAAATTTAAAAAGAAAGGAACAGAGGAGAGTTGAGTCTTTCACTGTCAGATCTCATCTGGGCAGTCTGGAAATTCATTGGCTAGTGAGTTGGGTATAAACCATGCAAGCTGTGGAATGAATGGCATCATGGCAAGGAGATGCCTGCAGCCTTGCCACTAGGGGCAGAAGCCCCTCTATGGTTCAAGATGCACCATTTCTATTGCTATTGGTGCGAGGAAGGATATATTGGATGATGTGCCAGGCGCTGGTTGGAGGTGCCGAGAAGCTGCACCTGAGTAAGGTTTAGTTCTCAAGAGAGCCGAGGGCCGCGTTCCCATCAGTGTTAAGGCACGCAGAGGACACACATATTTGAGGTAGTGATGATGTCTGTGAAGGAAAGAAAATTGGGTGATTTGACTGTGAGTCGGAGAGGATGGAAAGCAGATGTTTTCGAAGCTCGAGTAAAACAATGCCTCTTCCTCTCAAGGAGTAAGATGGGAAGTCAGGTCGGCTGATTCGGCCTCGGAGGTCCGGCCAGGCCCGCAGAACAAACTTTGCGATGGGCTCTGCCAAAGCCTTAACACAGAAAGGCGTTCAGCAACGTGCAGGGACAGAAAACAGCGCGACCACCGGCCCGAGATGTGGCTCTGGACCGTGGACCGATCGCAGCAGGACCGGGGCTCAGGCCTGGCGGCGGACGATCGCCCGAAGTGCCCACACTGGGCCGAGGCTGTGGTCGGGCTCCGAAGTCCGGGCTCTATGCAGAAACGGAGCTGGGCGGGAGGCCGGAGAGCCAGGACCAGAGACACCCTCCCGCGCGCCGCCATCTTGACCGAGGGGGAGGCGTCGTGGGAGGGGCGGGGCCTGGCGAGACCCAAACAAGCCCACGTGCGGGCCGGACCGTCGCGGTGACGTCACGGTGCGTTGGCGCGCGCGCGCCGCCGGCCTTACCCTTGCCGCGGGGCCGTAAAGCGCGGAAGGTCGCGGGCCACTGCGGTCCCGGAACTTTCCGCTCCGCGTCCCGTCCCCTCCTCTCCCCATGCCCGGTCCCCCTTCCCGGCCCGCGCCGACCCGCTTCAGCCGTTGTGCTGCCCTTCGCTTCCGCCGGGCGTTGCTGAACGCGCTGCCCGCACTTGCGGGCCCCTGAGGTAAGAAGGCTGGTCCGGGCGGGCCTTATCGTGCCGTGAACTCCCGCGTCCTCCACGCCCCTGTCCTCTGCGCTTTGGCCTCCGGCTCCCGGCTTTCCTCCCGGTCTCTGAGGCGGTGCGGTTGGGCGTCAGAATTTCAGTCAGCGGACCTGTGCAGACCTCGGGGGCCCCGCGCCGGCTGCCCCGGGCCCGCGCGCGGGCTCTCCCAGGACGGCTGGGCCTGGGGGCTGGCTGCCGCTCGGACGGGCACGCACCTGCTGTCACAGCCAGCTGTGCTCCCCACATGTCTGCCGGTGGAATTGTTTTCCCGCCTAGAAATGTGCTGTTCGGTTGTGCTCTCAGAGACTGAATCAGGGCGGTGGGGTCTCCAGTGGGTGACTTGAGGGGACTGTTGTGTATGATACTGAGAGGTTCGGGTCCACGGTCTCCAAGCCCACTTTGAGCATTTCTGCAATCTTGCAATCTTGATGTATAGGAATGGTGTGTGGTCGAGGGTCTAGTTGGAAAGGCATCCTTTAAGGGTCCGCTTTTGGGCGACAGGGACTTGTATCATTTTCTTAAACTCTGTTGAGCATCGGGTGCATTTGTCGAAAAACACAGCATCCTCAACCCGCAGGGTCAGACTGCAGAGGTAGATTCTGTTGCTGTTAAGCTTGTCCTGGTGATTTCACCGAGTTCCGTGTGGGAGGTGCGTCAGGCTACATTCCGCTTTCACTTTTTTGACCTGTACCTCATCCTGTTACCAGAGGAAGAATTCAGGAGTTGTTAGAGCTGTCACTGGTTTTATTTGTCTTTTAAAGATAGGGTCTCACACTGTAGCCCAGGCTCACCTGGAACCTGGGGCATTCCTCCTGATTCAGCATCTGGTGTGGTGGGATTACAGGTGGGGAGCATTCCTCCAGGCTCGAGCTGTCTGTAAGATCTGAACAGAACCAGTTTGGGTTTTAAGACTGTTTAGATGCTACTCTAACTACTAGAAAGACACAGTTGTTTTCATGAAAATATAAAAATTTTAAAACTTGCTGACGTTTTATTTCGAACGAGTTTGACATCTTCAGTGTCCGTTTTCCTGGCTTTACCCCCTTTTCCCATGGAACTTTGGTTTTGCTGCCAGACCTTCTGGAGTAAGATGCTCATACCTTCTCTTCTTGGTGTACTTTTATCTTTCTTAAGCTACTCCCTTTTTTTTGTTAGTACATTTATGTATTATGAGTGTTTTGCCTACATGTATGATGTACGCACCACGTGCATGCTTGATGCCCACGAAAGTCAGAAGAGGGCATTGGATTCATTGGAACTGAAGTTACAGATGATTGTGAGTCCCCATGTGGGTGCTGGAAATTGAGTCCAGGCCCTCTGCAAGAGCAAGAAGTGCTCTTAACTACTGAGACATCTCTCTAGCCCTCCTGTCCTGATGTACTTTAATCCCTAATTCTTCACTCTTGAAGGTTATGATGAGCATAAAGTCAACAGTCTTTGTCTTGGCCTTGTCAGACTGGGCATTGAACATGGCTTATTCTTCCCTGAAACTCCTGTTTGTTTTTCTTTTCTTCCTTTCTTGCAGCATGAACATAGACTTAAGAAAAAGTGAGAAAATTCTGAAGAATGGGAGGGGTTCAAGGGAGGAATACTCATGTATTTTACCTTTGCAATTCTTTTCCCAGCTAGGGGATGAGCTTCTGATTCTGCCTCACAGCTCTTTAGTCTTTGCTTACCTGGATTTCTTTGAAATGCCGTTTGAGCAGGTTGTGATGGCCTATGCCTTTAGTCCCAGCACTGGGGAGGCAGAGGCAGGTGGATTTCTGTGAGGTCTAAGCTACCCTGGTTGACAAAGCAAGTTCTAGGCCACTGGCTACAAAGTGACACTCTGTCTCAAACAATAGCAGCAAAAACCAAAACAAGCAAACAAACGAAAAAGAAAAGCAGTAGTATCAATCACGATAAATGGTAGGCTCTGAAGCTAGATTTGCCAAGTTTAGTCTTGGATTATAGAGTGGTCACTTTATATCATTTTTTATACTTTTATATATAGGTTTCCTAAAGGATACAGCACAAATTATGTCTGCCCTGTAGGGTCATACTGAGATTAGTTGAATAGTTGGGAAATGTCTTGCACATTGTAACCACCATCAGAGATCAAACCTCATGCTTGCCTAGCTGCCGCTTTACCCATTGAGCCATCTCCCCAAGCCCTCTATGTGTTTACTGAGATAGGGTCTGGTTAAGTGTGAACTTGCTACATCTCCTAGGATGATCCTAAATTCCTTCTCTTTTTGCCTCTTACCTTCTCACTGCTGGGATACAGTTGTCCACTGGCCTAGGAGCTCTATTTAATGAGGGAATGATCCTCTCTTTCTCTCTCCCCCTCTCCATTCCTCCCTCTTCTCTCTCTTTCTCTGCGTTCCTCCCCCTCCCCCTTTACAGCTTCAGAGTGCTGCTTTGATATCAGTTGCCCATTTGTATTGCATTGTTTGATTTAGGCTTTCCACAACTATGTGAGATAGATATTTCTAGCCCATATAACAGTAAGGAACCTGACACACAAAAACTTGCTTGAAGTCATACAGGTAATGAGATGTAAGGAGATTTAACACCTACATGTGCTTGCAGAACTTGGATTCCTCCACTGGATTGCTATATTACTCCTCCACTAAAATGCCTTACAGATAATTAGAGAGGATGAAAAGTTCTGTCCTGGGAGAACACAGAAGACTCCCTTACCCAAATACACAATTATATAGGTGTGCAATAGGCTGTGTTCTGAAGAGATACCTTTGCTCAGCAGACAAGTGGCAGGAACTGTGCCAGTTAGAGAAACAGTGCACACAGGTCCCTGGCATGGAGGAGAAAGTTAAGCCTGACTTGTTTGAGGAGTAGTCTGCTCCAGCTTGGTGAGAGTTTGAGAGGCAAGAAGAAGAGTGAGGCCAGAGATAAACTGTAGCTAGAGTTTTCCTGCCTGGCCCACAGTCAGGACGAATCTCTCACCCGCCAGTCCCACAGCTGCTCAAACCCGACCAAGTAAACACAGAGACTTATATTGCTTACAAACTGTATGGCCGTGGCAGGCTTTTTGTTAACTGTTCTTACAGCTTAAATTAATCCATTTCTATTAATCTATACCTTGCCACATGGCTCGTGGCTTACCAGTATCTTTACATGCTGTTTCTCATCATGGCGGCTGGCAGTGTCTCTCCGCCTCAGCCTTCCACTTCCCAGTTTTTTCTCCTCCTTGTCCCGTCTATACTTCCTGCCTGGCCACTGACCAATCAGTGATTTATTTATTGACCAATCAGCAACACATTTGACATACAGACCATCCCACAGCAATAAACCGCATAGTGAAAGGTGTTGCACTTTGTAGTAGGAGCTTTGATTTTTCCCTGCAAGCGTCAGCCTGTCACTGGAAGGTTGTGAGAAGAGCTGTGAAATAAGATTTCCATTGTGGAAGGCTGATCGCTTACTTCTGTGTATGGATTTCAGTGTGTGAGAGTAAGGTGTTCACTTAAAAAGTTGAAGCTATAAGCCTAAAAGCTTCCTCATATGACAGGGAAGGTCCTGAGGAACGATTGAGGAAGAGAGATGAGAAAGGGAGGAATCCAGGTGACACTCTGGATTCTGGTATGCGGAGCCACTGGGGACACAGTGTAGGAAAGATGGAGGGTGAGGGAGGGGTGTTTGCATTTGGATGTGCTAGTTTTCCCTGTGGGATCAAGTGGGCATGGCCATTCTGCACATGATAAACAGATCTGAAGCTCAGGGTGCAGGATTCTTGGGTCAGGCCATGCATCATGGTGACATTTCAATCACCCTGGAGAAAGATAGGAAGGCTCAGGGTAGAAGACACGCTCCAGCAAAGAGGTGTGGGCCAGGAACTATAGAAGTGAAACCAGGAACCTGTGTGCAAGTGGGAAGAGTGATCTGTGGTCTTCATCAACTATGCTCCAGTGTGATGATGTGTGAGATATATCCTCTGAAACCAGCAAATTGAGTGTTTTTGGTGAGAAGTGTCAGCACTATAGTAGGACCAAAGCCTGTTTTTTGTTGCAGGGGGCTGAGGATATTTGGGGTAGAGTATTTTCTGTTTATTAACTGTCAAGTGAAAGATAGGTTTTTGAAAGTTTCATTTATTTATTTATTTGAGACGGGGTCTCACTACATAATGCTGGCTGGCCTGGAGCTTGCTATGTAGATCATGCTGGTTTAACTCTGTGCTTGGGTTAAAGGCATGGTACCACCGTGCCCAGCAAGAATGTCTTATTTTTATTATTATTTTATTATTATTTGTTTTGTTTTTTTGAGACAGGGTTTCTCTGTATAGCTTTGGAGACTGTCCTGGAACTCGCTCTGTAGACCAGGCTGGCCTCAAACTCACAGAGATCCACCTGCCTCTGCCTCCCTGAGTGCTGGGATTAAAGGTGCACACCACCACTGCCTGGTATGTCTTATTTTTAATGTAGTGTTGGTATGAAACACAAGGTCTCAAGTATTGGGCAATGGTTGTTCTGCCACTCAACAAAATTTATTCACCCAAGATTTTTTTTTTCTTTTTTCTTTTTTTTTTTGAAAACAGGATCTCTCTACATAGTCCGGGTTGTCTTGGAACTCAATATGTAGACCAGACTGGCTTCAAACAGAGATCCAGAGATCTGTCTGCCAGCACTCCCAGCCTTAAGAATAAGTTTTTGTTTAAAAAATTCAGCTGGGGATTGCAGAGATGGCTCAGTGGTTAAGAGCACTGACTGCTCTTTCAAAGTGCCTAGGTTCAATTCCCAGCACCCACATGGCAGTAAAAGTCTGTAACTTCAGTTCCAATGGAATCTGGTGGCCTTTTTTTTTTTTTTTTTTTGCTTCCTCGGGCACTGTATACATGTGTTGCACAAACAAATATGCAAGTAACACACTCATACACATAAAACAAAGAAACAGACAAACAAGCAAACTCAATGGTAGAACTAGGGTGGTGCACACCTGTAATCCACACTTTGGGATGTGTATGTAGGAAGATCAGGAGTTCAGGGTTATATGTGGCTGCACAGTCCAGGGTACTTAAGATTTTGTCTCAAGAACAAGGACAGAAATCTCAATGGCCATTGTCTAGTCACTAAGGTATGAGAAATTGGAACTTGGGACTTGGATAGTGGAAGACAGAATTCTAGGAAATTAGCATGCACACTGGTATCAATGATTGTGATATGGGAACTCCTAGTTCCTTTCTGTATTCGAATTTTTACAAAATTCAAAGTTTTTGTACAATTTCAAAGTTTTTGAAATTATTTTATGATGGGGCACTTTTGTCTCTTTTATTAGATTACCTAGTAGGAACTTGAGCATATTACCATGCTGAGGAGAAGAGCAAATGGCAGGGAATCATTGATTGCAGGGTGTAAAAGAGGCCAATAGATTGGTCTAAGGTGCAGAGAAGGCAGGATGAAGGGGTTCTAACACTTGTGGAGAGACTCAACCTATTGAAGGTTTCAGGAATGAACTGGGAGAAGCTTTCTGCTTAGGAAGGGAAGAAAGCAGGTATGTAGAAGGCTTAGAGAAGATCATGCTGTGGGCTCAGAACCCTGAGTAGAAATACTTATGGTTTTCCATGTCATGTCCTAGAGCTGGTACAAACCTGTTAACCTGAGTCACAAAGGAGCAGGGGTGTCTTAGATTTCTATTGCTATAATAAGACATCATGACGAAAAGCAGCTTGGGGAGGAAGGGTTTATTTCATCTTACAAATCTCAGGTTCATCATCCTGGGAAGTGAGGGCAGAAACACAAGGCAGGAACTTGAAGGCAGGAACTGATGTGGAGACCATGGAGGAGTGCTGCTTATTGGTTTACTCACCATAGCTTGCTCAGCCTGCTTTTTGTTTGTTTGTTTATTTGAGACAGGGTCTTTCTCTATATCCCTGGCTGTCCTGGAACTCATTCTGTAGAACAGGCTGGCCTCAAACTCACAGAGACCCACATGCCTTTGCCTCCCAAATGCTGGAATTAAAGGCATGAGTCACAATGCCTGGCTGATCAACCTATTTTCTTAAATAACCTAGAACCACCTGCCCAGGGCTGGCAACTGTCCATAGTTAGCTGGGCCCTCCCATATCAATCACCAATCAAGAAAATATATCACAGACCTGCCCACAGATCAGTCTGGTAGGGACATTTTCTCAGTTGAGGTTCCCCCTACCCAAATGACTCTGGCTTGTGTCAAGCTGACATAAAACCAGCTAACACAAGGGTCTTTTCCAAGCATGACCAAGTGGTAATGGTTGATAATGGAATAGGGAGGACAGACAGTAGGACAGGGCTAAGATAATGTGTAGCATTGTCTTCTCCAGGGAGAGCTGTGTTTTCCTTTGGGACAGGAGGTGGAGAGAGTGTTAGTAAAAGGGTGTGTATTTAACTTGGGAATGTGGGCTAGAGAGCCCAGTGGAGAATTTGAGATGAGGTTGGGTTTATAGCTAGGAACTGGTTGTATGAAGATTAGATTTCAGAACAACTACTCAAGTAGAGAAGTTTATATCTTTGTTGTTGTTGTTATTTTTGTCTTGGAATTTTTTGAGATGTAGTTTTATGTAGCCCAGGCTGGTCTGCAATTCAAAATCATCCTGCTTTAGCCTCTCAAGTGCTGGGTGATAGTTATGGGTCACTGTACCAGACCATGAACCTTGAGATAGAGCCTAACAGGAAGCCAGAAGTGATTTCTCTGTGCACCCTGTCTGCCCAGTTCTGAGTGCTAGAGAGATGGCCCAGTGGTTAAGAGCATCGTTGGCTACTCTTCTAAGGTGCCCTGGTTTGATTCCCAGCACCCATATGGAGGCTCACAACCATCTGTAATTCCAGTCCCAGCAGATCTGACACCCTCTTCTAACCTCCTCAGGTACCATGTAAACATGTGGTGCATAGACATACATGCAGACAAAACATTGATTATATAAAAATAAAGCTAGGGGCTGGAGAGATGGCTCAGTGGTTAAGAGCACTGACTGCTCTTACAGAGGTCCTAAGTTCAATTCCCAGCAACCACATGGTGGCTCATGACCATCTGTAGTGAGATCTGATGCCCTCTTCTGGCATACATGCCAGAACACTGTATACGTAATAAATAACTATATCTTTTAAAAAAATCTAAAAGACATTTGAAAAAATGCAGTTCTGAGAGACTTCTCTGATGATGTGCATGTGTCGTTGGCCTTAGAGGACATGGACCAATGGAGAGTCTGTAAATCCAGATGCTGGTAATGGACATGGTGGCAGCTTTACTAACTGCTCTAAAGAAAAGGGTAAAGGCTAAGGTCATCAGGAAAAGGATCATACTCAAAGTTGGATTTAAGTTGAGCCCTGGAAGAGTAAAGTCTGGACAGAGACAAAGACATAGGAAACACACACACTAAAGACCACATATCTACCACCCTGTGTCTTAAGCTCTTTCTGTTTGTTTGTTTTGTTTTTTTTGAGACAGGGTTTCTCTGTGTAGCTTTGGTGCCTGTCCTGGAACTCGCTCTGTAGAGCAGGCTGGCCTCAAACTCACAGAGATCCGCCCGAGTCTGCCTCCAGAGTGCTGGGATTAAAGGTATGTGCCACCACCGCCCAGTGTGTCTTAAGCTCTTTAATGCTGGCATAGTCTGCCAGAAGGTCAGCCTTTCGTTTCTTGAGAGTTAAACAGTTCTCTGTATTCCTGTTAGATTTTGTTGAAACTTTTTTCCTCCCAGCCAGTAAGTAACTTCTTGTATACTGGGCCACACCAGATCAAATATTCAGTCTCTTGTGGTTGGGTTCTTCCTTCAGGTCCTCTTACCCAGCATTCACTTAATTCCTTATTGCCATTCTAAGCAGATATGATAGTCAGACCTGTTCTGTTGTCTTTAGTGTGTGTGTTTCCTATGTCTTTGTCTCTGTCCAGACTTTACTCTTCCAGGGCTCAACTTAGATCCTACTTGGAGTATGAGCCTTTTCCTGATGACCTTAGCCTTTACCCTTTTCTTTAGCCTATTAATATTATCTTGTAGAAATATGTATGACTTAGCCAGACAGTAGTGGCCCATGCCTTTAATCCCAGCACTCAGGAGGCAGAGGCAGGAGCATCTCTATGAGTTCGAGGCCAGCCTGGTCTACAGAGTGAGTTTCAGGACAGTTAAGGCTACACAGAGAAACCCTACCTCAAAAAACAAAAAAAGAAATATGTATGACTTGTGTATAAATGATAAGGTAAAACCCTTTTCCTTCTTTCCATGGAAAGGTGTCTAATACTTTAGTCTTTACTGCTTCCTTTGGGGCAAGCCCAGGCCTTTCTTCACTGGGCTCTGGGTCCCGTCTCTTCTCTTCACAAGGACTCTATTCTTTGTGCATCTCCCTGGCTCTTCTGCTGGATTGCAGGTGTTGAACTCAGGTATAGGCCCTGTGGCAAAGTGCCTCTACCCACTAAGCTATCTCACTGGCTCTTATTCTTTCTTTCTGTCTATGTCTCTCTGTCTGTCAGTATCTATCTTTAGACAAGATCTCTTACCCAAGCTGGCCTGGAATTCTCAGTGTAGCTGAGATGACCTTGGATTTCTGGGGATCCTCCTGTCTCCACCTCTCAAGTGCTAGGATTATAGGCTGTGCTGCTAGGCCCAGATTAGATTTCTTTATACTTGTTTTTTGTTTGCCTGCTTGTTTTATTTATTTTGTTATTGTTGTTGTTGTTGTTGTTGTTGGTGGTGGTGGTGGTGGTGGTGGTGGTGTGTGTGTGTGTGTGTGTGTGTGTGTGTGTGTGTGTGTAACAGGATCTCCCTATGTAGTCCTGGCTGTCCTGGAAATTTATATGTAGACCAGGTTAGCTGTGAACTCACAGAGATTCATCTGCCTCTGCTCTAGAGTTTAGTTCTCCTCTGGGATTAAAGGCATGTGCCACTGTGCCTGGCTCTCATTTATTTATTTATTTATTTGTTTGTTTGTTTATTTTGTTTTGTTTTGAGCAGAATCTGAAACATAGGTCCTCAAATATATGTCAAATGAGTGACTATTGTTCTTTGTTAAATTCTTTTCTCATTAGTCCTGCGAACTGAGTTAAATGGAGTGAAAAATGTTTGTTTTTTCTTTTTAGTTTGGTCTTTGGATCTTCTCGGCTGAGTGAAACCATATCTCCTAGTTGGTCATGCTTTACCGGCTGCTGTCGATTGTCCAGAGACAGAGAGCTGGCCCAGGATGGCAGACATGGTCATCAGCAAGAAGCAGCACGTCAGCTGCCGAGGCACAGTCCATTGCCCTGCCTGCCCAGGCGCAGGTGGTCATCTGTGGGGGCGGCATCATGGGTACATCCGTGGCCTATCACCTCTCCAAAATGGGATGGCAGGATATTATCCTTCTGGAGCAGGGCAGGTAAGGATCACATTGGTCTGATTTGGGGTGTGGCTGCAATAGCAGTATAGGGCTCCTTCATTCCCTGTCTTTTCCATAATATCAGATCTGTAGCTAATCTAAATGTTGTACACGAGTGTGAAAAGACCCATGGTGAAATCTGCACTGTGTTAGATATGTTCTAGCACTCATGATTTCTGCATTTTAGAGAGGCAGCAAACTTCAACAGAGTGTCTTAAAATGACATGTATTCATAGCCCAGCTCACCTTACTCTCTGCTGTCATCCTCTTCACACAGCATAGCTGCATTCTATGCTCATGAGATGAACAGAAGGGGCTACATTCTACCCATTTTCTTATATTAATTTTCATTTAATTCAGCATAGTTTTAGATTTACTGAGCTTGAGAGACAGTCCAGCAATTAAGAGCACTGGATACTCTTCTACAGGAGCCAGGTTTGGTTCCCAGCACTCACGTGGGAGGTCATAGCCATTTGTAACTCCAGTTCTAGGGGAACCGACACTCCTTTCTGGCCTCTGTGGGCATAAGGCACATATGTGGTATGCAGATATATGTAAACAAAACACCCAAACACAAAAATAAATAAATTTAAAAATGACTATTACAATGTAAGGTGTGTATGTGCGTGGATGATTCTTTCCTCTACCTTTGTGTTTTTGGGGGTGGGTAAAGATTTTTTTTCCTCTTGAGACAGGGTTTCACTATGTAGCCCTGGATGTCCTAAAACTCACTCTGTAGACCAGGCTGGCCTCGATCTCAGAGTGAGTGCTGGGATTAAAGGTGTGTGCTGCCACCACCCAGCAGTCTTTTTTTTTTTTTTTAATTGTGTGTGTGTGTGTGTGTGTGTGTGTGTGTGTGTGTGTGTGTGTGTGTGTGTATGTATGTGAGTACAGCTGCCAGAGAGCATCAAATAAGTTGGAATTAACAGGTTGTTGTAAGCTACTGTGTGGGTGCTAGGAACCAAACTTGGGTCTTTTAGAATAACAGCAAGTTCATTTAACCACTGAGCTGTCTCCCCAGTCCTTTACTTTTGTTTATTTTTGTTTATGTGTATGACTGTTTTCCTATAGATATGTCTCTATAACACATACATGCCTAGTACCTTCGGAGGCCAGAAGAGGGTGTTGGAAGCACCTCCTGGAACTAGAGTTACAGATGGCTCTGAACCTCTGGGAGTCAAATCCAGGTCCTCTCCAAGAGCAGCAAGTGCTCTTAACTGCTGAGACAGAGTGTCACTGTTGTTTTGGCTGGCCTGGAACTCATAGAGATCTGCTTGTCTCTGCCTCCAGAGTTGTGAGATTAAAGGCATGTGGTACCATGCCCAGCTGGAGTTACAGACTTATTGTGAGCCACCATGTGGGTGCTGGGAATCAAACCTGAGTCTTTTGTAAGAACAACCAGTGCTCTTAACCTGCTGAAACTTCTCTAGCCCTAGAACCTGGACTTATATCCATAGATACAAGTGAGTCTTTCTAACAGTATTTTGCATCTGTGCTGCAGGCTGGCTGCTGGCTCCACAAGGTTCTGTGCTGGCATCCTAAGCACTGCTAGACATTCAAGCATTGAACAGAAGATGGCAGACTATTCAAACAAACTCTACCATCAGTTAGAGCAAGAAACAGGGATCCAAACAGGTAAACAGATAATCTGCTGTTTGTTGGTCTTCTTGTCTCCAAACCCTTACTCCGTAGTTGCTGTTTGGTCCTGTACTCTGTCTAATCTGGTGATTAAGACTTGTGTTTGAGCCGGGCGGTGGTGGCTCATGCCTTTAATCCCAGCACTCGGGAGGCAGAGGCAGGCGGATCTCTGTGAGTTCGAGGCCAGCCCGGTCTCCAAAGCGAGTTCCAGGAAAGGCGCAAAACTATACAGAGAAACCCTGTCTCGAAAAACCAAAAAAAAAAAAAAAAAAAAAAAAAAGACTTGTGTTTGAGAATTTGCCTTAAGCCAGGGTGTTCCTTTGGACAGGTCATGTAGCTTGCCTTTAACTTCTTTATCTATAGAGTGAAGAAATTACAATCAGTATCCCAGATCATTTTCAGAATCTATAACTTTTTTATTTTTATTTTATTTTTTTGGTAGGAGTGCTTGGGATTGAACCCAGAGCCTGAAGACCCTGTCATTATTGTCATGATAGGAAAGTTTTCCTAGGCCGTTTTAAAAATATATTTCACTCATTTAAGTATAGTAAGTGGCAGCACTTAGCTCCTAAGCAAGAGAAGGAGAAAGAGCAAATGTTCAGGTCTTAGCAGTTAAATTGACTCAAAAAACTTAACCAATAAAATATAGTTGTAGTTAGGGGAAAATAGCACTATATACATACATGTATATTAGCGTTAGTGTTAGTATTATATTATTAGTGTTAGTAATAGTAGAGTACTATTTATCTTAGTACTCTACTAATACTGGGGACTGGTGTGGAGGCCAGCCAGGGGGATGTAAGGACAGGAACGCTAGTAAACAAATGATCCCACTTTGATGATGCAATGGGAGAAGGGACTACTAGTTGGTACAAAATTGATGGGTTATCCAGAAACTGAGTATAGTTCAGTTTTCTGGATAATGAAATGAAATGCTGTTGTTTTGTTTGCTTCTAGTCCCTGCCCTGTGGGAACATCACCAGACTCCCTGTGGGGTAACTCAACATGGCCACCAAGGACTTTCAAGCGAACTCAGTAAAAGTAGTTCTGCCATGTTGTGTTAATTGAATTTTTCTTTCTTAATTTTTATTTATTTATTTTTGGCTTTTTTTTTTTTTTTTTTTTTTTTTTTTTTTGGTTTTTTGAGACGGGGTTTCTCTGTGTAGCTTTGCGCCTTTCCTGGATCTCGCTCTGTAGACCAGGCTGGCCTCGAACTCACAAAGATCCACCTGCCTCTGCCTCCCAAGTGCTGGGATTAAAGGCGTGCGCCACCACCGCCTGGCTTATTTTTGGCTTTTTAAGACAGGGTTTCTCTGTGTAGTCCTGGCTGTCCTGGGACTTGCTCTGTAGCCCAGGCTAGCCTCAAACTCAGAGATCTACCTGCCTCTGCCTCCCAAGTGTTGGGATTAAAGATGTGTGCCACCACTACTCAGCTAAAAATTTTTTTTAAGGTTTATTTTATTTATGTATATGTGCGTGTCTGTGTCTCTGTGTGTGTGTGTCTGCACACATGTATATGAACCCTCAGAGGCCAGAAAAGAGTATCAGGACAAGAAAGAGACTCTCCATTTTGGTTGGATTGAATCTGATGGCAACTGTGGTACTTGAGTCAAATATTAACTAGCGTTTGAGTCAGATGTGGGTCTATAGAGTGGGCCAAGGGTGGAGCACTGATTCCCAGTCCACTGACTTTCTATTGATGAGTTTTGTATCATTCAGCTGGATAGATTTGAGGAGAATTAGGATCATAGACTTCATTTTTTATGTTAAGCTAGCCTAGGATGAGTTCTAGGTCACAGTCTAGAACCCCTTATTGACTTGTCTTTATGCTTGTGAGGCAGCAGAGATGGGGAATAGTGGAGAGTTAGGCCGACGAGTGTAGGTGTTGCCTTTAACCTGCTCCTTTCCCTGTAGTGTGCCAGTGATGCAGCGGAAGGAAGCTTGGGAGCTTCAGTGGTGGAGACACCGTGTTAAAGAGTGCACAGGGCTGGTGAGGTGGCTCAGTGGGTAGAAGGCTTGCTGCCAAGCCTGACAGCCTGAGTTCAATCCCTGGGACCCTGTGGTGGAAGGAGAGAATGGACTCCCACAGGTTGTCTTCTGACTTCCACACAAGTGCCGTGGCACACATAAGCTCCTTCTGCCAAAAAAAAAATAAGTAAAAATGTAGTAATCTTAAAAAGGCAGAGAGCAGTGTACATGTGTAAACTACCATGATACTTTTTTTTTTCTATTATTTGTGTTTGTGATGTGCATGTTATGTATGCAGTGGTCAAAGGAAACTTCCACTTCACTGAGGCAGGGTCTTGTTTGTGCCACTCTGCATACTCCAGGTTCTGGGCAGTTCTCCTGTCTTCACCTCCCATTTTGTCCTACGGATGCTGGACTTGCTGATGACAGCCACTGAATCCAGCTTTTTGTGGGTTCCAGGAATTGAACTCAGGTTGCCAGGCCTGCATGGCAGGCACCTTTACAACCACTGAAGCATCTCGCCAGCACTTGCTCTGTTTTTGTTATTAAGGCTGAAGACACGTGTATAATCTAAATTTAGCGAGAAGAATAGGATCTTGAATAGGATCCTCTTGCCGCCTCCTCCCACGTACTGGGATTAGAGATATGTGCCATTCACAACCATAGTCTTTTCATTGGCATGTGACAGAATTTTATCAAGTAAATGGAATCAATATGGCTAAAAACTAATAGTTTTTGGGCTGGGGATGTAGATCAGTAGTAGAGTCTTTACTTGGCATATGGGAAGCCTTGCATTTGGTTCCTAGCAATGAAGAAAATAAGAATTAAAACTGTCGGTTTTTACTGAGTGATGTAAGATGGCTGAGTACGGTGCTTGCTGCCAAGTCTGATAACCTGAGTCCAGTTCCTGGGTCCTACACGGTAGGAGAGAATCAACTCTCGCAAGTTGTCCTCAGAGCTCCATGTGTAGTCTGTGGCATGTGTGCATCTACATTAAATAGATAAATATATTTAAAGATGTATTTACTTACTTATTTTTGGATTTTTAAGACAGGGTTTCTCTGTGTAGCCTTAGTTGTCCTTGGCTGTTCTGAAATTTGTTCTGTAGACCAGGCTGGCCTCAAACTCACTGAGATTCACCTGCCTCTACTTTCTGGAATTAAAGGCGTATGCCACCACCACCCAGATAAAGATTTATTTTCATTTAAAAAAAATTACGAGTATTTGGGCTAGAGAGATGGCTCAGAGGTTAAGAGCACTGGCTGCTCTTCCAGAGGTTCTGAGTTCAATTCCCAGCAACCACATGGTGGCTCACAACCATCCGTAGTGAGATCTGATGCCCTTTTCTAGCGTACAGGCATACATGCAGATAGAGCACTTGTTTACACACAAAATAAATAAATAAATCTTTTAAAAATTGTGCATATTTATATATCTCTGTGTAGGTATGTGCACATGAGTGCAGGTGCCTGCAGAGGCCAGAGAAGTTGGATCCCCCTGTGAGCCCCCTAATGTGGGTGCTTGGAATTGAACTCAGATCCTTTGGAAGAAAAGTATGTGTGCTTAACTGTAGTCATCTCTCCAGCCCTAAATAAATATATTTAAAGCTACTATCTGCTGATTTTTACAAAATAGAAATACAGAAAATAAAACTACCAAGATTGATAGGTATAAAACAGGATACAGCTGTCGCAGTCAGGAAGGGTAGTGACATTTGTTAAGTCTCAATTTCTATAATTTTGGCTTTAAAAATCATATGTGGCTGTGAGTAGCGGCACACATCTTTAATTCCAGCACTCAGGAGACGGAAGCAGGTAGATCTCTGTGAGTTCAAGGCCAGCCTGATCTACATAGTGAGTTCCAACATAATAAGACCCTGTCTTGAAAACAAATAAACAGACAAAATCATATATTTATTTTAAAGATTAATTTTTGTTTTATGTGTATGTCCTAGTCAGTTATATTACTGTGAGGAGACACCATGACCAAGGCAATTTATAAAATAAAGTGTTTAATTGGGAGCTTACTTAACAGTTCAAAGGATTGGAGTCCATGATCATCATGGCAGGAAGCATGGGGGAAGGCCTGCAGGCATGGTACTGGAGCAGTAGCTAAGAGCTTACATCTGATCTGCAAGATGGAGGCAGAGAGAGTGTGAGATTGAGCCTGGTGTGGACTTTTTTAAAATCCTCAAAATCCAACCCCGGTAATACACCTTTTTTTTTTTTTTTTTTAATTTTTATTTATTCATTATGTATACAGTATTCTGCCTGCATGTGTCCCTGCAAACCAGAAGAGGGCACCAGTTCTCATTACAGGTGGTTGTGAGCCACCATGTGGTTGCTGGGAATTGAACTCAGGTCCTCTGGAAGAGCAGTCAGTGTTCTTAACCGCTGAGCCTTCTCTCCAGCCTGTAATACACCTTCTAATCCTTCCTAAACAGTCCATCATCTGGGAACCAAACATTCATGAGCCTGTGGGGGCCATTCTCAATCAAACCACCACATTCTGTGTGTATTTTGCTGGCTGCATGTGTGTATGTATGTATATGTACTATGTATGTGCCTGGTGCCCGTGGAGGCCAAAAGAGGGTTTTGGCTCTTGGAACTGGAGTAAGGGTGGTTGTAAGGCAACACGTGGGTTCTTAGAACTGACCATGGGTCCTCTGTAAGAATATCAAGGACTCTTAACTGCTGAGCCTTCTTTCCAGCCCCACTTTTGAACCATTTTAACATTTGTATACCCAGATACAAAATCTTGAAGGATGAGAAGAGACGAACAGTGTTTCAAATGAGTAACTATCACACTAAAGTAAGGTAAAATAATTAGCCTAGGGAGCTTTTGGCCGTGGAATGTTTTTTATTTCTGTGTTTTAAGCCAGGATCTTACTGTTTTGCTCTGGCTGGACTGGAACTTCTAGGCTCCAGGGACCCTCTTATTATATCAGCTTCTTGTGTATCTGAGATTATAGATGCATCACATTATGTCCATTTTTACCAGGGTGTTTAAACTGTTTCCTCTTAGTCTAAAGACAGATACATTTGATACAAATTGAGCCTTAACTAGCAAGTTTGTTTCCTGAAGAGATGTAGACAGTTTTATTTTTTATTTTTTTTCTATTTATCTTGGGATTCAGCAAATGAGTAATATATGACAGTAACTGGGGAATAAATACAATAAGGATAAAGGATAAAGGCTTCTCAGTGTTGGAGGAGGGTGTATTACTTGTTGCTGGGAACAAAATGCCTGACAAAAGCAATTTGAAGGGTTCATTTTAGCTTACGGTTTGAGGGTGCCGACCCCCGTGGTGGAGAAGCCATGGTGAGAGGAGCAGGAGGCGACTTGTCGGCTTGTGGTCCCAGTCAGGTAACAGATGAGTGTCGCTGTTGTGCTTGCCGCCTTCTTTATTCCATCTGGAGCCCCAGCCCATGGGATGGTGCTTCCACATTCGGGGTAGGTCTTTGCTTCTCAGTTAAACGTCCCTGGAAATACCCTCACAGATGTGCCCAGACGGTTGTTTTCTAGGAAATTGTAAACCCTGTCAGGTTGGCAGTCAAGAATAACTACGAGGTCTTGAAGGAAGATGCAGCTCATGCTTGTAATCTCGGTATTTGGGAGGTTGTAGCAAGAATGAATAGTGCCATGACTTTCAGAGCAGCCTGGATTAAAGAATTAGACTCTGTCTTAAAAACAGAACAGGGGGCTGGAGAGAGAGAGAGAGCTCAGTGGTTGAGAGCATGTACTGCTCTTCCAGAGGACTTGAGTTCCGTTCTCAGCAACCACATTAGGAAGCTTATCATTGCCTGTAACTCCAGCTCCAGGGGTTCCAACACCCACGTCTGGCCTTTAGAAGCACTGTGTTCACCTTCACAAACACAGACACATAATTGAAAAATAAATAGATAAATAAATGGCCAGGCAGTGGTGGCACATACCTTTAATCCCAGCACTTGGGAGGCAGAAGCAGACAGGTCTGTGTTTGAGGCCAGCCTGGTCTGCAGAGTATCAGGACAGCCAGGGCTACACAGAAAAATCCTGCTTCAAAAAACAAAACAAAAAAATAAGTGAATAAAATCTTTAAAAAGAAACAAACAGGGCTAGGGACATAGCTCACATCATATGGAATGCTTGCCTCTCATTCATGAAGCCCTGGGGTATGATCCTTAGCACTGCATAAACCAGGTATGCTGGTACATGCTTGTAAATAGCACTTAAGAGGTAGATGTGGGAGGATCAGGAGTTCGGGGACAGCCTGGAATACTTGAAATCTTTCTAAAAGGAGAGAGAGAGAGAGAGAGAGAGAGAGAGAGAGAGAGAGAGAGAGAGAGAGAGAGAGAGAGAGAGAGAGCGCGCGAGCGAGAGAGCTAGGGAGCACTCACTGGTGAAATGGCTTAGTAGATAAAATTTTTTTCTATGCAAGACTGACAACCTGAGTTCAATCCCCTGAACCCATACTGGAAGGAGAGAGCAGACCCTAAGAAGGTTGTCTTTTAACTTCCACACGCATGCTGCTTGTGTATATCTATTCATGTACATCAGGACACTCATTAATAGTAAATTTTTTGGTTTTAGTATTTTGAGTCTGGGTCTCATTATGTAGCTCTGGCTATGCTGGAACTTGCTCTGTAGACCAGGCTGGCCTCAAACTCAGATCTACCTCTGCTTTCCAGGTGCTGGGATTAAAGGCATGCACTATTAGGTTCAGCTATAAATTTTTGGTTTTTGATACAGGGTTTGTCTGTGTAGCTTTGGAGCCTGTCCTAGAACTTGCTCTGTAGAGTAGGCTGGCCTCAAACTCACAGAGATCCGCCTGCCTCTGCTTCCTGAGTTCTGGGATCAAAAGGCGTGCGCCACCACTGCCCAGCAAAAAAAAAAATTTAAGAGGGGGAAAAAAATGAATGTGGAAGGAGGTGAACCAGAGGTGGCATTGGGTCTTGGTTTCAGAAGACCTTCCCACCCAAGAGGAATCAAAACTTATTAAATAGCTTAATTCCAGGAAACTTCTAGCTGTAGATAGCCTAGGGGCCAGGACATAGAGAAGAGGAATGAATTATCTAGAATGTTACTGCCTCTGCAGGACGTGAGAGTCATTCCCCCACTTGCTCAAGACTGAATGTTCTAAGAAGGTCCACTTGGCTGTTTTTACGTTACAGCTTGTTATTTGGCTGTACTGGGGAAGGAATGGGAATCTGTCTGGTGACCAGTGTTATGAATGGCTTTTACCAAAGAATGTACTCCCACCAAGACTAAAAAGGAAAGAGGTAAACCATCTAAAAGGGATAAAGAGGGAGATGAGTTCTTGCCCTAATAAGACTTTTAGCCATAGTAGCTTTCATTATTATTATGAATGCTTTTTTTAATTACTTATTTTTATTTTATGTTCATTGGTGCCCCACCTGCACGTTTGTCTGTGTGAGGGCGTCAGATCTTGGAGTCACAGATAGTTGTGGGCTGCCATGTGGTTACTGGGAATTGAACCCGGGTCCTCTAGAAGAGCAGTCAGTGCTCTCAACTGCTGAGCCATCTCTGCAGCCTATGAATGCTTTTATATATATTAGAATTCTAGTTGACCCTCACAAAACTGTGAGCTGTCGTTGTGTCTCTGGTATGTTTTAAATTTTGCTAGAAGCCCAAAGGGAGCAAATACATTCATTCAGGGATAGTGAGTAGAAACCCTAGGATTCATTATTGAACAAATCTTGATTGGTCTTATAATAAAAACCTGGAGCCAAATATTGGCGTAAATGCTGAAAGATCAGAGAGACAAAGGAACAAGCCACTAGAGATACTTCTCACCACTACCGAACCCTTAGGCCGAAAGGAAGGCGAGATCCTGTCTTCATGAATCAGACTGAATGCCTTTGAGTCCTCAGCCAAAGGGGCACTGAACTAGTCTCCTCCTGCCTTATATTCCTTTCTCCGCCCAGCCATATCACTTCCTGTCTCAACCTTCCTAGTGCTGGGATTAAAGGCGTGTGACTCCCAAGTACTGGAATTAAAGGTGTGAGCCACCACTGCCTGGCCTCTGTGTTTAATCTAGTGGCTGGCTCTGTCCTCTGATCTTCAGGCAAATTTTATTGTTAGAGTACAAACAAAATATCACCGTAATTCATAATAGGTCTAACCTATAAATCTAGTGGATTCCTCTGGACTGCTCACTTTATTGACTTTTCTTACAGGGTACTTAAGGACAGGCTCAATCTGTCTGGCCCAAACTCAGGATCGGTTGATCTCTCTGAAGCGTATCAACTCAAGGCTGAAGTATGTAAGAGACTAGATACCCCTCCTGACTTTACCCACTTTACCTCTGCCAGAGAGCCCACGAATATCTTTACCCCCTTGTGTTCTGTGGCAGTGTTATAGGTATCCCTTCTGAGATCATCTCCCCGAAGAAAGTGACTGAACTTCACCCTCTCCTCAATGTGCATGATCTGGTGGGGGCCATGCATGTTCCTGAGGATGCAGTCGTATCCTCTGCTGATGTGGCTCTTGCCCTGGCAAGTGCTGCCTCCCAGAATGGTGAGTGGGGCTTTGTGTTTTTATGTATTTGTTTATTTTTGTTGTTATCATTTTTTGCAAGGGTTTGGGAAGAAGCAGTTACCTAAGAGTATATCATGACAGGTGACAATACAGACGTAGGAGTGGAGAAAGTATCTTCATTGGGATATTCAGTTTTCCAGTTTTGACCACTGCACTATATTTTTCAGTTGATCCATTGGGTATTTTTGTTAATGCCAATTTTTTTTCTTGTTCTAAGGAACTACTTGTGCTGATTAATACACATTAGACTTATGAGAGTCCTTGCCCCTGGATTTGAGAAGTGCCAAGGCTAGAGAAACATTTGAGAGTTTAACCTATAGCTTAAATGTGATCCAGAGTAAATCAGAGAAAGACTTATTAATGTCTAGAGTGTTACATACTTTATGATTCATTATAGTGCTAGGGATTGAACCCAGGGCTTTGGACATGCCAGGCAGGTGTTCTGAGACTAAGCTGTATTCCTTGCCTTTGTTTTTTGTGTTTTTGTTTTAAGTAAGGTGTTAGCTCAGGCTGGCCTGGAACTTGCCATGTAACCAAATCTCAGACTCCTAAGTGCTGGAATTACAGGTGTACGTCACCATACTGTGCTAAGGTTTTTTTTTTTTTTTTTTGGTTTTTTTTTTTTTTTTTTTTTTTTTGGTTTTTCGAGACAGGGTTTCTCTGTGTAGCTTTGCGCCTTTCCTGGAACTCACTTGGTAGTCCAGGCTGGCCTCGAACTCACAGAGATCCGCCTGGCTCTGCCTCCCGAGTGCTGGGATTAAAGGCGTGCGCCACCACCGCCCGGCAAGGTTTTGTTTTTTAATTAAAGCACTGACCCAGTTTCTCTAGTCCCCTTTGGAGTGGTATCTGCTTCAGAGACCTTAATTCTGTAACATCAAATAATTTGCCTTTTTCCCCCCAACAGAGTTTCTCTGTGTAACCCTGGCTGTCCTGGAACTTGCTTTGTAGACCAAACTGGCCTCGAACTCAAAAATTGCCTACTTCTGCCTCCGTGTGCTGAGATTAAAGGTGTGTACCACCATTGTCCACTAATAACTTACCTTCTTTTTCTTTATTTTGGAATAGGTGTTCAGATTTATGACCGGACGAGTGTTCTTCATGTATTGATCAAGAAAGGTCAAGTTACTGGTGTGGAGACAGATAAAGGACAGATTGAATGCCAGTATTTTGTCAACTGTGCTGGTCAGGTAGGTTGGCCATAGTACTAGGTTTCTGACTTTAACTTGGACTGTTTGGTACAGTGATACAAAATAATCATTTTATTGATTAAATAGACACCGGTATTATACTTCTTATTTGGACTGGATAATCCAGAATTGTATTCTAAACCAAAACCTATAACTTAGTTCTCAGACACAGGCAGCTTTCCACACTGGGTAAAGTAGTGCCATCCTAGTCAGAAGACCACCAAATGGGCATCCACATGATCCATGGTTTAGAGCTAAGTTTATGTGATGTTACATCTCATTTCACAAACTCAAATATAACATCAGAACCGGGGATCCAGTTTCTAGAATGTAAGCTGCCTCTACTACTGAGGTAGATTGGTCACCTGCTTTCTACTCTACAGTCTTAAGGAGATGTAGGAAGTACTTTCTGCTGTATAAAGTTTATTTAATAATTGGCGTTTGGGGTTTCTAGTTGATAACAGGCATTTTACTTATAGGGCTTCTTTTGACTGGGAAATCTATCTTATTATTATTGAAAAAATAACTTTATGCTTTAAAAAGTGTGGCGTTGCTCACTGTTCAAATACTTGGACTAGATAAAGAGGCTGAACTTGACTTCCCATACCTGACACTGTAACAGGAGCACTCAAGCCCCTTGAAATTAGTTCAAGAGGTTGAACTTGCTCACTTGTGTTTCTGTTCCTCTCCCCACCCACAAACTGTCCATTCTAGTGGGCATACGAGCTGGGTCTGTCCACCGAGGAGCCGGTTAGTATCCCGCTACATGCCTGTGAACACTTCTACCTTCTGACTCGTCCCTGGGAGACCCCTCTGCAGAGCAACACACCAAGTGAGCACTTGTACTTTTTTTTTTTTTTTTTTTAATTTTATCTCCTTGCTGGTATCCTGTCCTTTGAAAGGAAGACTTTTCATTAAGGACACATTATGCCTAGAGGAATTTTTTTCTTTTCTGGAGCATGTTACAGGGAGGTGGATCCAATTTTAACTTTTCTTTGATTATTTCTTAGGAAAAGATGGCCAAAATGAACATGCCATTAAGGACTTTTTTGTTGTTTGTTTTTGTTGTTGTTGTTTTATAAGCTAATTTTAAGCCCTAATAGAGGTCATTGAGAATTAGGAATATAACTTTTGCATTTTTTTTTTTTTTTTTGGTTTTTCGAGACAGGGTTTCTCTGTGTAGCTTTGCGCCTTTCCTGGAACTCACTTGGTAGCCCAGGCTGGCCTTGAACTCACAGAGATCCGCCTGGCTCTGCCTCCCGAGTGCTGGGATTAAAGGCGTGCGCCACCACCGCCCGGCAACTTTTGCATTTTTTTTTTTTTTTTTTTTTTTTTTTTTTTTGGTTTTTCGAGGCAGGGTTTCTCTGTATAGCTTTGCGCCCCTCCTGGAACTCACTTGGTAGCCCAGGCTGGCCTCGAACTCACAGAGATCCGCCTGGCTCTGCCTCCCGAGTGCTGGGATTAAAGGCGTGCGCCACCACCGCCCGGCAACTTTTGCATTTTTAACTTGAATGGTATCAGTTGTAGAAGTGCATAGGTAGGCCATATACTTAGATAGTTTAATGGTTACAAACCTGAAGGGAGAAAAGGTGGGTTTTATTTTGTTTTAGTTTTAGTTTTTTGAGGCAGGGTTTCTCTGTGTAGCTCAGCTGTCATGGAACTTACTCTGTTGACTGGGCTGGCCTCACACTCAAAGAAAGATTCCCCTGCCTCCTGAGTGCTGGGATTAAAGGTGTGTGCCGCCACCACCGCCACCGCTGCTGCCTCCACTGCTGCCACCGGCTTTCTTTTTTGAGATGAGGGTCTCATTGTGTAGTCTTGGCTGGCTTGGAACTCACTTTTGTGGGCATGGAGGCAGAGGCAGGCATACCTAGCTTAGAAGGCTTTTGATACCATTTCAGATAATGAATTCTGCACCTCCCTTTCCTGTTAGACTTTGGCTAGGCACAGTGATGGTAAGTTTGGTTGTGAGGTATTGGCAAAACTTTTAGGTGCCCAGTAATGTTTGGGATAATCAGAGAAACCATGTTCTCTGTAACCCTGAGTGGGATGATCCCCCCACAAAACTAATGGTTGACTGTATTTGTTGGATGCTGTACTGTTTGTAAAGTCACTCGTGAGTGTTTTCTGTTTCTCTCCATCTAGGAATCCGGCTGGACTCTAACCCCTTGTTTTTCTCTTCACCCTCCTTCCTTGTTGTTCCTCTTCTTCAGCTATTGTGGATGCTGATGGAAGAATTTACATCAGGAACTGGCAGGGTGGCATCTTGTCTGGAGGCTTTGAGAAGAACCCAAAACCTATTTTCACCGAGGGCAAGAACCAGTTGGAAATTCAGAACCTGAGGGAAGATTGGGATCACTTTGGTATGTGAAGTAAATTATAACAACAATGCCTTCTACTTTTCTAAGATGTTATATTTTTCAAGGCATTTTCATGAATAGTTCTTTAAGACAACTCCAGGAAGCACAATAGTAATCATGAAGAATGGTCAAGTTTCCCTGGTCTATGGATATGGTTACTGGTTAGATTCAGGGGTCTACGGTCTATGTTTAATGAACTTGACTCATCATTTATTTACTTAAATCACTGCTGATACTTTAGACTAGAAGGGGGGCCTTCCTTTGGTAAGACTTCCATGAAATTGAAGAGGTTTCTACAAAGCTGAACAATTAGCTGGGCATGGTGATGTATGCCTTCATGTAATCCCATCATGTGGAAACTGAGGCAAGAGGATTGTGAAAGATTTTTTGCTAATGTGGTCTTTATGAAGTCTTTAAATAACTTTAATTGTTTTTATTGAATAATTATTGTAGTTACATGGTCATAAATGGGAAGGGTATAAAAAGATACCCACTCTGTCTCGAAAAACCAAAAAAAAGAAAAAGGGAAAAGATACCCATCTCCCATCTGTGATGGACTTTAAAAAAAATAAGCGGCTGCTTATGGGAAACTTTAAACCCTTGTGCCCATCAACCAGTTACTCCTGTTTCCATCCATTACTGCTGTTCCATGGGACAGGGGCCAGAGATAGCATAGAACAAGGTGCAAACCTGGGGAAACACTGCCTTTCGTGGAAACATTAGGTGGTCTGCAAGACCTTTCTCACACACCCTGACTCCTTCGAGATTACTGCCCATAGCCTCATGTATTACTTTGTTCTGAGGCTCTTGCCTTTGAAGAGTATGTTTTCCTTACTCTGAATACCAGGCGTTTTGTAGGTGTGTTCTGTAATTCCACCAAGCTTTCTTTTTTCTGATAACTGACCAAATGACTCTTAGAAAAATCTCCCCTAAAGGATTTTTTTGGAAGGAGGAGTAAAAAGTATAAGAACTTGAAAAAATTTACTTCCCTAAAGGTGAGGACTCTGTTTGGGTTTGTTTTGATTGCTCAGAGCCCCTGTTGAGTTCCCTCCTGCGTAGGATGCCAGTATTGGAGACTCTGGAGATTTTGAAGTTGGTGAATTGCCCTGAGACCTTCACACCAGACATGAAGTGCATCATGGGCGAGTCTCCTGTAGTACAGGGCTACTTTGTCCTGGCAGGGATGAACTCTGCTGGCCTGTCGTTGGGTGGAGGAGCTGGAAAGTAAGTCTTTTTTCCATAGAGTCACCTGTGGACACCTCAGCTTGCCAGGTTTTTCCCTTTCAGATTATTCATTGTTAATATGTTCTGTAACCAGATAGTAATGTTGATAATAATTACTTTGGGAAGTTTTCCTCATATTCCATAAATGTTACTATATAAAATATTTTGGGAGCTCAGTCATTTAGTTAGTCACAGACCCTGTGGAAATTTTTTTTTTAACTTTTCAGTTGTAACAAATGTTATTGTTTTAACTGTAAGGTTAGAAGTAGCCGGGTATGGTAAGTGAAATGGGCAATCAAACTAGGCAACTAAAATTTTAGTTTAAAAATAGGTACTTATCAGCTGGGGATGGTGCCACATGCCTTTAATCCAAGCTGGGGAGGCAGAGGCAGGTAGATCTCTGTGAATTTGAGGCCAGCCTGGTCCATGATGAGAGTTCCAGGCCAGCCAGGGCTACATGGTGAGACCCTGGTTCAAAAATAAATAAGCCAGTCACAGAAGGATGCAAATACTGTACAATTTCATTTATGTGAGGTACTTAGAGTAGTCTTAAGAACAGAAAGAAAAATAATGCTGGCTAGGGAAAGAGAAGGTGGGGAGTTACTGTTAAATAGGTCTGGTGTTTCAATTTTGCAAGATGAAATGTGTTCTAGAAATGGATTGTGGTCGTGATTACACAGTAGTGTAGATGTACTTAATTCCACTGAATCACACACTTAAAAGTAGTTAATCAGTTGTCCTTGCTCTATCCTATAATCCCAGCCCTTGGGAGGTAAAGGCAGGAGGATCAGAAGTTCAAGGTCATTTTCAGTAGCATAGGAGACCTTAATCTCAGGTTTTTAAAAAAAGTTGATCATCTGGCTATGGTGACACATGCTTGTAATCTTAGCTCTTAGGAGACTGAGGGGAGGATTGCAGTGAGTTTAAGGCCAGCCTGGACTACACAGTGATTTCTATTCGGCTTGGGTTAAGAGAGTGAGAAACCGGGGCCAGGTGTGGTGGTGCATGCCTTTAAATCCCAGCACTTGGGAGGCAGAGGCAGGAGGATCTCTGTGAGTTCTAGGCCAGCCTGGTCTATAGATTGAACTCCGGGACAGTCAGGGCTGTTACACAGAGAAATCCTGTCTCATGGGAAAAAAAAAAAAAAAGAGTAAGAAACTGTTTTTAAAAAACCCAAGAACTCCCCCCAAAAAACTAATTTGAATTTGTTATATATTAAAATATATTTGTATATATTTTGTGCTAGTAAATAATACAATAGATTTATCTATATGTATTTGATACATTCTGGCATACCTTGCTGGGGCCAAAATGTGCACTCTTAATTTGCTGAGCCATCTCTCCAGCCCTTCTAACTCTCAATGTTTTTGTTATTTGTAGGCTAAATGAAAATTTTTTCCCAATTTTCATAAAACAACAATTACAAAAAGTCCAGATATAAATATATCTGCTCTGTCCAAAACTGTGCTTGTTAAGGATCAACTGTATTTCATCATAATTAAAGTATTTTTCCAGGGACCATGGGGAGCTGGCGAGATGACTGAGTACAGGAGCTTTTTGCACAAGCCTGGCAACCTAAGTTCAATTTAGGAATCTATGTAGAGGGAGAGGGAGAGAGCTGTTATCCTCTGACCTTCACAAGAGCCAGCTCCCATCATGAACACACACACAGTAAAAATAAAGGAACAAAAATTAAATTATGAAGTCAGTATCTTTGAGTGATTTACCAAATGGCTCTGAAAACAGAAGAGTTACCAGAAACATTTGGATCAAAGACATGGTGAGATAACTATATAATACCCTCCAAGTGACTGTTTATAAAAAACAAAACCACCATAAATTTCCTCATAGATATGGCTTACATCTTGAACATGCTCTAAGGGATCCTATTATTAGAGTTAAAATCTTCATAATGATGCTAGAGAGATGGCTCAGCAGTTAAGAGCACACCTGCTCTTCCAAAGGACCCAGGGTTCAAATTCAGCCCCTACATGGCAGCTTACAACCATCTGTAATTCTAGTCTCAGCAGATCCAGTGCTCTCTTCTGGCCTCTGCAAGTACCATTTTTCTTGGTACACAAATTTATATGCAGTCAAAACACCCAAACACATTAAAAAACAAAACAAAAGGAAACAACAAAACCTCAAAAGCCGGATGTGGTGGCTCGCACTGGTAATCCCAGCACTTGGGAAGCAGAGGCAGGCAGATATCTGTGGGTCTGAGGTTAGCCTGGTCTACATAGTGAGTTCCAGGACAGCCAGGACTGTGTATCGAGACCCTGACTCAAAAAAAAAAAAAAAAAAAAAATAGTGATTTTATGAGAACAGTACTTGGATCCATGTTTGTTCATTTTATGTGTATTGGTGTTTTGCCTGCAGGTGTGTATGTCTGTGTGAGGGCTTCAGATCCTCTGGAACTGGAGTTACAGACAGTTGTGAGCTGCCATGTCGGTGCTGGGAATTGAACCTGGGTCCTGGAAGAGCAGCCAGCGCTTTTAACTGATGAGTCATCTCTCCAGCCCAATTCCATTGGTTCTCTCCCAACAGGGTTTCTCTGTGTAGCTTTGCATCTTTCCTGGAACTCACACTGTAGCCCAGGCTGGCCTCGAACTCACAGAGATCCGCCTGCCTCTGCCTCCCGAGTGCTGGGATTATGCGCCACCACTGCCCAGTTTCTATTGGTTTTTGATTGTATGATATTATTTAAATTGTTCTCTGTGTATCATCTGAGGCCCAACAGCTTTTTGTCTCCATTTTAAACAGGTTCCTTGCTGAATGGATGGTATATGGTTATCCCTCTGAAAATGTCTGGGAATTGGATTTGCAGCGCTTTGGAGCCCTCCAGAGCAGCCGCACCTTTCTGCGCCACCGGGTCATGGAAGTCATGCGTAAGTGTACCTTTATTCTAATTGCATCGCACTCAGCAATCTTTGAAGTGGCCTATTTGATCATTGGGGATTTCCCTTAGCTCTCTAATAACTGTTTTGAATTGAGTTTCTTGTGTGGCTATTTCAGGTCTGAGGATAGGGACTTATGCCCCATTTGACACTTAGGAACATTATCAGTATATTGGACCATGCTTACCTCTAGAAATGGGAAAGAATAGGACTTGCAGCTAGTATGTAGCAGTGCCCTGTGTCTAAACCTAGGTCCTCTAGAGGGACAGCCAGTGCTCAAAACTGCTGAGACTTCGTTCCAACCCCCACCCCACCTTTTTCTTTTAATGGTATGGCAACTGAACCCCAGAGCCTCATGCATGCTAGGCAAGTCTGTATCTGCCTCAGTCCTTCGCTTTGTTTTTGAGTTTTTACTTTGAGACAGGGTCTTGCTAAGTTGCTGTCCTTGTCACTGTTCTATTGCTGTGAAGAGACACATGACCAAGGTAACTTATAAAGAAGGCATTTAACTGGGGGCTTGTGCAGTTTCAGAGGGTGAGTCCATGACCGTTATGGTGGGGAGCATGGCAGCAGGCAGGATTGGTACTAGAGCAGTAGCTGAGAGCTTACACTTTATCTGAAAGTTGGAGGCAGAGAGAGGGACACTGGGCCTGGTGCGAGATTTTGAAACTTCAAACCCCCCCTCCCCACCAGCTGGAAAGATGGCTCAGAGGTTAAGAGCACCGACTGCTCTTCCAGAGGTCCTGAGTTCAATTCCCAGCACCCACATGGTGGCTCACAACCATCTGTAATGAGATCTGGTGCTCTCTTCTGTATACATAATAAATAAATCTTAAAAAAAAAAAAAACAACCCACCCCCAGTGACATACCTTCTCCAACAAGGCCATACCTCCTAATTCTTCCCAAAACAGTTCCACCGGCTGGGGACCTAACATTCAAATAATGAGCCTGTGGGACCCATTCTCATTCAAACCACCACAAGCTGCCAGGCTTGGCTGGAACCCATCGGATGCCCAGAGAGTCCTTGAATTGGAAGTTCTTCTACTTGAACCACTCAGGTCTCTGGGATTCTAAGCCTGTGCTTCCATGCCCAGCTGACACACTGTGTGTAATCTGTTATAGCTCTGATGTACGATCTGAAGGTTCCCCGTTGGGACTTCCAGACTGGGAGGCAGTTACGTACATCTCCTCTTTATGACCGGCTGGATGCTCAAGGAGCCAGATGGATGGAGAAACATGGATTTGAGAGGCCAAAGTACTTTGTTCCACCCAATAATGGTAAGACGTGTCTGCTGTCTGTCTCTTTCTTCATTTTGAGACAGAATCTCACACGTTAGCCTAGAACTTTGTATTTTGGGTTGGCTTTGCATCCTCATCAGTCCTCTTATTTCAGCATCTTAAGTGCTGAGATTATAGGCACAAGCCACCACACTTGGCTTCGTGTGTGTGTGTGTGTGTGTGTGTGTGTGTGTGTGTGTGTGTGTGTGTGTTGTGTGTGTTGTATGAATATGTGTATAGGTGTATGTGCACTCTTGTATAGACCAGACATTGATGTCGTGTGTTTTCTCTATTATTCTCCACCTTACTTTTTTAGACAGATTTTCTCACTGAACCTGGAGTTCACTGATTGCCTAAACTGGCTGGCCAGGAGGTCCACGGGATCCTCTTGTCTTTGCCCATCACTGCTGGAATTATAGGAGTACACTGCTACACCTAGCTTTGTATGTGTATGTGTGTGTTTGTGCTGGGGACTCAAACTCAGGTCCTCAAGCTTGCATAGGCACTCTAACTACTGAACCAATTCCTTCTACCCCCTTCTTAAAACTGGTAATTAGTAAGTGCATATAGCTAGAATGTATTCGTGGAAGAATTAAAAAATAAAATCTTGTAGGTCATAACAAAATTTATGAGGGACTCTTCAGTATCAAAACTCTTTCTTCCCACCTTGTTTTTTCTGTTTCATAGACCTTCTTGCATTGGAACAGAGCAAGACTTTCTACAAGCCAGACTGGTTTGATATTGTGGAGTCGGAAGTCAAGTGCTGTAAGGAGGCTGTGTGTGTCATTGACATGTCTTCTTTCACAAAGTTTGAAATAACTGTAAGTATTTGGGGACCAAAACAACAGGGTGGGAAGCATTTTTACTTATTGCATGATGTTTTTCTTTCACCTATTTTTCTTGTTATTTTTAAATTTTATGTGTATGGTTATTTGTCTCAATGTATGCCTGTGTACCATGTGCATGCAGTGCCTGAGAAAGCCAGAAGAGGGCACTAGAGTCCCCTGGGATTGGAGTTACAAATGGCTGTGAGTTGCCAAGTGGGTGCTGGGAATTGACCTGGGTCCTCTGGAAGAACAGCCAGTACTCTTAACTGCTGAGCCACCTCTCCAGCCCCTAAATGCCTGTTTTGTTTTTCTTTTTTGTTTTTTTGAGCCAGAGTTTCTCTGTGTAACCCTGGCTGTCCTGGAACTCGCTCTTAGACCAGGCTGGCCTCTCATTCAGAGAGATCTGCTTGCCTCTGCCTCCTGGGTGCTGGGATTAAAGGTGAGTGCCACCAACCCAGCAAAGATTTGTTTATGTATATGAGTGTTTTGTTGCATGTGCATCTGCACACCAGAAGAGGCCATTGAATCCTGTGGGACTCTAGTTATAGATAGTTGTGAGCTATCCCTTGGGTACTGGGAATTGAATTCAAGACCTGGAGGAGCAGTCAGTTCTCTTAACCACTGAGCCATCTCTCCATCCCCCAAATGCCCATTTTTCATCTGCTACTTTAAAACTGATTCTGAAAGAACTCTAGACTGTTTCAGTGGTTCATCTGTATACTCATGTTTTTATGAATTTTTAGCTCCTATAACAAAGTTTTTAATTTCCCTAGAATGGCCCATTTATCTTAAGTACTGGTGGCTAACTTTCCTCGTGGCTTCTTACGGGAAAGTAAACCTGCAAATACTGTCCTGTGGGTGTTGTGTCATTGAATTTTCTCAGCAAGGTGCAGTGCTGGATGGTTATGCTCTTAGGCGATCCATGTTTACTGTCCCTGCCTTATCCCTTTCCTTACAGTCCACTGGGGATCAGGCATTAGAAAGTCTGCAGTATGTTTTCTCCAATGACCTGGATGTGCCTGTCGGCCACATTGTGCATACGGGCATGCTCAACGACTATGGAGGGTATGAAAACGATTGCAGCATCGCACGCCTGAACAAACGCAGGTGAGCTGAGCTGCCATCCCTTCTGCTCCTTCCATTAAATGGATACTTTACGGTCTCTGGAAGCAGAGCTCTTAATACTTCTCTGGGAGCCCATAGTCTTAGGGATTCAGAAACTATTTCATAAACTCCTGTCTTAATCATTAGGCAGCTATAAATAAGTCAGCAAAGGCAAACAAAAAGAAGAAATCCAAGTTGGGTGTGGTGGCTCATGCCTGTAATGTCAGGTGTCTGAAGCAGGTTGACCACAAGTTTGAGGCCAGCTTGGGCTACATGAGGAGTTCTAGGCTGGCTTGGGCTATAGAGTGAGACTAGGTCTGACTAGAAACACAAAACAACAACAGAAGTTGTATTATGGAAAACTGGATGTAGACGTTAGTTACTCTAATGGGAGAGGATTCTTTATGACTTGATAAGTCTGTGTAATTTTGCCATTGTGGGTATAGAGTTTAGAATTGGTGAACTAGCTTCCTTAAAGACAGGAGATTGTTTCCAAGAGTTCTCAGTGGGCTTTGAAACTACACAAGAACTTGATTGGTTCCTGATTCTTTTTCTGCCTTTGGTTTTGATTATTTTTTTGGGGGGTGGGGTTTTCATTTTCAGTTTCTTCATGATCTCTCCAACTGACCAGCAGGTCCACTGTTGGGCCTGGCTTAACAAATACATGCCGAAAGATAGCAACTTGTTACTGGAGGATGTCACCTGGAAATACACAGGTAATCAGCCTCCTGGGGCAGCCAAGTAAAGAAGCAGGTCTAGATTGTTTTGTATATTACATATGCCTCACTTACATTTGACTTTTACAAATGAGAATCAGAATTAGTGTAAAGAGACACTCTTTACCTGATGGTTCAGCAGTTAAAAGCACTTTCTGTTCTTGTAGAGGACCAAGGATTCTGTTCATAACACCCATAGGGCAGCTCACAACTGCCTATAACCCCAGTTTCAGGGGATCGGATGCCCTCTTACACTCCATATATATCTGCGTAAATGTGGTGCATATACATTCATGAAGACAAACACTCATAGACATAAAATAAAAAAAAAAATCTTTGGGGCTGGGGAAAGATGTCTCAGTTAAGAGCACTGGTTGTTCTTCCAGAGGTTCTCTGGTTCACTTACTAGCATCTACATGGCAGCTCACATCCAGTATCCTCTTCTGGCCCCCATGGGTACTGCATACATGTGGTCCCCAGATATATGCAAAACACCCATGTGCATAAAATATGCATACCTTTAATCCCAACACTCGGGAGGCAGAGGTTGGTAGATCTCTGTGAGTCTGGTCTACATGGTGAGTTCTAGGACAGCCAGGACTGTCTCAAACAAACAAACAAACAAAACAACAACAAAAACAAAAAAAACCCAAAACCAAAAACTGTATTCCTTAAAAAAATACATCTTTACCCAGGTAAGATGGTGCACACCTTTAATCTCAGCACTCAGGAGGCAGAGGCAGGTGGATCTCTTTTGAGTTTGAGGCCAACCTGGTCTGCAAAGCAAATGCCAGGACAGCCAGAGACATACAGAGAACCTGTCTCAACACCCACCCACTCCCATACATCTTTTAAAGGAAATCAAGACTTTTTTTTTGATAATTGATCTTTTTTTTGAGTTCCATCCCTGGGAACCACGTGGTAGAAGGAGAAAACTGACTTGCATTCATCTCATTGAACCTATTCATCTCACCCAGGCCTTCATTCTCACTAGTAGCAATTATGATTAACTTTTTGCTTCTAGCTTGTCAAACTACAGAATATTCTTGAACACTGAGTATGTTCTAGCCTGTACTAGAGCAATTATGTGTAATTTTGTTATAGGTAGCAGAATCTAGGGTGGGTAGACAGTTCTCCAGGTACTAATTTGGGATTGTGGCTACTTTGATCATGTAGAAAGAGAAAGAGAACTATACAGTAATGGTATATGGCCAGCCCTGGAAGTCTTCTCTTGGCTAGGCCTTGTTCTCATGACCCTAAACTCACTGCAGAGGAGACTATAAAATACACCCTTCCTGTCAACTTGGAAGAAGAACCACAGTAGCCAGGCTCTTCACACCTGCTAGTCAGCAGCTGCGTTTAGCAGGTCTGTCAGCAGAGGTGTGTGTGCCAGAGCCCAGGTCCTTGCCATTGTACCTCAGGTCCCTAAGTAAAGGGACACTTTTTTGTTTGCTTGTTTTGTTTTGTTTTGTTTTGAGACAGGGTTTCTCTGTGTAGCTTTGCTCCTAACCTGGAACTCACTCTAGCCCAGGCTGGCCTTGAACTCACAGAGACCTGCCTGCCTCTGCCTCCCGAGTGCTGGGATTAAAGGCGTGCGCCACCACCACCCGGCTAAGAGGACATTTTTACAAGTCTCACCAGCTCTAGGCTAGGTCCTAGGTGGATGTGGTGGTTAGTCTTAATGCCAATTTGACAAAATCTAGAATCACCTGGCAGATAAATGTACATGCCTGTGGGGAATTACCGTATCAATTAAGGTAGAACGAACCACCCCCTGACCTGGATCCTGGACTGAATAAATGGAGAAAGTGAATTAAACAGTCAGCAGCACTCACTTGTCAGTGTTCCCCAATTATGGGTGTCATGTGTCTGACTGTTTCAAGCTTCCATTGCTTTGACTGCCCTTATATGATGGGCTGACTGTGACTGTGAACTGAAATAACTATGCTGTAAGTTGTTTTGCCCGTGTATTTTATCACAGTAGTAGGTAAAGAAACAAAGACAGTGGGCAAGTTCCGAAGAGACCTTTTGCATTGGCTCAGCTGTTCCCCTGGAGAGGCTGGACATCTCTTGTTCTTTTCTATATAGCCCTCAATCTGATTGGCCCTCGGGCTGTGGATGTGCTGTCTGAGTTGTCCTATGCCCCTATGACTCCAGACCACTTTCCAAGTCTGTTTTGCAAGGTAGGTACTAGTAATTAAATGTTTGTGATGGGAGTCTCATGTGGTGCATGCTAGTCTCAAACTTGTTATGTAGCTGAGGATGACCTTATACTTCTGATCTTTCCCAAGTGCTGGATTGTAGGTGTGTATGTACTTGGGTTATACTTGGTCTATATGGTGCTAAAAATCAAACCCATGGCTCCATGTATACTAGGTAAGCACTCTACCAACTGAGCCCATACCTAGCAGAATTTCTGTTTTGTAAATGTTAGAGATGAATTCTTTTATTGTGGTAGCAGGTTGGTATTCTTAATGTGGTGTTAATACTTACATAGTGTTTTGGCCTTTATTAAGCAAGCAAAATGACCAAGCAAGTTTTATTTTTTACTTTTTTTTTTTTTTTTTTTTTTTTTTGGTTTTTCGAGACAGGGTTTCTCTGTGTAGCTTTGCGCCTTTCCTGGAACTCACTTGGTAGCCCAGGCTGGCCTCGAACTCACAGCGATCCGCCTGGCTCTGCCTCCTGAGTGCTGGGATTAAAGGCGTGCGCCACCACCGCCCGGCTATTTTTTACTTTTTAAGCTTGCTTTATTTAATAAGGATTAGGATATTCTCTGAAGTAGATTTAACTTATTTGAATATCAGATCTGTAAATTTGCTGGTTTCTGTAGCAGTTGGATATAGCTGGAATTATCTCCAGTCCTGCCCGGGCCCACAGCCACTCAGACCCAAATAAACACACAGACGCTTATATTATTTAAACTGTTTGGCCTAATGGCTCAGGCTTCTTGCTACCTAGTTCTTATATCTTAAGTTAACCCATTTCTATTAATCTATAAGTTGCCACGTCTGCTGGCATGTTGTTACTTTGGTGGTGGCTGGCGTCTCCTCTCTGTTCTGTTCTAACTTCCTCCTTTCTAGTTAGAATGTCCCGCCTAACTCTATTCTGCCTCACCATTGGCCAAACAGCTTTATTTATCAACCATTCAGAGCAACACAAATTCACAGCATACAGAAAGACATTCCCCCATCATTTCCCTTTTTCTTTCTAAACAGAAGGAAGGTTTTAACTTTAACCTAGTAAAATTACATATATCAAGCAAGAATTACAGTTACAGTTGGATTAAACTTTTAAGTAAAAGAGATGGACAGTGAACACCAAAAGATAAAGGTGAATGCACATTGAGGTCAGATTCTTTCTCCTTATATTTGTTTCTTTTGTTTTTACGCACACAGTAACTTTTATACATATGCCATCTTCAGGGAAGAAATGGTATAGCTGACCCCTAAACAACATACACAACTAGTTGTCTGACACGCACTACAACTGAGTAACTGAGTGCTTTCTGGGGAGGCAGTTACATAGCCACTTGGCAACTTGTAATATGCATCTGCTCAGCCATTGGTACGGAGGCTCTTGGAAGTTCAACCCTGAGTTGAGATTTTCATAGCAAATTGTTTAATAATTTCCTCTGTTCTCTCAGGCAGAGAAAATTTCCACGTTAGTGAGCAGATCCCTCCACAGGCTTCTCTGGATTTTAAAGAATGATCTAACCCATACCCCTTTGCCTGGCAAGTGCCATATCTTGTCAAAATTCCCGTGGAAGAGACTTGTGTTGGTGCTATCTCAGACTTACCACTTCCCTTATAGCAATAATTATATCAGTGAACCTTTTAAGGCAGCTGAGCAGCTGTAACCTAAGAATCTGAGTCTCTGGACCCAGAGTAGATAAATTGTGTTCTGTGGGCATTGTCCTTTGTGTGGCAGATGCCCGAAATTTGTTTACAGAGTCCCCCAGAGAAGACATTTGATTGGTCTTTATTGTTTCTGATGCTACTTGGCTAACCCAAGTGTTTTAACAAGATTTGGTAAAGAAAAATATTTTGTACTTAGCAAAGAATATGCTACCACTTGTCATCATCAGCTTACCTGAAACTGGAAATGGTAATATTGATAAGAAGAGATGTGGAGGCTATGTTCCAGTTTCAGGATGGAATGCATTCCTTGGTTTCTATCTCTCGTAGGAGTCAACAGAGGGTAGGCACTGACAGGGTTCCCCTGAGGCACTGAGTCTCCTGACCAGCATGAGGGACTAGTGGTGACTGCTTTCTTTTTCTTTGCAGGAGATGAGTGTGGGCTATGCAAATGGGATCCGCGTGATGAGTATGACTCACACAGGAGAGCCAGGATTCATGCTGTACGTTCCCATAGAGGTGAGAGGGCTCAGTCTTCCTTTTCCAGGGCCTCTGGGCAGGGCTACCAGTTTCCCAAAGTTCCTGAACACTGCTGGGTTTGAGTGGTGTATCCCATTAAGTAGGCTTCAGGAAAGAGGTTTTATGATTTTTAACAGTTAATGTTAAAGAGATACATTCATTTTAAAACTAAGAACTTGAGGGAGCAAAGAAACATCACCCTTTACAATAGCCACGAATAATATAAAATATCTTGGGGTAACACTAACTAAACAAGTGAAGGACCTATGTGATAAGAACTTTAAGTCTCTGAAGAAAGAAATTGAAGAAGATGTCAGAAAACGGAAAGATATCCCATGCTCATGGATAGGTAGGATTAACATAGTAAAAATGGCAATCTTACCAAAAGCAATCTACAGATTCAATGCAATCCCTATCAAAATCCCAATACAATTCTTCATAGACTTGGAAAGAACAATACTCAACTTCATATGGAAAAACAAAAAACCCAGGATAGCTGAAAGAATCCTGTACAATAAAGCAACTTCTGGAGGCATCACCATCCCTGACCTCAAGCTCTACTATAGAGCTATAGTAATAAAAACAGCTTGGTACTGGCATAAAAACCGACATACGGACCAATGGAGTCGAATTGAAGACCCTGACATTAGTCCACACACATGAACACCTAATTTTTGACAAGCCAAAACTATACAATGGAAAAAAGAAAGTATCTTCAACAAATGGTGCTGTCATAACTGGACGTCTATATGTAAAAGATTACAAATAGATCCATATCTGTTACCATGCACAAAACTCAAGTCCAAGCAGATCAGAGACCTCAACATAAATCCTGTTACACTGAACTTGATAGAAAAGTAGGAAGTACTCTTGAATGCATTGGCACAGGAGATCACTTCCTAAATATAACACCAGCAGCACAGGCACTGAGCACAACAATTAATAAATGGGACCTCTTGAAACTGAGAAGCTTTTGTAGGGAAAAAGACATGGTCAATAAGACAAAAAGACAGCCTACAGAATGGGAAAAGATCTTCACCAACCCCATATCTGACAGAGGACTGATCTCCAGGGTATATAAAGAACTCAAGAAACTAGACATCAAAATACTGAACAGTCCAATTAAAAAATGGGCTACAGAGCTAAACAAAGAATTCTCAAAAGAATCTCAAATAGACATTTAATGAAATGCTCAACATCCTTAGTCATCAGAGAAATGCAAATCAAAACGACCCTGAGATACCACCTTACACCTGTCAGAATGGCTAAGATCAAAAACACTAATGACAGTCAATGTTGGAGAGGGTACAGAGCAAGGGGAACACTCCTCCACTGTTGGTAGGAGTGCAAACTTGTATAATCACTGTGGAAATCAGTATGGTGGTTTCTTAGAAAATTGGGAATCGATCTACCTCAAGACCCAGCCATACCACCCTTGGGCGTATACCCAAGGAATGCTGAATCATACCACAAAGATACATGCTCAACTATGTTCATAGCAGCACTATTTGTAATAGCCAGAACCTGGAAACAACCTAGATGCCTGTCAACTGAAGAATGGATTAAGAAAATGTGGTCCATGTACAAAATGGAGTACTACTCAGCAGAGAAAAACAATGACGGCATGAAATTTGCAGGCAAATGGGTGGAACTAGAAAATATCATCCTGAGTGAGGTAACCCAGACTTGGACAAACAAGGTGTGTACTCACTCATAAGTGGATACTAGATATAAAGCAAAGGACAATCAGACTGCAACCCACAGATCCAGGGAGGCTACCTAGCAGGGGGGACCCTAGGATGACTGTGGTTTGTAAGTTTTGGTTTTGCCCAATCACTGGGCAAGCTTTAGTGAAACATTTCACTATTAGGATAAGAATATATACCATATCAAGCTGATGAAAGAATATGCTGGCTGTATTTTCAGAAGGGGAGGCTAAAATCTTTTTAGATTATGGATTAGCCTATAGAAAAATGTCTGCCGTAAATTAAACAGTGAAGAGGAAGATGAGTAGGAATCTCACTTACACAACTTAAGTAAAACATAGCTCTCTGAGCAGATGAAGATAGGTTTCTTCTGTATCCCAGAATCTAATCAATATTTATATGTATAATTCAGCTATTATTTGGCTTAAAAGGGCTTATTGGGAAATGTTATCATTTTTACTACTTTCTGCAGAGAAAATATTTTCCTGTTTCAAATAATCCTGGACTTTTGAATTATAACCTATTTTTATGTTCAAGCTATCTATGTATTATTTCTCCTGCAGTTGTACATAAAATGTTTTTACAGCCGGGTGGTGGTGGTGGCTCTCACCTTTAATCCCAGCACTCGGGAGGCAGAGCCAGGCGGATCTCTGTGAGTTCGAGGCCAGCCTGGGCTACCAAGTGAGTTCCAGGAAAAGGCACAAAGCTACACAGAGAAATCCTGTCTCGAAAAACCAAAAAAAAAAAAAAAAAAAAAAAAAAAAGAACTTGAGGGAGCACAGAATGCTTGGATTCTGTCTCAGCACCCACATGACAGCTCACAACTAACTCTCTGTCTCTGGTTCTGAGAGATAAGCTGCCCTCTTCTGACCTCCATGGGCACCAGGCACACACATAGTACACACACATATAGGCAAAACACTCATAGACCTGGAATAGAAATAAAATGTTTAAACATCTTTAAAAAACAAAAGCTTGGCTGGGGATGTAGCTGTTAGTCGACTGTTTTCCTAGCATGTAAGTCCTTGATTTGATGCCCAGCACTGTGCAAGTGGGCGTGGTGACACGCGCCCATAAGCCCAGCACCTGGAAGGTGGAAGCAGGAGTTTCCGTGTACTCTGGGATGAGAGCCTAGGGATCTCATCCCAACACATAGTGGACTAGAGAGATGACTCAGCTGGCAAAGGCTAGGCTCACAGCCAAAAAGTTAAACACCAACGTACTTTTTCTCATTTAAAACGTATGAAATCAGTTATATGGATAAAAACTGATCATCTCCATCTAACTAGTTCCTGTCAACTAACAAGAGCCTACTGTAGTGGTAGTATTCTTACTAATTTCTAATCAGTAATTTTGATGTATATGCAATTCTTTTGTTTGTTTGAGACAGGGTTTCTCTGTATAGCCCTGGCTGTCCTGGAACTTGCTTTATAGACCAGGCTGGCCTTGGACTCAGAGATCAACCTGCCTCTGCTTTCCCAGGGCTGGTGTGTGTCACCTTCCTGTGGTTTTTGTTATTTTAGTTTGTCTTGGGGTCTCAGTATTATAGCCCATACTGGCCTAGAACTCATGAACCTGGTGTCTCCACGTGGCTCCTGAGTGCTAGGATTATAGATGTGTGCCAACATGCCTGGTTATGCCAGTAGAGTTTGACTTCCCTTATGAATGAAGCAGAATGAAATTGAAAGTCAGTCTGCAGAGCTGACGGTCTTTCCATCCATCCTCTTGCTTCTGAGCTTGGCCTGTCTTTTCTGGAGCTCTCATTTCTGCTAGTCTTGGAACATGGCTAGTTAGGCTGCTGCTTTGCTGCCTCATACTTTCCTTTCCTTCTGGCATGTCCTTCCCCATAAAGACATCTCTAAGTCAGCCGGGCGGTGGTGACGCATGCCTTTAATCCCAGCACTCGGGAGGCAGAGACAGGCGGATCTCTGTGAGTTTGAGGCCAGCCTAGTCTACAAAGTGAGTTCCAGGAAAGGCGCAAAACTTCACAGAGAAACCCTGTCTCGAAAAACAAAAACAAAAAAAAACAAAAACAACCAAAAAGACATCTCTAAGTCACTACTATTCCCTTTCAGGACTCACATAATCCCTTCCCAACACACAGACATATGATTTATTATTTTCATATGTATGTATATGTGCGTGAATTCATGTGTGGTGCACATGTGTGTGTAGGGGCCTGAGGAGGCTGGAAGAGGATGTGAGATTCCCTGGAACTGGAGTCACAAGTGGTGGTGAGCTAATGAAGAGTTTTGGAAGTGCAAGTGCTCTTAACTACTGAGTAGTCTCTCCAGCATTCTTACCACTTTTTTGTTGTTGTTGTTTCATTAAGACAGGGTCTCACAATACAGTTCTGGCTGTCCTGGAACTCACTGTGTAGACCAGGTTGGCCTTGAATTTAGAGAGATCCCCTGCTTCCGCCTTCTGAGTGCTGGGATTAAAGGAATGTGCTACTGTGTCCAGCCACATCACCTTCTTGGTGAGACCTTATTTAAAGCTGTCTTCCTGCCTAATTCCTCTCCTTTACCCTTTTCCTTTGTAGCATGTACTACTTTCCAATGAAATTACTTGTGTAACCGGGCAGTGGTGGTACACGCCTTTAATCCCAGAGGCAGAGGCAGGCAGATCTTTGTGAATTTGAGTTCCAGGACAGCCAGGGCTATTACCCAGAGAAACTCTGTCTCGGGGAAAAAATTACTTGTGTATTCCTGAGATTTTCTTTTAAAGTTTTTTTTTTTTTTATTTCATCACTTAGGGAAGTAGGTATCACATAATAAGTCATAGTAGATGTTTCCTTTGGAGGTTTTTGGTCATTTCTTTGTCTTTGAACATGCTACCTCCCCATCTCCCACCCCCCAAAACCAAGTCTGGCTTTGTAGCCCAAGCTGGCTTCAAACTCTGCCTTCTTGTATCAAGCTGGGACGGCACCCACCTTATCGACTTCCTCTCTTACACCACAGTGCCCTGTTGGTCTTTTAATTGATGCAGTATCTTTGTGTGGGGAGCATACCTGTGTCACGGTATATGCTGGAGGTCAAAGTTGATACATTTTGAGAAGTGGTTCTCTCTTGTCACTTTGTGGGACCCAGGGATCAAATCTAAGTCCTAATATGGGGACACAAATACCTCAACCACTGAGCCTGATCTTTTGTATCTCATTTCTCCCCCACTATACACACTTTTTTTTTTAAACAAGGTGGGGCTTATTTTGGTTCACAGTTTAAATATAGTCCAACCGTGGAGGGTAAGTTATGGTGGAAAAATTGGATGTTTTGCCTGTATGTTTGTGCAGTGCCCATGGAGGCCAGAAAAGGGCATTGGATCCCCTGGGATTGGATTTAAAGATGGTTGTAAGTGGCCATATGAGTGCTGAGAATTGAACCCAGGTTCTCTTCAAGAGCAGCCAGTACTCTTAATCGGTGACCCATCTCTCCAGCCCCTCTAGGTACTTTTTGTACAGATACTTCTTTCTAAGTTGTCATTTGATACATGGTATGAGGTTGTTTTTGCATGTGTATTACCCAGAATTGAACCAGGGGTCATGTGCAAGTATTCTACCACTGAGCCTGGTAACTGATAGAAAAACAGTCTACCAACTAAGCTACATGTCTTCGGCAGCTTCAAGGTTTTATTTTTAAAATGTGAATGTATCTGTTTAAAATTAACTGTTAAAAATGATAAAATCTGTTTCCGGCAGCCTCCCCAAGAATCCATGGCATGCACCACTCCAATTTATGTGGAAGTACACTGGCTGCTAACTTTCCTTCCCTCCATACAGTATGCTCTGCATGTCTACAATGAGGTGATGAGCGTTGGACAGAAGTATGGAATCCGGAATGCTGGGTATTATGCTCTTCGAAGTCTCCGAATTGAGAAGTTTTTTGCCTTCTGGGGGCAAGACTTAAACACCCTCACCACTCCCCTGGAATGTGGAGGAGAGTCTCGAGTGAAGTTAGAGAAGGTATTATTTATCCATATCCCCCTGCCCCCTGTGCCCCTCAGCTGAGCATGTGATTTGTCTAATAGGAAGAGAGCAGGGAAGGTAGGAAGTGCTAGCATCAGGTAAATCACAAGGAATAGTGTCCTCAGGACAGGAACCTCACCTGTGGGATGCACATCTTCCCCTGGATCCTAGTACCCTGACAACCCTTGTTTACACATTATACTGTGCAGAAAGCAGAGGACACTGGCATAAGTTTTTTAGTTGATTGTGGTCATTCATTAATGTACCACAAGTATTTATCTAAGTTGGTCATCTTACAGCCAGCTGTCTATTTTTTTAATATATTTAAACTTTTAATTATGTGGATGCATGTATGTCTGTGTGAGGTGTGTGCATTTGAGTGCAGTTGCCAAAAGAGGGCACTGGGAACTGTTGTAGGTCCTCTCCCAGAACTCATGGACTCTTGACTTCTGAGCTCTCTCCAGCCCCGGTATTATTTTTTTAGAAAACAGTAGTTGAAGAGATTATTCTGTGAGGAGTCTTTCCCACCTCTGAGCCTCATCCAGTGTCCTGTCCCCTTGGCTGCTCACACACAGCAGTGTGTTCTGTTCTAGAGTGTGAGCATGGCACAAGTGTGCAGTGAATGATCTCCTCTACCCACCTGTAACCTAGTGCTGTTCACTTTGCACCTTGCTTTATTTACAACACTGTATTCAAGCAGTTCCCTGTCAGTACACCTGGAGTTTGTTTTCCCTTTTCTGAGACAGGGTCTCACTATAGTCCTAATTGGCCTGGAACTTCCTATGTAGACCAGACTGTTCTTGAACTCAGAGATCCACCAGCCTCTGCCTCCCAAGTGCTGAGATTAAAGGTGTGTGCCATCATGCCCAGCTGTAGTATTTTTGGCCACTGCATATAACTAGATGTAAAAAGATTACATGCAATTATTTTTTTGTGCTGTGAAAGTGTTAGTAGCTCATTAAAATCACCTGTATTTAATTAGAGATAGATTGTTAAGTTTGTTCACATATATATAAAAGTATATATATATATATATATATATATATATATATATATATATATATATGCATGCATTGGGACATCCATACACATGGACTGACTTTGTGGAACTGGTTTTTTGCTGCCACCTTTACATGGGTTCTGGGGAATCCAAGCTTGTATGATGAGAGCATTTACCTGCCGAGCCATCTTGACATCCCTCTAGCAATTGTTCTTGATTGATTTTTCAGTTTTCTTTTCTAATACTTTTTGTTTCTTGAGGCTTGTGAGTGAAATCTGTTCACAGATGCATACACTTTTGCTGTTACAAAAGTTCTTTGGTGTCTCTGTTGTGGATGCAGATTTTCACAATGCCTCAAACATTGTTTCCCAAAGCTAGCAGGAATGTAGGGTATATGTGTGTGGCATTCCCACACTTACCACTCTCTCCTCACCTTCACATGCCAAGGGCCATCATGTAGACTGGTATCTGAGGCTTTTTCCCCTTGTTTGTTTTCAGGGCATAGATTTCATCGGTCGAGATGCCCTGCTGCAGCAGAAGCAGAATGGGGTATATAAGCGCCTTGCTATGTTCATTCTGGATGACCACGACACAGACCTCGACCTGTGGCCTTGGTGGGGAGAACCCATTTACCGGAATGGGAAGTATGCTGGCAAGACCACCAGTAGTGCCTATAGCTACACTCTTGAGCGCCACGTATGCCTGGGTTTTGTGCACAATTTCTCTGAGGACAGTGGGGAAGAGCAGGTGGTGACAGCGGATTTCATCAACCGCGGAGAATATGAAATTGACATTGCAGGCCATCGGTTTCAGGCCAAGGCCAAGCTGTACCCTGTCATCTCCTTTTTCACTCACAAGCGTAGAAAGGATGATGTGGAGCTGAGTGACTTTCATGGGAAGTAATGCCAAGACATTCTCCCTTCTCCCATTCTCACGAGGAGCATTGTTCTGGGAGCTGCTGCTTCTGTCCCTGTCTCCTTACTGAAGGTTCCTCTGTCCCTTCTCTTAACTTTCCAATTTGACCTACTTTAAACGTTTTCCTTGAAAGCCTTTTTTGTCCTCCCATTTTCTTTTCATTTGCTGTTACCTCCTAATAATCCAGGTTCTTCTCATCCCTCCCGCAGCCCCACATTCCCACAGGGGAAGGCAGGAGCCACTTGTGGCGTTAAGGTGACAAACTGATTTTTCAAATCATCTTGAGGCAGGTCGGTATTATTTAAGTTTTAGGGCAAAAGTCCAGTTCCCTTGGGCTGGGATTCTTAGAGTAATCTGATTTTGGTAGATGACTGTGTGTCTCATATAGCCCTGGGAATAGCTTGTATCTTAAGCAGGCAGATGATTCTGTTCCACTGTGCTGTAGGTTCCACCTGATACCTCTTAACCATCTACCTCACCAATGAGAGGGATTTCATGGACACTGTCTGCTCTGTGGGAGGGACGAGTAGTTAACCTGGCCTCTCCAGCCCTCCAACTCTGTTCTTAGATGTTTGGGCCAGGGCATCCTGCCTGCACTTTTCTTTATTTTCTGCTATTTTGTATAGTGAGGTGGTTTGTTTTTTAGCTGAGTAAACAAGTATGCCAGTATTTGAAAGGGGTGGGGAACCCATGTTGCCTTTTGTGTTGCTTTTCCCAGCGGGAGCAGTGTGAACTCAGATGTTGAGTTCCTACTCTTAGAAGAGTGTTGCTTTTCTTTCGGTTACTCATAGGTCAGCTAGCTGTCCCTTCTTGATTTTCTTCAGATGGCTTCTAGCCTCACCTGTGCCTTGTGTAGCCTGCTGTGAGCTCAACATTCATTCCTACCCCTTTAGAAGAGGGAGAGAGGATTAGGTGGGGGGGGAGTCTTGGTGAGTGAGTAAACCATGCTGTTCATACTGCGTTCCGAGAGCTTCCAGAGCCAAGTTTTACATCCTGACATGAACAAAGCCACATACAGATGGCCATTGAGAGCTGTAAGGACAGTGCAGGCCAGAGACTGCTTTCCATCTTTTCTTTCCAGGCTCCCCACTCTCACCCCGCCCCGCAACAGAACCTTTGGAGTGGAAAGTGACTGGGGTGCCCACCAAATGCACTACCTATTCCAGTGGCACTGCTGTTTTCTTTTTGTGATAGGGGTTCTCACCGGAGCTCAGGCTGGCCTCAGATCTGCAGGGCTCCTCCTGCCTTGTCTCCTGAGTACTAGGATTTCAGGGGTGGTGACAGTGTGTTTTCTAAAGGTGAAACTTGGATGTGACAGGCTGTGCTGTAGAACGCCCACACTTCATTTTCTCTTGTACACAGACTGCCCAGTCTGGATTGAGAACCTTTCATTCAACTGCAGTTCTCAGTAACTTGGGCGCATTGGTTCTGCTAAATTTACATTGATAGAAGCTTTCATTTCAGTGGTGCAGCTCAAAATTTTCAAGTGTCTCTTTGGCACTTCTGTAGAACCCGTTATCCGCTCAGACTGGTTCTTTTCACACATTTCTTGCTGTTTTCTCCAGCTAGGCCGCTCGTACTTGGCTTCTGAGACGATTTTCATTGACTTATTAAAGGGCACACAATTAGAAGTTGCTGTGAGGGGAAATTGCTATTTTGGAGGGAAGTTTAGTGAGATGAGAACTACTGTCTCCAGGCAAAGGGAAGAAAGGAATAATACTCCAGTAGAAAGCTGAGCGAGGCAACAGCAGCAGTGAGCTGTTGAGATCCAGAGCAGGCCCTTGGCTGACCCATGAAGACGGAAGTAGAGATGCACAGCTCCAGGTATTTGTGCTCTTTGAAATATGGTGGTAACATTCTGCAGTCTGGGAGTGAAAGTTTACTTGGAATTGAATACAAAAGAAATTTTTGACCTATGCATCGATAGTAAAAGTTTGGCAGCAAACTTGTTCTTTAACTGTTGAAAGTGTTACCACTTAAGTTCCAAACTGGGGGCGGGGGGAACTCTTCCAAAGCAGTAATAGTTTAAACTCATAGTATATTATTCAAGGATTTCAGCATAGACTAAGTGTTGCCTGCACTTGTTAATCTCTAGCTACTTAATTAACTGTCCCTTCTGAGTAGGAGGGAAAGTACAAGTCTTCAGCTCGAAGTTCTAGCTGTGGCTGGTGTCAGCCTTTGAGCTGACAGACCTTGCTTGTCTCGCTAGGAAGGCATAAGAGAGAGGAGAGTGAAGCATTTTGAAATGCCTGACCAGGGTCATGGTCCTGTTCCTTCAACTGTGGTTAGGGGTTGGATTTTCTGAGCTGCCACTTCTTTACTGTGTACCCCAAAACAAACTTACATTTGGCACTAACTGCTTCCTTAGAGTTTCTCTTGCTCCATGCAAACATAAACAGTGCAAATCTGCCGTCCCCCCTTTTGCCCTGATAGAAGTGCTGTAAGTAGACTGTTCTCCTCCACTAACCCTGCAGCTTTTCCTAGGCTTGGTGTCATAAACACCTCAGACAGTCGAGGGGACCTGAAACCCCTGGCCCACTAGTGTTGGGAGAGCATTCTAGGCTCTCAGGAGTAAATGCAGCTTGTTAACAGAAATGCTAGGTCTAGAGCAGTGGCTCTTAACCTGTGGGTTGCGACCCCTTTGAGGTCAAATGACCCTATCACAGAGGTTGCCTAAGATCATCGGAAACGCAGATATTTACATTATGATTCACAACAGTAACAAAATTACATTTATGAGTTGGCAATGAAAATAATTTTATGGTTGGGAGTTACCACGACATAAGGAACTGTATTAAGGGAAGGGTCGAAGCATTAGGAAGGTTGAGAACCACTGTTCTAGAGGCATGATTGAAAATCCAGGAAGAGGGCTGGAGAGATGGCTCAGAGGTTAAGAGCACTGGCTGCTCGTCCGAGGTCCTGAGTTCAATTCCCTTTGATCACATGGTGGCTCACAACCATCTATAATGAGATCTGGTGCCGTCTTCTGGCCTGCAGGCAAACACGCAGGCAGAACACTGTACATAATAAATAAATCTTGAAAAGAGAAGAAAAGAAAATCCAGGAAGAATAATCACTGTGCGTCCTCAGTTGTGTGACATTTCCAACTCTTGGATGGTGAGGCTACCTTGTATGACAGGACGCTCCGAGGAGCTGGTTAGTTTTAAGGGATTGTAAACACTGCAGCTTTAGGTGACAGATTCTCTAGAATAATCTCTTGTCACATCTACTTTCCAGAGATGAGGAGTTCCATGTTCTCTTCCTTGATTATAGTAGCAATTAAGTCTCTTTGAACAAGGTAACAAAGTATATTGAAGACCTAAGGTTGGGAGTTTTCTGTGAGCCTTCTTGAAGTCAGAAGGCTTTCTTTCCTCTTAGCTGTTCATTACATGTGCAAAGCCTGCTTCTCAGGACTGCCGTAGTCATTGGAATATACCAGGCTTGTGACAGAGTTCCCTCCCATGACACAGGTACTGAACTTACAAAAGGACAAGTAGGAATGGTTTCGTTAGTCCTAATTGTGAGCACACCTCACTGAAGTTTTAGTTCTTCCATGGGTCCCACGGGCCTCCTTAGTCCCGGGACACAGGATCATTTAACACAGTCTGTCTCCAGGAGCCCGTTCATGCGGCAGTGGAGTGCAGCCCTTCAGTGGCTTGTCTCCTCTCCACCAGAGGTATTCTAGACTGCTGGGTCCAAGTAACGAGATAGGAAAATGCAATTTACAGATATGTGGGTGGCAGGAGGAATTATAAGTAGCAGGAACTGCTAAAGGTTTGCTTCATTTTGCTGAAGACTCACTGCTTTGATTTTCTGGGTGATTAGCTTCTAGCTTCTGAACACATTTGCTAGCATCTGAAAAGATCTTCACCATCCTTGGGGAGAATGTTATGCCTTACAGTGTTGGTACTAGCCTTGGAAGACTGTCAGGAAGAGCAGTTGCAGCATCCTGTTTACAGGGGTGAACAACAACTTTCATCCTTATATCTCTTCTTGGCCAAAGGTAACAGATTTATAATATTTAGGACAATGAAGAATGACTTGTCGTTTTCATTTTCTGCCTCCCAACACCCCCACCTCACAAATGTTGATAGGTAAGTAGCATAGTATTAACACAACACAGGTACATTTTCTTGTGGCTAAAGAATGTTCGTCTTGTACTTATATCTGTAGGCACATAGACTGAGGAGAAGCAAGTGCGTAGGGAAGTGTGTCTGAGCTGTAGCTACGCCCCGTGTTCCTGTCAGAAATGCTAAGGGAGCTATGGGTCGGTTTGGGAGCACCTCTCCTCTGCCTCCATTTCTTTTGGTCTCCAAGGTGCTGATGTGTAAGCCCCATTTTCATGTCGATATGGGGCTTTCTCCTGCGGTTCCTCAACAGTACCAGCACACTGTTCAGCACAAGGATTGAGTGTTTCGCACATCTCTCCTCTTAGTATGTTAAACATCAGCATTTTCTCGGTATAAGACTCTTGGCCTCTAAGCAGTTGTCTACATCTGAATAATTATATACATTTTGCTCATATTTTGATTCACCTGTTTTTAATCTTTGCAAACATCTACCTCCTTGCCTTCTTGTCTGGGAAGGACAGATTACAAGAGGAGGGGGAGTTATCTTACCATGTTTCAAAAGGTCCGTGCCAGGATTTCCTTTGCACACCAAGAGCTGAAGCTCGGAGTACTTCTCGGCCTAGTTCTCGTGCCTTACCCTCCAGACGTCCAGTCGTGGACTGAGGTAGGAAGAAAGCAGAATGTTCAGTCTGGGTTCTCATCACCCCACAGCAACCCTCCTTCCTCAGAGTAATTTGGGTGTGGGGTAATAAGTTCAGCTCATTTCACTGAAAGCTTTTCTAGTTCATACTTAACTCTCTGGTCAATGCTTAAGCTATATAAAGCACCATTGTAATTTCTATGAAGTTCTGTAAATTTGCATTTAGTGTGGTTCTGCTCAGCGCTCTTCTGTTCCCGTGTAGTGTCAGCATGTGGTCCTGAGGACATTCTAGATACTGGAGTAAATAAGGACTTTTCTCAAGAGCAAACTCTGCTGACTTTGGACACATGGGGTAACTGTATTTAATGGACAGAATTATTTCTGGATGGCTAGATTCCAACTGAGATTTTCTTTTCATGTATTAGGTATATAAATGAATAAAAAGATGTTTTCATTAACTATTGCTATGTCCACTTGTGAAATGTCTTTTAACTTGGTTACAATATGCTATTTGCCTGCCTTCTCAAAGGCAAAAAGAAACAAAACTGTTCATAAAACCATTTACACCTCTGATGCTAAGAGGTTTAGAATGAGCATGACCCACTACCATATACATGTAAGCAAACCCATGTTCATGCAGAAGAGGAGCAAAGGACATGAGCCAGCTGGAGAGATGGCTGATATCAACATTCTAAAATGATACAGGTGAAACCTTAATGGGCAGTTACACATGTCTTAAGACACCCAGTCCCTGCCCAGTGGGGATGCATTACCTCTCACCATGCAGGCAGGCACGGGAGCCAGCTTTAACAAATAATACTGCTGGGAATGCTGAGCCTGATTCCTTAGAGGTCAGCTGATAACACCCCGGAAAATAAACCAGAAACTCATTGGTAAGTACTCAAAGAAGAAAAAAATAGTCACCAAGAAGTATAGGCATTCTAAAGATTTTACTTGAAATGTGTGTGTGTGGGGGGGTCCCCTCTCCCAGAGAAGAATGCTATTTTTTTAGGTAGTGGGTCTTTCCTCTCCATCAAATGAACTAGAAACTGGTTAAACTGCACGTGGTGGTGCAGGCCTGAAATCCCAGCACTAAGGAAGTGGTAAAGGCAGAAGGTTCAAGAGTTCAAAGCTAGCCTGGGTTACATGTCTCCCAAATTTAAAAGAGAAAAAAAAAAAACTTACCAATTTAGAAAGCTATAAAATCTAAGAAAAAAATTATTTCAGAGAAACTAAAATGCTTTAGAATGACTTTCATTGTTTTAATTGTAGCCTTGCCTAATTGTCCACTTCAAGGTAAAAACAAGTCTAGGAATGTCTTTAAAGACAGAAAAGTATAGCTGGGCATGGCGCACACCTTTAATCCCAGCATTCAGGAGGCAGATGCAGATGGGTCTCTGTGAGTTCGAGGCCAGCCTGGTCTACAGAGGGAGTTCCAGGGCTATACACAGAGAGACCCTGTCTTGAAAAACAAAAACAAAATATCTAACCAAACAACAATAAAGCCAACAAAGCAAACAGATCATAGAGTATAAATCACAATTATATACACCAAGGCATATGCTGGCTTACAATACACCATGCTGGGCTCTTGAAAGAGGTATTTTATAAGACATTCATGTCCCTGCTAAGTACTAAATAGTTTAACTTAAAAAAAACTCTTCAAACAACTCAAATTTTAATACAACAAGCTTCTAAGGTCATCAGTTTGCCCCTAGTCTAAACATAGTTTTAAGACATTGACATTTAATGTTTGTACACACAGTGTATATGTGGAAGTCAGTGGACAAATTACCAGTTCTTTCCTACCATGAGGGTCCTTGGGGATCAAACTCGGGTCCTCAGGCTTGGTGGCAAGCACCTTTTGCTAAACCAGCTCACCAGCTTACCTTAACCAGAGGCCAGATTAAGGACACACCCAAATTGTCCCACAAACCCGAGAGCTACTTATCTTTTGGGGGACCTAACTGGATCAAAACTTGTACCCAGACTTAGTTGCATATATCTGTAACCCCAACATCTGGGAGGTAGCTAGGAGTTTAAGAACAGTTTCAACTGTATAGTGAGTTGGGGGCCACCTTACGTTTTTGTTCTTTTGAGACGGTTTTACTGTGTAGCCCTGGCTGGCCTGGAACTCACTCTGTAGACCAGGCTGGCCTCAGACTCACAGATCCGCCTGCCTCTGCCTCCTGAGTGCTGGGATTAAAGGCGTGCGCCACCATTGCCCGGCCAGACTCTGTCTTAAAAAATAAAATTATAGCTGCGAGTGGTGGTGTGTGCCTTTCATCCCGACACTCTGGAGGCAGAGGCAGGAGGATCTCTGAGTTTTGAGATCTACAGAGCTAGTTTCAGGACAGCCAGGGCTGTCTTGAAAAAATAAAATTGTATCCCAGACCAACCCATCAGCTACAGCTGCACACAACTCTTGGAAAGCATTAGCTCTATGTACATCATCAGCCCCTGGCCCTCCCAGAGGACTACCCGCTCCCTGATCTCTTTCCTTGTAGTCTCCCCAACTTTGCATTAGTCTCTGACCCTACATCTCATAACATGGTCACTAAAATCCATGCTCTCTTTGTAGTCAATAGGTTTTGACCACTTCAGAGTTACAGCTATTTTAAAGCATAAAGCAAAGGCACCAAGCTTTGAATTGAATCTGTACACATTTATGTTGCCTCAGCACTAGTGTGTGTATAAAAACACACAGAGACTTGTCTTGGGGTTGGTGATTGACCCCAGGGCCCTGCAGGTGCTAAACACACATTCTACCAATTAGCTACACTCAAAGTCCCTGCTGGACGTTCTCACAAGCCAATCTCATTGTCCTTTGAGTTTTAAGGTTCCATGTTCCTAGTTGTTTTTTAGGATAGATACAGAAATAATGCCCCATACCGATGCTTCCTGGCAACTGCTTCCCTTTGGGCAGAGCTTTGATTGTGTTTGTTTCCTAATGGTCCAGCTTACATGACTGTGCATAAGAGCCAGTGATCACCCCTTGGTGGTCGCAGTGTTACTTACCTAGGGTAACTTGTATGGGCTTGTTTTAATCTCACCAACTGGGACTGAAGACAGTTCTGTGGAGGAGGACTTGCCTACCATTCTCAAGACTCTTGAGTTTCACGTCTGGCACTACAAAAACCTACACACAGTAAACATTAAGCATCAGAATTCCGGCTGTCCTGACTCTGGCACACCTGCCCTATGAAGGTGACCAATCTCAGCAGTTTCCGCTTTATTCTCCATTCCTTAAGGAAATAAAGGGATAAAGTGAATACTTGCATACTTTCTAATAAAATCATCACACATGCACTCATTGTTTTCTTCATTTAATAGTTACCCCACAGGGCGTTGGCCACCTGGTAGACGAATGTTTTCCCATTTTAGCTAAGATTTTTAAGGGCTTGTCCCCAAAAAATAATAAATAAAAAAAACAACCCACCAGAAACACTATTAGGGATGTCTTTTTGTGATGCCTGGATGGGAAATTTGGAGAGAAAACATCACAAGTTTTCATGGCCATCTTCATGTGTCTAGGCTTGCAAAATTTCTCTATGGGGGAGTAGGTGACTGAAGAGACACCCGATGCGGAGTGGTGGAGGGTAGACACATGCCGGCTGTTTCCCTCCCCCTCACCGCTATTGATCGGTTCTCCTTGCTAAGTTCCCCAAACAGCACGCCCAATGCCAAGATTTGTCCTCAGTGGTTTCTCAAAACCAACAGTAAACCTTGGGGCACACTCAAGAGGATTTCGTGGAGAGATGGCTCTGAAGAACATTTGCTGTTCTTCATATAACTGGATCTTTTGCCTGATTATTTTTTTTTCTTGGAGCAAAGGATCGAACCCAGGGCCTTGTGCTTGCTAGGCAGGCGCTCTACCACTGAGCTAAATCCCCAACCTGCCTGCATGTATTTTTGTGCATCATGTGTGTGCCTTGTGCTCAAAGAGGCCAGATCCCGTGGGACTGCAGTTACAAACAGTTGTGAGTTGCTGTGTGGGTGCTGGGAACTGAACCCAGGTCCTCTGGAAGAGCAGCCATTGCTCTCAACCAATGAACTGTTAGAATTCTGCCCTCACTCCAGCTACATGACTGTTCAGGAGTTAAGCAAAGGGTCTTGTGTCTTCGTTATCAGTGTGCGCTGGTCACAATCGGCGCCTTAAAAAAGCCGGAGGCAGACGCCACCCTCTCTTCTCCTGTTCTGCTCGGCTCTTTCCCCCTACTCCACCTTCTTTCTCTCTCTTTCCTCCCCAAGTCTGGTCCTTTTGTTCCTCCTCCTAATAAAACTCTCCGCTACTAAGCAACCGGGTTCTGTCGTGACCTTGACCTTTCCGCCGGTAACCAGCGCCACCACCAGCACCATTTATCATTCATTTCACTCTTTCCAGCCTACACTTTCTGCTCTTGGAGAGGACCTAGGTTCAGGTCCCAGCATCCACATGACCTCTTACAACCCTCTGTAAATCCAGTTCCAGGGATCCATAACTTCTGACCTCTATAGACACTAGACATTCACAGAGTGCACACACGTACATGCAGGGAAAATGCTCATGCTCACTCTTTATTTTTTCAAGACAGGGTTTTTCTGTGTAGCCAGGGCTATCCTGGAACTCTGTAGACCAGACTGGCCTTGAACTCAGAGATCCGCCTGCTTCGGCCTCCTGAGTGCTGGGATTAAAGGAATGTTCCACCAATGCCTAACTACCCTTTACTTTTGTATGGTTCTGTGTGTGAGTGAATGTAGGCATTTGAATGCTGTGGCATGCATATGGAGGTCAGAAACCACAGCAAAAGACCCAAAGTAGCTATGAGAGTTTGATAGGTTGGGGTGAGAGCTTGTCTAGCAAGGCGCTGAGGCTCCTTAAGAGTCAGCATGTGGTGGCGCACGCCTTTAATGCCAGCTCTCGGGAGGCAGAGGCAGGTGGATCTCAGAGTTCAAGGCCAGCCTGGTCTACAAAGCAAGTTCTAGGACAGACTCCAAAGCTACACAGAGAAACCCTGTCTCAAAAAGCAAAAAAAAAAAAAAAAGAAAAAGTCAGCATGTTCCAAAAGGAAAGAAACATCCATCCGGGAGGGAAGCTCAAGACTCAGGAGGTTCTAAAGGGAGGCTCAGTAACACTCAGGAACTAAACAATTCAAAGACCCCAAGAAGACCTTGAAACTGGCCGGACACACAAGGTTCCTACCTCCCCGAGCATATATTAGCAATAAGGCCGCTGAAGAGACACAGACCGGCGGCTGAGCTGCCTGAAGAGACGCTCTCCAACCTGTCCAGGTGGCTGTTGTGTGGTGGGCCCAAGACTACACCGTGTTACACAGGAGTTTGAACTCCTGATCCTCCTGGCCTCCACCTCCTCAGTGCTGGGCTACTACAACTGCCTTTGGTTCCTGAATTTTTTACATGAATCTAGTGTTCTGCCCCTGCCTTTGGTGATACTTTGTGCTCTAACAAATAAAGCTTGCCTGGAGATCAGAGAGTGCAGGGCTAACCACTAGAGGCCAGGCAATGGTGGCACACACCTTTAATCCCAGCACTTGGGAGGAGGAAACAGGAAGTGATAGGACTGGGCGGAGAGAGGAAGTGATAAGGCAGGGTGGATTTAGGAGCTTGGGTTTTCAGTCTGAGGATCCCGAGAGGTAGGAAGTCTTTCTAGTGGCTGGCTGCTCTGCTTCTCGGATCTTCTGCTTTCACCCTGATATCTGACTCCAGGTTTTTATTATTAAGACTAATTAGAATTCCTGCTACATCTGCCCCCATTTATTCCCTTATCCTCTCCCCTTTTAAAGACAGGTTCTCTCACCTGGTGGTGGTGGCACATACCTCTAATGCCAGCACTCGGAAGGCAGAAGCAGGCAGATCTGTGAGTTAAAGGCCAGCCTGGTCTACAGAGTGAGTTCCAGGACAGCCAGGGCTACACAGAGAAACCGTCTTCAAAAAAAAGCATAAAAACAAAAAAAAAAAACAAAAACAACAAAAAAGGGTCTCATGCATCCCAGATTAGCCTCTGACTCCTTGGATGTAGTCAAGGATGACCTAGAGCAGTGGTCCTCAACCTTCCTAGTGCTGTGACCCTCAGGTTGTGGTGACCCCCAACTACACAATTATTTGTGTTGCTACTTTATAACTGATTTTACTCCTGTTATGAATTGTAATGTAAATATTTTTTGCAGAGAGAGGTTCACCAAAGGGGCCTTGACCCACAGGTTGAGAACCCCTGGTCTAGAGCTTTGGTTCCTGCTGCCTGCTCCTCCTGAGAGCTGGGGTTCCAGATGTGTGACAGTCTGCTTGCTTGTATGCACTGCTGGGGAACCACCCCAGGGCTCCAACCATTTAAAGCACACATTTAGTAAACTTACAAATCATGCAAATGATCACAATAATCTAGTTTTACATTTCACCAGTCTAGTAATATTTCTGTGTGTCCCTTTAGGGTTGTTTTAATATTGTCTAGGTTGGTCTTAAGAAATGGGCTCAAGCCAGCCTCCTATCTCAGCCTCTAGAGGAGCTGGGACTACTTCATTTCTATTACTTAAAACAAAATAAAACATTATTTTGGGGGCTGGAGAGATAGCTCAGTGGTTAAGAACACTCATTTACTGCTCTTCCCAAAGACACACATTTGATTCCCAGCATCCACAGGGCCTCTAACAACCATGTATAACTGTGGTTCTAGGCGATGTGATACCCTTTTCCAGCCTTGATGGGCACTGCATGTATGTGGTGCACAAGCAAGCAAGCATGCAGGCACAGTCACACACGCTGAAGCATTACATTCTAAAATTTTCCTTATTTCACGTGTACAAGTACTTTGCACGTATGCATGCCTGTGTACTATGGACGTGCCTGGGGCCCACAGAAGAGCATCGGACTAGAGTTGTAGCTGGTTATAAGCTGCCATGCGGGTGCTGGGAATCAAGCCCAGGTTCTTTGCTTTTAACCAGTAAGCCATTTCTCTAGCCTTAAATGTTAAAAACAAAACTATAGAAATCTTGTGTATGTGTGCACGTGTCAGAGGACAAGCTCTGAGTCTGATTTCTCCTACTGTGTGGGTTCCAGGACTTGACCTCTAATGATGAGACTTGGAGGTAGGCCATCTTACTCAGCTGTCTTGCCAGCCCATGCGGCTATTATTTTTTTTTAATTTAAATTTTTTAACTTATAAATGTTTTACCTGCATGTATGCATGTATGTATACCACGTGTGTGCCTGGTGCCCAAGGAGGTCAGAAGGTGTTGAATCCTCTCGAACTGGGTTCCGGACAGTGGTGAGCTGCCATGTGGGTGCCGGGGATTGAACGCAGGCTCTTAACTTCTAAGCTCTCTCTCCAGCTCCCCATTATTTCTTTAGCTGCCTCTCAACACATTTTCTATCTTCTGGGATAACTTTTTATTATTTTCTTCCTGATTTATTCACCGAATCATGGGTTACCTAAGAGAATGGGTTTTTTTTCCCCTTAAATATTTCTATGTATTTTTCCATTGTGGATCTTAACTTAGTTTCTTTGTGGTTAAAGAACATTTTTGGGTGATGAAGTCTTTAAAATGAGTAACTCAAGGTAGGGTCTTAAGTTGCCAAGTGTCCCATAGAAAGAAACTGAATCCTACAGTTGTTGCATGGAGTATTTATGTTTTTTTCTTGTCTTTCTTTTTTGAGACAGGGTCTATGTAGCCGAACCTGCCCTGGAACTATGTAGAGAAGGCTAACCTTTGAGATCTGCCCGCCTCTCCCACCCTGATGGGCTTTTTACTTAAAGTTTCCCATTGCTTTTCCTTCCTTCATGTGTTTCCATTTCTTCCAGGCATGGAGGATCACTGACTTACCTGAAGAGATGCATTAGGGTTCATTTCATGCAAGTCTGCTATTGACACGTTCTTTCTGGTTGTCAGACCACGTCATCTATCCCCCCCACCCCTATCCGAGACAGTGTCTCTCTATGTAGCTCTGGTTTCTGGAACTCACTATGTAGACCAGGCTGGCCTTGAAGGCACAGATCCATTACCTGCCTCTGCCTCCCAAGTGCTGGGATTAAAGGCCACCGCCCGGCCTCATCATTTACTTTTATGAGTATGTGTGCACATATGGAAGCCTGAGAACGGCGTCCTGACTTGCTGGGTACCTTACTCGCCTAGCGCTCATTTATTTCCCATCAGGCTGGCTGGCCAGCAAATCCCAGCACTTCTCTTGTCTCTCATCCTATCCTTCTCACTACAGTGCTGGGGTTACAGGCACATGTGGCCACATCTGGCTTTTACCTGGGTGCTAAGGATCTGAACTCAGGTTCTCATGCCTGTGCAGCAAGTGCGCTGACCTATGGAGCCGTCTCCCCAGCTCTGTCTTTTTAAGATTTCTATTTATGCCGGGCAGTGGTGGCGCACGCCTTTAATCCAGCACTCGGGAGGCAGAGCCAGGCGGATCTCTGGGAGTTCAAAACCAGCCTGGTCTACCAAGTGAGTTCCAGGAAAGGCGCAAAGCTACACAGAGAAACCCTGTCTCGAAAAACCAAAAAAAAAAAAAAAAGATTTCTATTTATGTGTGCAGATGTTTTGCTTGTTTGTATGTCTGTGCACCACGTGGGTACCGGCACCCTCGGAGGCCAGAGAGGGTGTTAGGTTCCCTGGGACTAGAGTTACAGATAGTTGTGAGCTTCCATGTGGTGGTGCTGGGAATCAAACCCAGATCATCTGGAAGAGCACCCAGTGTTCTTAACCACTAAGCCATCCCGCCAGCCTGCCTTTATTTGAAAGGCTAGCTCCAATATGAATAAATTATAGGCTGACAGATTTTTAAAAACTATTTGTGTATGTGAGTACGGCACAAGAGCTCCCTGCTCACGTGGACTTTAGGACAGTTTTCAGGCATCAGTTCTCTCCTTCCACCGTGTGGGTCCCAGAGCGGAGTCAGGCCGGCAGGCTTGGCGGCGGCGGGCTGGTTCACCTGCTGAGCGAGCCATCTTGCAGGTGCAGGTTGTCAAGTTTAAAATGCCTTTGTTGATTTTTAGATTCCATCATGTTCTCCCTTTTTGGTCGATACCCTCTAGATCTCAGACCCTTGAGAACAAATGCCAAATGCCTCTGAGGATTGAAGCTGGCCTGGACTCCACCAGAAAAATTCTTACCCACTAAGCTTCAGAGTGGCCGCTAAGGCAGTGTCTGGGCAATGTGCTCCCTACAGGAGCTCCCAGACGGAGCCTTTGGGGCTCTAGTGTTCTCTGTAAGGCAGAGCAGGCCTGGGCAAGTGAACCACATCTTCCTTATGCTGTATGCCCAGCCACAACCTGGACCCCACCTCACAAACCCAGGCTAAAGCAACGCTGTACACACACAGGCTGACGACGGCCAAAGGAGTTTCTGAAGTGGGGACCCACAGGCCCTCAAATCCCTCAGCCTTTCCTCTTTCATTCTTTGCCTTCTCTGGGTCTCTTGTCCCAAGACCTGAACAGGAGCAAGTCGCAGGAGGAGCTCTGGGCCGAGCGTACCCTTCCTCTCTCGTTCTGTATCCCATCAGGACACACAGACACAACTGCTTCAAGAGTTCCCGGCCACCAGGCACATTCTGGTCTTTGTGAGAATTGGTCAGACGTATCCTTCTGTTCCCAGGAAGGACACCCAGGGACCGTCCCTAGCACAGGGCAGTGGAGAGGCCCACAGCACCTCTTGTAAGGCCAAGCTACCATGTGCAGGATACTCAGAAGAGGCTGCATGCTTGTCCTCCCCGCCCCCGCCCAGGACAGATCCTTAATCAAACCTACTCGAAGAACGAGTAATTCAATACAAATCAGCTTAGTCAGAAAATCCAAGATGTGACTTCCAGCCCTGCCACAGCTCACTGAAAAGGGGATGGAGGTTCCGTTCACCCAAATCCCGCAGTCTCACTTTGCTGGGCCCCAACAAACCAGGATCCACGGACCTCCTTGGCAAGGTCTGTGTACTTAAGTTTGCTCACAGCTCAACGAATCTGTGGTAGCAGAGCATTGTTGGGGATTCCTCCCGCTCACTACAGACAAGATTCAACAAGTACAAACCTGCAAACTCTTTATTAAATTCTCCCATTTCATCTGTACAGAAAAAAAAATGCACATTATGTTCAGAATCTCAGTAACATCTTGAAATTGCACAGCATGAACATGTAAAAACAAGGAACTGCAGGGGTTTTATACATAGAAAGGAAATCCATTTACAAAAGAGGCTTGTTAATTGTACTTTTTGTTTAAAAAAACAAAACCAAAAACCAAAATGAGAAGCAGAACCAGGTTCGCGGCCCGAGACCTGGTACAGCACTCACTACTCTGCCGTCCGGCAGGGGGCAACCCTCAGAAGGCCCAGCCGCCCACTGCGCAGCCGGTGACCTGGGACCTGTGCTAGCAAAGGACTCCATGCTCTGAGGCTCGCATGTCAGCTTCGGGTTGGGAAAAGGCGAAACATGATCTAGAGGCATGGTCTGCACATCTCCTCACCTAGGGAGCTCTCCACAGCCTGGAGCTCAGGGCCCGGGAAGTGGGTAAAGATGTCAGAGAAGAGCCGTGTCAGGATCTGTCACCACCTCCTGAGCCCACACTGCAGCCTCACTGTCTGCTCAGGGGAGTGTGTCCCTTTGAGGTTTAATCTTCGTTTGCTTACAACTCACTGTTGTCTGAGAACTGGGTAGCAAGAAGGGAAATTTGACTTTAAACTTGATTACCTTAACAGGTGAAACTGGAGAGGCCAAGGAAAAGTGTGGCTGGACAGACGGCAATCAAAGGTACATGGAGGGGAAGGGAGACCAGAAAAGCAGGTACAGCCCTTTGGGAACCAAAACCCAGTAGGACGGAGAAATCCAAGAGGGCATTCTGAGCTTTGTGTTTTCAAATTCACAAGAAATCGAAACACAAACTTGCAAGAGGCATGTAATTCAAAAGGCCACCACCACCTTCTAGTTCTGTGGCCCTGACTTGGGCCGGCTGACTTCTGAGTACCGCTAGCATCCTCCTGAGATACTGAGCCTGGGGCGAGTGGGCAAAGTTTGTTTTTGTTTTGGGACAGGGGAAAGAATAGGAAGGGAGGTATCTTTTCAGAAGACTTGAGACCAGCCAGGAGAGCCCAGAAATGGTACACAGCCTCTAAGGGAGCATGGAGAGTTCTGGAAGTCACACTGATACACAAGAGTAAATGTTCTCTCAGGAAGGCTGAGGGCACTAATCATGTAACCCCGACCCAGTGTGTCTGATAACAGGGTGTCCTCTATCACTTGACTTCAGGAAACAGGAAGACATAAAGTTGGGTAATAACATTCTGCCAATTCATCTGTGACAGAGGACTCTTTCTCACCCATTTTTGGCCTCATGCTGGCCTGGATGCTCCTATCTAAAAGCAGGAGATGGTAGCCGTGGTACCTTTAATGGGTTCTGTCACCACCTGATCACTAAATGCCACTGGAGTGCCCCACCTACTAAGGATGCACTAGCTCAGCATGCTGACTTGACCCACAGCACCAGGGCTGGAAATGTAGCCAGGTGTTCTCTGAGACTGCAGAGTCTAAGGACTTCCCAGGGCCAGACTGCCGGCATGTCCTCTGACAGCAGCAACAGCAATCAAGTCCAGGGATGCACCCTGGTAAAATGAATGTCTTGCTCCTGGAGTGTTCCTTCACTGGGAAAGGTCCCATCAGAGATTAGTCTGGTTCTTGACTCACTATCCAGATTTCTGAACTGGTCCACAGAGGCCCTCAGTCAGGCCTCTGATTTTCTGAAGCAGCAAAGGGTAGTGTACCACCAACAGTCCCCAAGACACTGGCATGAGCTGGCAAAGGGAGACCATCGTGACCTGGCTGCCGAAGCCTTGGCCCAAACCTCCTGACTGCTTCTGTTCTTAGGCAATGAAGTCCAGCAAACGCAAGGCTCAGACTTTGGCTCCCACTGCAGGGTCGGGGTTCTTGACTAGTTTATGACTATCTAATTTATACCCATGATGGACTTATGAGGCCAGGGGCTCGAGTGCCCTAGAGCCCACTCCACTATGCCCAACAAGCTACAGAATGGACAGCACTGGACCCCAGAGAGAGACTAGAAAAACCTACTCGAGACCAGGCCTAAGACTAAGAGCCAGCCGTAAGAACTACTCCAAGGAAGATGAACACTTCCTGTACTAGGCAATTCAAGACCCTGGTAGCTATCACTTCTATTCTGACCATTTCTAATGACAAATATTTTAAGAACCTAACTCAGCAAACCTCCAAATCTACAGACAGTGAGGATTCCTGTCAGTGTAGAAACAGAAATATCAAGACATGTGAGAAGACGTATCAGGAGGGAGGCATCAGGGATCAGAGCCATGATCCTACCCTAGTCTACTCTGAACATCAATGTGACCCTGAATCACAGAGATGTCAGGGGGCTACCTTCAACAACGTGTGCAGTTCTGGATATCAGCCCCAGTGTGATGCTGAGACTTTTGGGGAGAGGGGCTTTAAGGACTGGTTTAGCCAGTTAGCAGTGGAGGGTGTTGCTTACAGAGCAGGGACTTTAAGTCTCATCAAACTCAAGAATCCCAGGACAGGTGCTGAGAACCAGGAAGACTCTAAAAGCAATACTGAGGGAACCAGGCAGCTTAGCAGGCAGCTCGCCTGGCGACTCCTGTCCCTACACAGGGGACACACAGCTGGTTCTGGAACTCACTGCCACCAGAAGAGGCAGCAAAAAAAGAAAACCACAGTATTCAAATCAGTGTCAGTCAGGTCAGACAAGGAGTAATGTGGAGAAACTGATCGAAACTGACCCAGCTTGCACTAACACACACATCTCAGGGAAGACACACACGCTCAGGTGCAGCGGGACTTGTAGGTGTAACTGAGAGCCAGGGGCAGAGAGGGCACCGCAAAGGGCCTGGGTCTGTGCGGACAGTTTTAGGCACATGATTTATAATACTCTGTGGACATCTAACAGGTTAATAAAATATATATTATATAAATATATCTCCTACTGTACATGCCACCCTCCTGTACAGCCACTGTGACGCCATGGCCCAAACTCACCAAAGGTGAGCCAAAGGTGAACTGCGCTACCTGGGTTTCTCCCTCTTACGCCCTAACCCTGCCATTTCCACCCTGGAGGAGTGAGGCAAGACGGCTGGGAATCATGCTCCTGTAAAGCTCAGATTATGGAACATTTAGCCAGTGCCTACTAGAGTGGGTACACACAGCAAATGAACAGAATGGAAACAACAACACCACAACTAAACCCCAGAGAAAATCCTCCATCTTTTAATGCAATCACTTCCACATCCCTTCACAGAGAGGCACAAGAGCTTGTCTGGGAAGTCTGCCTGGCGTTTACAGACGGTCGGGCTTCATTGCCAGTCACACATCCGAGACCAGGCTTAATCTGTAGAAGCCACCATTTCTGGCCTGAACTGTAGCTCAAAAAACACAGTGAAGTGAGTCCACCCCCTGTCCCTCCGTGCACTGCCACCCTCATCCTCATCTCAGAAGTCCACACCCCAACCTAGTAACTACTTCCTGCGGAGGTAGAGAACTTCCAGGGCAACCCCAGGCTCAGACACAGGCCTTAGTGCAGATCAGTGGACAGTCCTGCTTCACAGACTTCTGCTCCCCACTAGTCCACTGCCATCGACCCAGGGAGGCTCCTGCCTCTGCTCTCAAGTGGGGAGATCACAGCAACGCCCGTTCCTATGGAGCTGCGGGCAGCAGGGGCTCATCTGGGGTGGGAGATGGAAGGCATCACACTGCAGCAGAGGCAAACAAGACCCAGGGCAGGCTGCTTAGTGTCCCCACTACTTGGTGAAGTCCCCTGCCTTGATGTGGCCCAAAGTTGCTTCTAGGAGAGGAACCAGACATTTCAATGATCAGGCACCGGATATGCATAGCTCCTCCAAGTCCTGCTGCCACCCGCTGCATTTACATGAAAGAAATGACCCTACTGCTGAGTCAAGACTGAAGGAGATGGGCTACTATATACACTGTTTCCTTCTTTAAATTTTTTTGTCTTTTTTGTTTTGTTTTTAAAAACAATCTGAGTTGCAGGTCAGGTGTCTCAATTCTGGAAGTACTGGCAGGTCTGTTGGTATGACAGAATTGTCTACAGGCAGGTAAACCCTTCACCAACAAAGGCTACCACCAAAGCAGCCAGCTGCCGATGCCGCAAGGACAGCTGGGAGGAGGAGGAGGAGGACACCGCGGGTGTGGCCAAGTCTGGATGGGAAGATGCAGTGGGCACCTGATGCTGCTGCTCTACTGTGGGTGTTGGTGCCACCTCGTGGAGGGACGAAGTGAGAGGGTGCACTCACTATACAGGAAGGCTGTACAAACTGGGCCTGGCAGGTAGTTCCTTTGGTGGTCAGGCGGCTCTACCTGTCCTTGAGCTCTCGTGTCACACGCTTAGTGATCCGTCCACACATCAGGCCAATCAGGAACAGTATGCAGATGCTCCCACTGATCACAGAGAGGATGTAGTTCTTCGAGGGCGATGTCATGACTTGCATGGCAAGATCAGAGAAGCCATCTGCTGGGGCCACCTGGAAGGAGACAGCAGTGTAACCCTCTGAGGGAGAGCTGGGTAGGTGGCAGATTATAGCTAACTTACCACCCTGAATTCACATACATACATACATACATACATACATATATATAAAATCTATAAATTAAAGTATGTTTAATTAATTCGGTTTGTTTTGTGTTTTGAGACAGGATCTCTCTTCGTAGTCGTGGCTGTCCTTGAGCTCAGAGATCCATTTACCTCTGCCTCCCAAGTGCTGGGATTAATGGAGTGTGCCCTTAGACCTGGCTTTTCTTTTTTTATTATTACTATTCTTATTTTGTGCATGCGCATGTGTGTAGGATGTGAATATGTGGATGCACACTTGCCATGATGTACATGTGGAGCTCAGAGGACTACTCTATGGAGTCAGTTCCCTCCTTCCACCTTTAAACAGGTTCCAGGGATTGAACTCAGGTCTTGAGGTTTGCACAACAGGCCTCTTTACTCATTGAACCGTCTTGTACACTCTAGTTTACATCTACTTGTTTAAGGAGGGAGAGGGAAGAAAACCAACATAGCTCTGACCCTTTTTTCTGGATCACAAACCGGCAAGTGTCCCCTGCCCAAACAGACAGAAACAAGAGGCGCCACCCCTCAAGCGCTGTGGAAGCACTAACAGCACCTCGTGCTGCGGACATGATGTCAGCTTGTGTGAGGTCTCTGCATGCTTTCACTCACTCACTGCTCACACCAGCCCAGCAGGCAAACCTTACTCCGTCACAGTGAAGACTGCAGTCTGGGGTCCTCTTGACAGTCACAAGGCTACAGATGTATTTATGCTCTTCATTGTGTTTGATACCTTTTTATAAAACAAAGCTTCGGAAAGCTGAGGCCATGTTTTATGTTTTTCTTTTTTATTGCTGCTAGAAGAAGGTCCAGGCTGGCCTCAAACTTGTGATGTGCTTGCCTTAACCTCCAAACACTGGGATTATAAGCATGCACCACACTGTGAGTATAATCATTACATTATAAGTACTTTCACATCAAAAACACTGTGTAATCATGACTTAAAAGCCCAGGACCAAAAGCTTTCCTAAGTGCACACAAACTGTTCTTTTGAGTATTATCCTGGAATCCTAGAAGCCTGTGGTCAAGAGAAAACTGGGTGGCTCCTATGTTCATGACATATATTTAAGAACAGAGCAGGAGGTGCAAGAAAGATTAATGAGATTTGCTAGTACACAATAAGCAGTGAGTCCCTCTGAGTCCCTCAGCCACAACTTGAGCAGCTCGGAGGAGAGGAAAACAGTAAAGGAAGATGACTTAGTGTCTGCTGCTCCACCTAACTGGGGCTCCACAAGTAGCTTTTTTCCTTGGGGAGGAGTGAAGGGATGGCTGTAATGATAAATGATAAATGGACTATGGGAATCTGAGTATGACAAAGAGTACTGGTCTGACAGAGCTTTGCAGACCTAAGCTGCTGTAAGGGAGATGGTAGCTATGGGTTCAGGAACAGTTACTTTTAGAGACTTAATATCTTTTTCTCTTGTTTTGTTTTTCTAGACAGTTTCTCTATGTAGCCCTGGCTGTCCTGGAACTCATTCTGTAGACCAGGCTGGCCTTGAGCTCAGAGATCTACCTGTCTCTGCCTCCAGAGTGCTGGGATTAAAGGCGTGCACCACCCTCCTGGCCTGATTTTCAGAATATATCTACTGCTAGATTTCTATCAAAGATAAGACCAGTGACACATGTCACAAAGATGAGAACTGGCAGAAGAGGCTGCCATGTCAAAGGCTTTCTTGCTTTTTACCTTGGCTGCATAACTCCACATTTCAATTCGGTCATTGAGACGCTTTTTGCACTCGGGCTGCAACCTCACTCTCTTATCTTCCAAGGCCTCCATTAGGCAGGACATCTCTGTGGGAGAAAATGAGCAAGAAGTCTGCAACTGTACGGAAACAATTCTGTAAAATCAGGGAGAAGATTCCCGAACATCTGAGAACTCAGCTCTTCAGGACCAACCAAGTCAAACTCTTCCTGGAAACCCTGATCACGACCCCACTGGAGAGGAGTGTGGCTTCCAGTGTCAGCTGTTCACAATGTCTTCACAGCTCTATTTCATGGGGTGTCCCTGGCTTAGAAACAAGCTGCCGACTACCACCTGGGTTTCAGACAGCCAGAAGCTGCCTCAGTGCCTGTTACAGAGCCAGGATGCTCAGTGTAGGAAAGGGGAGAAGAGGACATAACCAGTGATTTAACTTCTTTTGGAGACAGTCTCTCTGGATAACTCTCTCTATAGACCAGCCTGGCCTTGAACTCACAGAGATCCGCCTGTCTGTGACTCCCGAGTGCTGGGATTAAAGGTGTGCACCACTATGCTTAGCTGTAACTGAATTTTTGATTCCTTAACAAATAATTCAAATTTCCTTTTCACTAAATCTTTGGCTCTGGCTGGTTCGAACCTGCAAAATTAGTCCCAAATTCACTGCCACCAAGGCCTAGCTTCACCATCAAGCGGATATCCAGGAGAGGCTGTATGTGGCTGGTCTACAGCCACAGTCAGAGCAGCTCCAACTGGTTACTCAAAGGGAGCAGCCTTTGTTCCTCCCGAAGGAGTTCAGACAGGGACAGAGCAAACAATCATGACTTACGCCGTCCTCGGCCAGGGGTGATGGCCGCACAGTGGTGTTTGATGTCCAGAGCACACGCTGTGTGAAGAACTGGGTCCACAAAGATGTCTGCTTTGCTCTCCTTCAACATGTTCAACACTTCCTGAAAAGGGAAGTGCACTGTGGGAAGAGCTTTGGAGAGGAAGTGGATCTGATCTGCAGGCTCTAATACTCCATAGAACATGCAAACAAACAGGCCAAAGAGGGAAGATGAACTAGAACTACTCTGGGGCAGGTGGGTGGTAATGTGGCCATATATGCACAGAGTGCAGACTTTTGGCACCCAATTTAATTTGCTAACTACCTCTGAGGAATAAAGCAGGGGTTAAAGAAAGCTAAGAATAGTATGTACAAGACTGGATGACCAGGCAGAAGTTCTTGGCATTCTGGTATGCCACATTATTTTAAAGTACCTACACGTTAGTATTTTTATTAATATAATATTTACTCTGTTACTTTAGGAAAACTGAACGATGTGAAATTAAAAAATGAGACTGATGACTGAGAATTTTAATATACAGCCTATTAGTCTAATCTTCAAATTCCACTCCTCAATCAAGAGGCTGGAGAGATGGCTCAGTGGCTAAGAACCACTTCCAGAGGACCTGAGTTAGGTTTCCAGCAGCCATGGCATCCAATGCCTCTGGCTTCCTTGGATACCTGCACTTATGTATACATACCCACATGCAGACAACACATAATTTAAAAAAAATTTTTTTCTCAACCAAATAAAGGTATGTTTTGTTTATAAAATGTTCTACTTTACTTAAGTCCTCAAAAAAAGATTTATCTGCATTAACTTTATGTGCATGTGTGTGGGTATGTGTACATAATAGTTATCTATAAAGGCCAGAGGGCACAGGACCTCTGAAGCTGGGGTTATGGGCAGTTGTGAGCTGCCTGACATGGGTGCTGGGAATGAACTCCAGGAAGAGCAGCAGGTGCTCTCAACCACTGAACTATTTCTTCAGCCCACTTCTGTCCTTCTTTTTAAGTTTAAAGATGTTCTGAGCAAGAGGGATATAAACCTAGCAGACTAAAATCAATTCCACAGATACTTCATTTATGCACAGTGCAATTAATTATAAGATGCAAAGATAGACCAGAAATGTTTGTCTCTTCTCTTACTTTAAAAAAAAAAAAAATTGTTCTGTTTTGATAGGGTATCATTGTTATAGCCCTGGCTGTCCTGGAACTCAGAGACTTCTACCTGCCTCTGCCTCTTGAGTCCTGGAATTAAAGGTGCGTGCCATCATGTCCAGCTAATTTTTTTTTAAAATGTGCATTATTAGTGTTTTGCCACAGGTGTTCAGTCCCCTGAAACTAGACTTACAGACAGTTGTGAGCTGCCATGTGGGCAGTAGGAATTGAAACTGGGTCCTCTGGAAGAGCAGTTAGTATTCTTAACTGTTGAGCCATCTCTAGCCCCGGAATTTTTAAAATTATCATTACATTTGCTTATTCTGTGTTTATGCTTGTAGAAGTCAGAGGAAGACTTAGAGTCTTTTCTCTCCTTCCACACACGGGTTCTGGGATCAAGTTGTGGGCCGTGGTGGCAAGTGCTTTTCCCCCACTTTTTCTCTTGTGATGGTGGGCACTGGATGTAGGAGCAGGCAAGCACTCTACTACTGAGCTACACCAAACTCCAGAAATGAGTTCTTGTTTTCAATCACAAAAAAACCTCAAAAACCTCTCCTCAAAGCCCAAATATTGTCTAAAAAATCCTTTATTTTATTTTATTTTTTTGTTTTTTGAGACAGGGCTTCTCTGTGTAGCCCTGGCTGTTCTGGAACTCGATCTGTAGACCAGGCTGGCTGAACACTCAAGAGATCCCCCTGCCTCTGCCTCCCGAATGCTGGGATTAAAGATGTGTGCCACTGCCGGGTGGTGGTGGTGCACGCATTTAATCCCAGCACTCAGGAGGCAGAGCCAGGTGGACCTCTGTGAGTTCGAGGCTAGCCTGGTCTACAGAGCAAGATCCAGGACAGGCTCCAAAGCTACATAGAGAAACCCTGTCTTGAAAAACAAAACAAAAACAAACAAAAAGATGTGTGCCACCACCACCAGCTTAGATTTCTCAATCAGCTCTTACCATTCCTCAAAATGTGGACTTGATCACTGTTAGCAGAGGAGAGAGATACACCCACATTTCCTCCTTTTTCTTCTTCCTTTTAATGCTGTAATACCAACTCCTTAGTAATCAAATACAAGCTGGGCGTGGTGGGGCATGCCTTTATTGCCAGCACTCAGGAGGCAGAGGCAGAGGCAGGCAGATCTCTGAGTTCAGGCTAGTCTGGTCTAGACAGTGAGTCCAGAACAGCCAGGGCTATAAAGAGAAACCCTGTCTTGAAAAATCAGGAGAAAAAAAAGTATTCAAATATAAAATATAAGCCTTCCTACCCAGCATTCTATGTTGTTACCTCTTTCCAAACCATTATATGGTCCTTGACCATTAATCTATGGCTCTCTTCCAATAAATAATGGAAGGGAACCAAAAGGAAAAAGAGAAAAGAGGCAGGAGACAGGCAAGGATGAGGGTGTGGCTACCTTTTTACATAGCTCTGTCTTGATCTTGAGCAGGTTGACCTTGAGGCATTCTTCCACTTGGCCTGTCTGCTCCTGGGCTGCTGCTTCTTCAGCACATAGGCTGGCAATCTGCTCAGGAGACAAGAAAACAGGGCCACCCTCCTGAGGAACAGCTGGCTTCCAGAGACATCAACCCCGTCAAATTAGCCCTGAATACATGGTGCCTGTTGCTGACTCTGAATGGGCCTGCTCCTCAAGTACAGGGGAGAGACAATGCCACTATCTTCGGAAACCGAGGTCCTAAACATATCAATGTTGATTCTCCCAAACGTGCCCAGGGTTCTGCTAACAGCTTCCTAGTGGAGTGTGTATCCTTTATCTGCATTGGATGCTCTGTTCTCCTTTTACAGTTCAAAGACTGCTAGTTCTGAAAGAGGTACATTGTTCTGGGACTTGTCATAAAGGAGAAAGGTCAAATAGCCAAATAAAATACTAAAAGCAAACACTTAACACGTGGCTCAGGTTTACAACTTGATGCCTACTGCATGTGACATACACCCACAGACTTTCTAAACATGATCTTCGGAGAAGAGACTAAACAACTTTCTTTGGACAGTTTTAAGAGCAACCTAAGCAGGGCTCCTCAGGTGGCCTTTTCTAGCCAAGAAGACCAATAATTTCCAAGGACAGCCACAGCTTACCTCATCTGAGCAGTGCAGCTGAAGCTGAGGGTCCAGGCGGTAATCTAGAGCGGACTCCTGGATGATGATGCGGATCTGGTCCTCACAGTCTGAAGACAGGCGCTACAGACAACAAAGGGAAAACACATCAGCCCACCCGAGAGCATCGGGCTTTAGATGAGCCCTCACACCCCAGCTTGGGGAAGGACAACAGGAGTATGCTAGTCATGTCTACGGGGAAAATGCTCATCCATACAGCTCTGTACCTGGTCAGCATATCTCAGCTTGAGGCATGAGATGACTTGGCCTTCTAGCTCCGAATCATCCTTTGCCTTGGTCAGGATACCATGACAGAATTTAGGGATGTCAGCTTTACAGGCTTTCCTTAGCACGGGGTTTAAGCGGTAATCTGGAGTAAAAACATGTCAGTAAATGATAAAATAGTTCACCTATAAAGTTTCACAGATTTTTGGAAATTCACCTTTCAAAAGGGGACATAGAATGTCAACAGTCATGGATATAGTTTTATATAAACTATATATTTGTTGAGATGGTAAACGGCAGCAGAGAAGTTACCATGCCAGGGCTGCTGCTGTTTTTGAGGAAGGAAGGGCTCCCTGCAGTTCAAGGATAGATCCCTCAGAGCAGGGAAGTCACAATCCTCCTGCCTCAACCTCTCAAGTGCTAGGATTAAGTGTGTGCTACCACGCCCATCTTTCCAATGTTGCTAATCAGCAATGCGACTCAGTTCCTTCAACTCTGCAGCATCTCTGCGGGGTTCTCTGGTCCAGTATTTAAAGCCAACAACAGAAACCTAGCCCATAATAGACACTTTTGAAAGCATCATGAAAAAAAAATCTAACACTTTTGTCCACTAAGCTACAAGCTTTCCTAGTCAAGAGCTGAAATTTCCCTTCTGAAAACAACTGCCCATGCTCATGAAGTTTGAGTAAATTTGTGGGATTCCCTTTCCTAGGAACCCTAATGCTCATTCCTTCTCTATATTTTTTAAGAGCAGCTGTCCAGATTTTCAGCCCTCTTCCCCTGACCTTCATTCTAATTTTCTGGCTACTCTTCAAAGGAGAAGGGGTACACTGCTCACATGCAGGCCCCTCTCTTCAAATCCAAGAGCTACATGGCACCCAGAGGTAACAACATGTTGACCAGTTCCACTCGGGCTACACTCAATGGGACCAGGAGAGCTGAGCCATGATGGTACCTGTGTTCTGGGTGATTTGGCGCTTGGTTATCATCTGTTTGCATTTGGGATCCATCAATTCACTGTTTTTATTCTGCTTCAAGCACTGTAACATGGTTTTAGAATCTGCTTCTGGACAGAACCGCTGCAAATAAACAGAATTATATGAAAAAGGCTGGGTTGGGGATTTAGCTCAGTGGTAGAGCACTTGCCTAGCAAGCGCAAGGCCCTGGGTTCGGTCCTCAGCTCTGGGGAAAAAAAAAAAAGAAAGAAAAAGGCTATATCAAACTAGCAACTAATCTATCTGTGATTACTTTTACATCTACCTGGGAGCTCATGAAAGCACAAGACAAAGGCATTGCTTGGCATGAGCAGGGACCAGCTAAGTACCAGCCGGTACCCAGACCCAGGGTCCCTTGCTTACTTTTCCCCTACTGCCAACACTGGTTACCTTCTGCATGGGTGTGTTCCTATTACTATGGCTATGTTATAGTCCAGGCTATCTCACAATGCACTTACTGTGCGAGTAGGATTAAACATGTACCAGGTGCTATCCAGCCCCCAGGTCTTACCTACCCAACCACAGTGGCAGAATTTAGAAAGTAACTATTAACCAATGTGAACAGGGATCTGGGGTAAGGCTACATGCGGTTTACCTTACGTGTAAGGGCGAGGTTAGCTCTATACTCTTCTTACTGTCCTTAAATGAGAGCTCAGTTTTGGGCTGGTAATGAACTCCATCTCATTTGCTAACCTATGTGTCTGTGTCACAGTGCCTCAAGCTCTGGTTAGGACACTTCACCACCAAGTCCCCTTGCTTGCTGTAGTGTGCATGTTCTTCCTCCCTCACTTCTCCCTATGTGCATGCACACACACACACACACACACACACACACACACACACACACACACAAATAAATAAACATGAAATTTTCACGGACATTACTGGTAGGATCAGCACTGTATATTAAAGGAAAGCTGAAATGCCGTTTTATTAAAATTTCTTTGCATTTCCTTAAGTTTAATATCTTTGTATACAGATAGGTTAAGAACATTTACTGGAGGATTATTTGAAGCAAAAGAATGTGCAGAATAAAAACACATTTTGCATGGCTACAGATGGCTCAGTGGTCAAGAGCACTTGCTGTTTTTGCAGAGGACCTGGGTTTGGCTCCCAGCACCCATGTGGCATCTTATAACCCTCTGTAACATTGGGTCTAGAAAACCCCATGTCTCAGTGGGTCTCAGGCATGTACATGGTACCCATTCTATACATGCAGGCAAAAGACTCATACACATAAAATAAAATTAAAAAATCTTGAAAAGAAAAGAAACATCTTGAGCGTGGGAGAGGATCTGATGAAAACTCTAGATTGTGGCTTTCTCAACACACCCATCCTGGCCATCTATTAGCTCAGCTCTGTGATTTTTCCAACTTGAGCCGGATCCACATTGCCTGGAGGGCTTATGGACACTCTGTTTACTCCACCCCCAGAGATTCTGGGGGCTCAAAAATCTACAAGTTGGCAGGTAAAGGAAATGCCACTGGACTACAGACCAGAGCTGAGGGAATCACCATGTTGGCTGTGTGTAACAGGATACAATGGAAAGGGGTTCATGCTGTCATTGTCACATAGGTCACCTGTTCCTTACCTTAATCATCTGCTTGCAGACTCGCATGAGTGTATAGTCTAGTTCTGGGTCCATCATCTCTGTTTCCTGAAGCTTAAACACTTTCTGGTGGCAACGGGTACTCAGCTGCTTCTTGTTTTCTTTCAGACACTCAATAATCTATGATGTAAGAGTTTGGGTGAGGTAGGAAGTACCAACCAGGAACTGACAGTTCATCTATTAACTGACAGTTATGGATGATGTAAGAGTGCTGGGTGAGTTAGGAAGTACCAATCAGGAACTGATAGTTCATCTATTAACTGACAGTTATGGATGATGCTATTAATTGACAGTAATGTATTATGTAAGAGTGATGGCTGAGTTAGGAAGTACCAATCAGGAACTGACAGTTCATCTATTAACTGACAGTAATGTATGATGTAAGAGTGATGGGTGAGTTAGGAAGTGTATCGGGGATTGAAACTCATCTGTTTTGACTGTAACACTCAGTTCAGTGAACAGCACTGTTTTTCTATCCCAGGATCTTTTGTTTCTAATTCCAGGCAGTCAGAGTAAGGACGTTCTCATTAAGGAGAATAATACTCATGGTGTTATAACCTCAGAGCCAACAGTGGACCAGATGACAAAGATTCAGGGTGACTACCAGGCTGCACTGGGACCTGAAAGGAAACCACTTAGGCTCTGTGGTTTCTTCTGCCTTCTTGAGCTTTCCCTTGTTAAGATTCCTCTTGGAGCACACATTTGACTCTGCTGACTAGAGAGCAGGCAGAGTCTAGAGATTCAACTTTATAAGAATAGCGTTAGATGCTAAGTATGAATTGGACCCAATCCTCCATGACAAATAACATCTCAGAGGGCAAACAATCAAAAGCTGTGAGAAAAGGTTGAGTGGTGCTGTAAAAAGTATCACGGGATGGATTTTAAGGTAGGTATATATTGAAGCAATCTCCTCACTGTGCTAAATGTTTAGATATAAAACACATAATCAAAGAAAGCAGATGGGAAGCAGCACCTGCCAGGGCTGCAGTATGAAGTCATGACACTTCTCTGAAGGACTAAAGACACAACCAGGACCCATCAACTAGATAAAGCACACTGATACCTAAGAAATGATACAAAAACAAAGGACTCAAACCTGAGGGGGAAAGCTAATAGGTCAATCAAAGAAAAGATGCGAAAATATATGTAATATCCTCAGAACAGTATAGAAGAAAATGATAAACAAGAATCCAGAATAGGTAGTTATGAAAAGAAGCAAGCAGAGATTTAGGAAATGAAAAAGCCCAACGGTGGTCTTTAAAGAATGAGAGAATTGAAGATAAATTAGTTTGCTGGGTAACAGAAGATAAGCAATTACCTCAAACGGACAAGGCCAGAAAGCAGTAAGAAAGGGTGAAAAGGGCACTGGGGACAGACTTGGGGCACCACCTGTCCACAGGAATTGAAGGAAAGAGGAAAAGCAAAGCAGTATCTGAAAAAACAGTGCCCAGAGGGAGACCCTGTTCTGACAAGCGCCCACCATGACAAAGAACAAGGTCCTGCCTGGTCTCATTCCCACTGAAATTATAAATCAAACAGAAAACTAATCTAAAAGAAAGATTAACTAAAAAGAGAGAGAGAGAGAGAGAGAGAGAGAGAGAGAGAGAGAGAGAGAGAGAAACAACAGACTCAGATTTTGCATGGCAACCTCAGACACAAGACAGAGAAGAAAGCATCTCAAAGGTTAAAGCACCATAGAAGGTCCTAGGCAGCTGAGAATGCAGAAATTAAACAAAACTCACTGGGCGGTGGCGGCGCACGCCTTTAATCCCAGCACTCACTTGGGAGGCAATGGCAGGAGGATTTCTGAGTTTCAGGACAGCCTGGACTACAGAGTGAGTTCCAGGACAGCCAGGGCTACACAGAGAAACGCTGTCTCGAAAAGAGGGAGGGAGGGAGGAAAGAAGCAAGTGTGTGTGGGTGTGTGTGTGGGTGGAGTGGAACACGGGGTGAACATTGGATGTGGAGTTACTGCAGAAGAAATACCTAAATGAACACCAGGAATTTACTGGGCAGACAAGGCAGAGAGGGTACAGAGGAGTGTGCATGTCAGAAGCTGAGAACAACAGTCTAGAACAGCTGAAGGGAATAATTAAACTGATAAGGATGTGGCAGTTCTCGTCTCACCAGTGAGAATACCTTAACTTGACTTCCAACATTAAAAACGAAAAGGAAATGTTACCTGAGCATTTCCATACTGCACTGTAGAACAATAGCTCTTGATGTCACTCTTGCAGGCTTCGTACAGATCTGGTTCCAAACGGATGTCTTCTGTCTGCATGACAGGGAGCCAGTGTGAGAAGTGAGGTGATTTTAGGCTAGAGATGTCAATATATATTTCTTAAACATTTACTTTTATTATTTTAAATTATATGTAGTTATATGTGCCCGCATGTGGGTGTGTGTATGAGTGTAGGTACCTGAGAAGGCCAGAGGTGTCAAGATGCCCTGGATCTGGAATTACAAATAGGCATGAGACATCTGACGTGGGTTCTGAAAACTGATCTCAGGTCCTCTGGAAGAGTGGCAAGTGCTCTTAACCACTGAACTGTCTCTCTAGTCCCCTGAAGATGGAATGTTTACAGACTTATTTGTTGACTGGACACTGTCTAGGAATAACTTCTAGAGGTGGCAGCAGTGTGCAGAAGACACTAACTGTCATATGGTAAGATTTCATCTGTGATTCCATGACTCCTGCTTCACACCAGTAGCTGAAGCTGTCCCTGTCTCTTCTCCCTCCCCAGCTGTCTCTGACGGGCCCTGTGGGGAAGAACCATGGCCCCCAGGCTGGCACACCTACATTTAAGGGGAGGAATTTTATTTCAAGGGGAAAGGTGATTTTTCTTTCCCACTTTGTTGGTAGAGATACAAAGTGAAGCAGGTAGTTTCACCGCTTCAGACTGCCATCCTGCAGCCAGAGGATGGAACTGATGTCAAGGACAGCTGAGTGGGCAGGAAAGATCTGTCCCTGTGGAAAGGACTGGTCCATGACTATCAACACTTTGAATCTATCCCAGTTTGGCGTCTAGGGGTATGTGGCAAAAAAAAAAAAAAAAAAGTCTGTCATTTAAAACCAAACTCAAAACAGTAAAGAAGTGGGAATGTCATACGGAAAGATTTTCAACTGTAACTACATCTCACGCTTCACAAAGGTAGCAGAAGCCATCTCCCTGTTCCTCTGCAGCTAAGCACTGGTCCTGTGGTTTCTGGAAGCATTACCATCTCCAGCTCCTCCACACGGAGTTGCTTGCGGCACTTCAGGGACACCCGGTGCTCCTTGGCTTCCTGCAGAGTGTCGTTGCGCACAGTGGTACTCAGGCAGATCACTACATCAACCCTGCCACGGAAGGAGAAAAGATAAGACTGTCTGCAGTGGGGTAAAAGCCAGAGCACTGGGCACACTATTCACCCAGAATGAATGAATTAATTCATGTGTGTGTGTGTGTGTTTAATGTATTTCTTGTAAGCCTCATGCTGTTGTTTTCAATAATTTAACTGTCCCCCTTATTAACCACCGCTTGAAAAGGCCAGGAGTAGTGAAATTGGCAATCTGGATATGCCAAATAAATACTAAGAATCACATTTAATTGAAAAGGTAAAAGTTCTGAATTTAGCCAGGTGGTGGTGGCACACACCTTTAATCCCAGCGTTTGGGAGGCAGAATCTCTGAGTTCAAGGCCAGCCTGGGCTACACAGAGAAACCCTGTCTTGAAAAAACAACAACAACAAACAAACAAACAATGTTGTGAATTTAAAAGGGGGAAAAATATGCCAATATTGTTAGGACCTATAGCGCTACAAGATATTGTATCTATACTCATGTAACTTTTAATACAGTATACTGTTTTTTTTCTTAAAAAGGAAAAACAAAACAAAACAAAACAACCATGGTCTCACAATGTACTCTAAAACAACCTGGATCTCCGTCTTCCTGTTCAGTCTCCTGAGTTCTAAGATAAAGATGCGTGACACTGCAACTACCCATATAATTAGTTACTATTAATTTCCTACTGTGTCTGAGTTATAAATTAAACTTTGTCATGGTACACAGGTATAGTGAAAAGGTTACACAGGGCTCGATACTATCTGCATCTCAAGCATTCACTGTGGCTTTAAGACATGCCCCCACTGCACCTTCAGAAGCCAAGCAGAGCATGTGTGATAGCACAATTCAATAACTGTTTGTTAAAAACAATGTGACCACAGAAAGAACAATGCTGTTAACCTTCACATACTGTGAAACATTCTCTAAAGGTACAGAAAAAAAAACTGTCTAAAATGGGAGCCTGGTCTTGGAAGGGAAAATGTGTTCTAGTAATGTCCCCCGCCCCAAGAACAACTTGCAAGATTTGGGCAGCTGCGCTGTCAAAGCCCATCAGTTTCCTCATTAAGACCTAATTTCCAAGGGAGCCGAGGTCTACTTATTCCCCAAAACTCTACTTCAGCCAGGCTGTGATGCTTCTTTGGGAAGAAGCTGGCTCAGCAACTTCCTTCTTTCAGGACTCCCTACACCTGCTTCAATCAGACAGGCTGTCTGAACCTAGGTTAAAAAACAAACAAACAAGGGGGCTGGAGAGATGGCTCAGCAGTTAAGAGCACTGGCTGTTCTTCCAGAGGTCCTGAGTTCAATTCCCAACAACCACATGGTGGCCCACAACCATCTGTAATGAGATCTGGTGCCCTCTTCTGGCCATACAGAGAGAGCACTGCATACTCTTAAAAAAAAAAATCACGAATATTCCCATATTCCCAAACCTGAGTGAGGTAACCCAAACCAAACCCTGAAGGACAAACATGGTATATACTCACCCATAATGGGATACTAGATACAAAGCAAAGAACAATCAGACTGCAATCCACAGAACCAGGGAGGCTATATAGCAGGGAGGGACCCTAGGATGACTGTAGCTTATTATAATAAGTTTTGGTTTTACTCAATTACTGGGCAAGCAAGCCTCAATGAAACATTTCACTATTAGGGTAAGAATTTGTACTGTACCAAGCTGATAATAGAAAAATAAACAAATAAAAATGAAAAAAAAAAAAAGGAATATTCCCATACTCCAGGGGCTTTTCTTTTGAGAACATCTATGACCAAATGTGGCTGAGAGAGCTGTGGATAGTCTGTGCACACAATGCCAGAGTTGGGTTACACTACAAAAAGAGTGGCCCCGGGACCAGTACTGCCAGACTGCAGGAAGTTGCCTCATATCCTACATACTCATCAGAGGCTGAGGGAGACTTGGAGGGCAGGACAGGTCAATGAAGAGATACATACTTCTTTTTTATGTTGGGACAAAGTTTTAACACATCCTCCTTGCAGGCCATTTTGAACTTGTAAGAGAATCGAAAATCCTTCATCTGTACCTAAAAGATGAGAAAGAAAATCAGCTCTGGGGCAATTAACAGCAATGGGTAACATTTTAGCTATACAACTTCCAGAAGCCCGATCACAGGATGCAACTCAGTTCATAGAGTGCTTCGCTAGCATGCACAATGCTCTGGGATTTATTTCACATAAAAACCTGGTGTGATAGTACATGCCTATAATACCAGCACTTGGGAGATACACAGCACAGGAAAATTAGAGGTTCAAGGTCATCCTTGGCTACACAGCAAGTTTGAGGCCAGACTGTTCATAAGAACTTTTGCAATCTGCTGAGATCTCAAGACTCTCCCTGTGGGCACACTGGTCTTCCTGTCCTTCAAATCACACGCATCTGAGCTCACTAGGCCAAAAGCGTTCCTCTGGCTGATCTTCACATAGTCTACACTGCCATTTCCTTCAGGGTTCTATTTTTAGTTCTTTTTCTTAATATCTCCTCTTGCAGTCCGTTCATTCCTCAATCCCTGCCCTGGTTTTATTTTTCTTCCTTGAACCACCCCAGATTGTGTAGCCATGATATACACCATACCTGTTCTGGCATCTTTCTTTTACTAGAGTCTAGATTCTAGCATGGCAAGAGAGTCCATTAACATCATGGAATGCACTTTACCTTCCTGTTATTACAAAGAGTATGGTCCAGCCATATTGTTCAAATGGTACATCTGAATTATAAGATTTAAAAAAAAAAGGGGGGGGGACATACTGTGTAGGGATTTAGTTCAGTGGAAAACTGCTTGTAAGGTGAGGCCCTAAGTTCAATCTCCAGCACATAACGGGGGAAAGAAATAAAGAGAAGAGAGGAACACAGTGGAGCAAAGAGAAGACTCAGGGTCCAGTGTATTGATGAACATCTAGGCTAGTGCACTAACAGTTACACAAAACAACAGACTCCAGTGATAGTAAGTATCACTTCAGGTGAGCATTAACCAGAGCAGGGGTTCCCCGCTCTCTTGTTTCTATCCCCTCTACAATGAATGCTCTCTAGGATGACATCTCATTTGTCACTGAATGCTAAGGAGCTGAGAAGAGTGCCTGGCCAGAGTAGAGAAAGTCACATTTACTGAGAGAAGTTCCAAATAGGGCACGTAATTGGAAATAATGAGAAAAGCAGAACTGCTTGGTTGTTCCAAAGCAGGAAGATATTCAGTAATGACCCCAGCAGCCAAGACAGGAAATCGACTGACCAGCTGGAAATGAGTGACTCCAATGGCACACTTCTCATTCATGTCCTTCTGGTGTTTGTTCTGTATCAGACACTCCATCAGGTCCCCAGAATCTATCTGGTTGTCTGCCACATCCTGAGGAAGACAGTACACATTTACACTTTATTTGTAATAATTAGCAATACAATCTATAATGCCATCTAGGAAAAATGTGAATAGGAGTGACTCTAGAAGCCTTCAAAAAAGAGATACATCATAAATTCTTCAAAATAAGCCCAAGAAACCAGGAAAGATAAAAATTCATTAGAAAATGCATGAAGCAAGAACATCTACTGTGAGGACTATTACTTATTTCCTTCTATGACGCCAGCAGCGGCTTTGGGATTAATACCTAGCTGTCAGATCTTCAGGGTTACGAAATGTTACTTTACTCCTACAATTTGGGTAGAAAGGGAGTAAGAAATAAAGGAAAGGCCGGGCGGTGGTGGCGCACGCCTTTAATCCCAGCACTCGGGAGGCAGAGCCATGCGGATCTCTGTGAGTTCGAGGCCAGCCTGGTCTACAAAGCGAGTTCCAGGAAAGGCGCAAAGCTACACAGAGAAACCCTGTCTTGAAAAAAGAAAACAAATACAAAAACAAAAACAACAACAAAAAAGAAATAAAGCAAAAGAAGTCACTCGGCATTGATGTGTAACAGAGACATTTGGAAGAGGAAACTACTACCATTGTTAACAATTCCCGAGAAGCAACTCAGCCACACCCTGGAGTTTCTCTTTTGTATCTTTTCTTTTTTTAATTTTTATCTAAAAAAATTTTTAACAAGTATTTTTTTTGAAAGATTTATTTCATGTACGAATGCTCTATCTGCATGTACACCTTTACACCAGAAGAGGGCATCATATCCCACTATAGTTGGTTGTGAGCCACGATGTGGTTGCTGGGAATTGAACTCAAGGCCTCTGGAAGAGCAGCCAATGCTCTTAACCTCCTAGCCATCTGTCCAGCCCCTGGAACTTTTCTTATAATGTCACTTCACCCACTGCTGCTAGCCACACACACACGCTCATCTGCACAGTGCTACTACTTGCTGGGATCAAGCTCTACAATCATCAGGTTCCCAAGCTGTTGGCCCCTCTCTCAATCTTGTTTAAAGTTCCAACTTTATTTGCTAAGTTTGTAACAGTGTATGCTGAAGACAGAGGTGAACCCCACAACCTTGAGCCCAAAGTCCCATTGAATTTGGTTCTGTTAGTAACCCATGTTCCTTCAGACATCACTTACATGGCAAAAGTTCTGAATTATAGGCTCACAGGCTCTCATCAGCAAAGCTTCTATTTGGATATCCTGTAGAAGATGAAATAGATTAATCACTCTGCTTCACAAAAGCCAAGCATGGAGGAGGAGAAGGTAGGGGTGTGTGTGTGTGTATGTGTGTGTGTGTGTGTGTGTGTGTGTGTGTGTGTGTGTGTGTGTGTGTGTGTGTGTGTGTGTTTTCCCTCTATCTCCTCTAATTATGTAGCCCAAGCTAGAACTCACAGAGATCCGCCTGCCAGTGTAGCCAAGCATGGAGGAGGAGAAGGTAGGGGTGTGTGTGTGTGTGTGTGTGTGTGTTTTCCCTCTATCTCCTCTAATTATGTAGCCCTAGCTAGAACTCAGAGATCCGCCTGCCAGTGTCTCCTGAGTGCTGGCATTAAAGGTTTGCACCACTACATCTGGCAGGCAGATCTTTTTATCAAGTTGAACAAATGAAGAGGCAGAACTAAGAAAAGGGAGATGATGTGCCAAGTGGTGGCGGCACACGCCTTTAATCCCAGCACTCAGAAGGCAGAAACAGGTAGGTCTCTGAGTTCGAGGCCAGCCTGGTCTACAGAGGGACTTCCAGGATAGCCAAGGCTACACAGAGAAATCTTGTCTCAGAAATAGAAAAGAACAAAAACAAAGAAAGGGGAGATGAAATATTTGGCAATAATATTAGAGCATGCCAATTCTTTAGAGTTTTTATTATCTCTTGCACTTCTGAACAGTATTGTCTACACTTATGAGGCTTTTAAATCTCATGTTTTATATTTCAGTAGGTTTCAGTGTATAACAGAGGTAAACTCATACATTCAATCTTTCATTTATTACTACAAGTCCCAGGACTTTATTAAGCATACAAATAGCACCAAATGACCTCACTAAATGAGCTTTAGGAATAAGAGACTATCACTGCTTACACTGCTTTTAAATGTGACTCAGAGACTTGCAGTGCAGAAGCCATCTTTTCTCAAGTGAAAAAGGGTCTAAAACTGATAACTGTGAAGAAGAACCAAATAGCTAACTGTATAGACAGCTTTTCTGGAGCTGTATTAGAAGGTGTCAGGACTCAGCACAATGTACCTCTTTATAAAGTCAACAGGGAAAGATTGTTAAGGTTCTTTTGACTGACAGAGCATCTGTACTCTCAAGAGCACACAAACAAAAGAGCTAAGCAATAATGGCCAGGCTGCTGGCAGCACCTCTCCTCCAGGGAGATACTTATTACTTACCTCAGACTCTAACTCCGTGAGGTTGCCCACTATGTCTCTGCATTCCACAGCTAAGTCATCAAGATGGTCTTGGAGGCACTCAAGCTCCTGAACATAAAAAGGCAAGCCCTTGGTGTTTAGTCATGGAAGCAAATAAGAGAAGGTGGGACATTGTGCATGCCTCCTTCGTACTCGTTTCCCTTTTAAAACCACCTCACTAAACAACACAAACGCGTTACCTGATTAAAACTGAGATGTAAGGCCGGGCGGTGGTGGCGCACGCCTTTAATCCCAGCACTCGGGAGGCAGAGCCAGGCGGATCTCTGTGAGTTCGAGGCCAGCCTGGGCTACCAAGTGAGTCCCAGGAAAGGCGCAAAGCTACACAGAGAAACCCTGTCTCGAAAAACCAAAAAAAAAAAAAAAAAAAAAAAAAAAAAAAAAAAAAAAAAAAAAAACTGAGATGTAATGTGTTACTTGATGTAACAAGGTGGTTGAGAGGGCCAAGTAGTACACTAAGCCGTGCAAATTCAGAAGGCCAAACTTACAAGTCCAACAGGAACTACCCAGGTATCTTCTAACTATAACACTCAGCCTGTAAACTATAGTAGGCTATTTTTTCCCCTTCCTTCCTTCCTTCCTTCCTTCCTTCCTTCCTTCCTTCCTTCCTTCCTTCCTTCCTTCCTTCCTTCCCTCCCTCCCTCCCTCCCTCCCTCCCTCCCTCTCTCTCTCTCTCTCTCTCTCTCTTTCTTTCTTTCCTTCTTTCTTTCTTGGTTTTTCGAGACAGGTTTTCTCTGTGTAGCTTTGCGCCTTTCCTGGAACTTACTCTGTAGTCCAGGCCTGCCTCTGCCTCCCGAGTGCTAGGATTAAAGGTGAGCGCCACCACCGCCCGGGATATAGTAGGCTATTTTAAAAAAATATTTTATGTGTAAAAGTGTCTTGCCTGCATGTATGTCTGTGTGCCACTTGTATGCCTTGGGGCAGCAGAGGCCAGAAGAGGGAATTAGATTCCTCAGAACTAGAGGTACTAGAGATAGTTGTGAGGTACCACATGGGTGCTGGAAATTGAGTCCACGTCCTCTGGAAGAAGACAATCCAGTGCTCTTAACTGATGAGCTACTTCTCCAGACCCTTTAACCACATACTATTATTACTTAAGGGTATTTTGTTTGGGCTTTAGACACTGGGCTGATGCTGCCTTGTATCTAGCCTTACTATTCACTATTTCTTTCAGCTGCTTAGTACTGTAAGCACAGTACCTGGCCACTCTCCTAAAGCTACCAAAAGCTACCTCTCAGCAGAGTGCCCTGTTACGAGCAAAGGTTCACCAAATTGACCACTCTGTAGGAGTCTCTGTTTTAGACTTAGGAAGAAAGAGAGAAGGATTGGAGGAATTACAACAGCCAGAACTGAGGCGGAAAATGCACCAAACTTCTGCAAGTAAGACAAACAGATAACAAGAAAAATCTTATCCATGGAATCCATTCTTAGGTTTAGTCTCACAGCCACGTGCCACAATGTAGTTGGGGTTTCTGAAGATTTACCTTATAGAGCAGTGTGAAGAAAACCTTTTCTGGGGTTCTAGAGCAACACATTTTTGTTGTTGTTCTGTTAGACAGAGGTATCTAAACTACAGGCATTTTCTAGTCATAAACTCAACAGAATTAGAGCAGGCTCAGGAAACAAGTGATGAAAATGATATTCTTACAGCCAATAGTCTTGGTAAATAATTACGGTGTTTCTTAAAATGTCCAACTCCAAAACATGACAATTTTTGGTATATCTTTGTATGTGACCCAGTAAGTAATCAGGGTTGCTAATAGGGGCATAGGTAAGGGCTTATTTACAGAAGCATTGGCAAAATATGAGTGTCTATACTACATGGAAGCCCCTGGCGCACAGGTGGCCAGGCCCTTCCTACAGAACACTCTAAAGGCCACACTAGCGTCCCTCGAGCAGCAGGTAACCAGGCCCCACCCTACAGAGTAGAACACCTAGAGAAAGCCTGCGTCTAGCTTAGGTCTTTGCTGCTCTACTCCTGAGCAGAGGCAGCCAACCTCCCAATAAATCTCTTGTGTGAGGTTTGCCATGCAGTGTCTTTGTGGTATCCCTTGGATTCCGAATGCCAGGACACCTTTCCTCTCAGAGCTGTAACACTTACACTGCTCAAAAAAATTTCATAGCTAGGTGTAGTGGCACACATCTTTAATTTCAGCACTCAGGTAAGCAGAGGCAGACAGATCTTTATGATTATGAGGCCAGCCAGGTCTATGTAGCAAGTTCCAGACCAGCCAGGGCTACATAAAGAGACCATATCTCAAAAAGTTAAATAAAAAATTAAAATTTTTCTCTCCACAGCCATTAATTGCCTATAATTGTCAGGGAAGAGTAGAAAATTGTATCCTCTCCCCACTACATATATGTGTAGGCAAGATGTGCAAGTGTTGGTGTTGAGTGCACATGCACAGGGGACCAGAGGTCAACTTTGGGTGTTATTCCTTAGTAACTAATCCGGCCTGTTTGTGAGACGTCTCTCACTGGGATGTGGGGACTTGACAATTGGTTAGGTTGGTTTCACAGTTAGATCCAGGTACCTGCCTGTTTCTGCTTCCCCAGTGCTGCGATTATAAGCATGAGCCACCTCACCTGGCTCTTTCACTTGGGTGCTGAGGATCAAACCTATGCTTGTAAAATAAGCACTTTACCAACCAGACTATCTGTCTAGTCCTTGTTGTTTGAAACAAAGTCTCATGCAGCTCAGCCTGGTTCCAAATTCTCTATGTAGCCAAAGACTATCTTTTTGTTGTTGTTTTTGTTTTTTGAGACAGGATCTCACTCTGTAGACCAGGCTGGCCTCAAACTCACAGAGACCCACCTGCCTTTGCCTCCTGGGTGCTGGGATTAAAGGAGTGAGTCATGCCTGGCTGCCAAAGCTATCTTTGAACTGATGTCTTGTTTCCACCACCAAACTGCTCTGAGATTAAGAGCATGTGCTACCATTTCTAGCTATGTGTGACTTTCAACAAAGTGGAAAAATACTACATTTCCATGCATCTTGTAGGGCTGTGCTACAGCAATCACATTATCTATTGGTGCATTCAGAACTTTGTTTTGTTTTGTTTTTTGAGACAGGGTTTCTCTGTGTAGCTTTGCGCCTTTCCTGGGTCTCACTCTGTAGCCCAGGCTGGCCTCAAACTCAGAAAGATCTGCCTGCCTCTGCCTCCCAAGTGCTGGGATTAAAAGAGTGCGCCACCACCGCCAGGCCCCAGAACTTTTATTTATTTATACACACACACACACACACACACACACACACACACACACACACACACACACATACACCACAAAATACTCTGGCAATCACAAAAGGATTTAATGTAGCATATAACGTTAGAAAGTAAATTAAAAAAATAAGCTGGGCGGTGGTGGCACACGCCTTTAATCCCAGCACTCGGGAGGCAGAGCCAGGAGGATCTCTGTGAATTCGAGGCCTGGGCTACTAAGTGAGTTCTAGGAAAGGTGCAAAGCTACACAGAGAAACCCTGTCTCGAAAAACAAAACAAACAAACAGAAAAACAAAACAAAACAAAACAAAAACGTCTTTCCTTCATTTTGGGCTGGAGAGGTGGCTCAGTGGTTAAGAGCACTGACTGCTTGCTCTTCCAGAAGTCCTGAGTTCAACTCCCAGCAACCACATAGTGGCTCACAACCATTTGCAATTAGATCTGGTGCCCTCTTCTGGCCTGCAAGGACACATGCAGGCAGAACACTGTATACATAATAAATCAATAAACCTTTAAAAAAAAAGTCTTCCTAATTCAATTAAAGAAAAAAAATAGAAAATAAAATAAGTTAAAATGAGGAAAGAAGCCGGGCGGTGGTGGCGCACGCCTTTAATCCCAGCACTCGGGAGGCAGAGGCAGGCGGATCTCTGTGAGTTCGAGGCCAGCCTGGGCTACCAAGTGAGTCCCAGGAAAGGCGCAAAGCTACACAGAGAAACCCTGTCTCGAAAAACCAAAAAAAAAAAAAAAAAAAAAAAAAAAAAAAAAAAAAAAAAAATGAGGAAAGAAAAGAAAAATATGTTAAGGAAAATGGAATGCCTAGCACAAAAAATGCCTACCACAAAATCTTACATACGTGTCAGAGCAGGACATACTCTGGCTCTAAGATTTCTTTCTTTCTTTCTAAAAATTTTAAAATTTCTTTTAGTTTAAATACATAAGTGTTTTTCCTGAATGTATATATGTGCACCATGTGCATGCCTGGGCCTTCGAAGGTCAGAAGGTGGCATTATATTTTCTGGAACTGGAGTTACAGATGGTTGTGAGCTGCCATGTGAGCTGCCCAGGTCCTAGGAACTGGGTCCTCTGAAAGAATAACAAGTGCTGCTGACCTCTGAGCCATCTCCCCAGTCCCCTTGGCTCTAAACATTACATAAAGAGGGAAAATAATCAACTCTAATAATAAAGAAACCATAACATTAAAACATATGAAAAATATAACTATTCTTACATAAAAGCAAAAAACAAAAACAAACAAACAAAAACCTCTGGTGGGTTTCTTCTAGAAAGAAGACTGAAAATACAAAAAAAATCACACCAGCAAATACTAAGATGGACTCCATGGGTACTTTACATTAAATATGAATCACTAACATTATGATCAGAGAAAGCAAATGGCAGCTCTGTCACCAACCTGCCCAGTCTCTGTTTTCTCACTACACCATTTCCCAAGATCTATCAGGCACTTATCCTGGAGGGCAGGATCCAGCTTAACATCCATGGCACGCTGGTGTAGGATCCTTTGTACTTCAGCCCGGCATTCTCGTGAAAGCTACATGAGAAAGAATGAGCAAAAGACTTTAAAGATAACAAAAGTAAATATATGAAGTCCCTAGGCAGAACAAATCTCTTATCAGCAAACTAATAACTAGCCCTGTAGTTTACTCCCCAACTTTATACCAAATTAGATTTTCTAGGATAAGAATTAAATGCTTTAGGGAACTGTTGAAGTTGAAATTTCTCCAAGCAGGAATACAGTCAGCATTTTCCATTAGATGATGTCCTTTTCTGAGAGTATCCCGAAGGAAAAGAAAAAAAAAGTGAACCAGATCCATCCAAAGCAGGGTTTTGTTTAGCAACATTATCTTGCTATTCCATGAGTATGGTAACATATTAGATCTGACTGGGGCAAGACTTACACATACATGCTGCATGCAGGCAATGACAGAACATCGATTACACAGCCAGGGCTGTATGTCATAGGCAAATTACATAGAATGAGCCAAGGGTGGAACAGGTGAACACCAAAACATGGATGCCCAGAACAAACACACACCTGAGGCAGGATCACAGACCTTAGTGGGTATGGGGTTTCACTTTACTTTTTAAAAAATGACCTCTATTTATTTGTTTACTTATTTGTGCCTGTGTGTACAGTAGTTGTCCAAGTGCCATGACATATGTGTGGATCAGAAGACAACTTACAGGAGTGGGTTATGGAGGTTGAACTCAGCATAAGGCTCAGCAACAAGCACATTTACCCACTGAGTCAGGCCCAATGAGTTCCCTTTCAGAGTCACAGAATAAATATTTATACAATACTGTGAATGCACCAAATACCACTGATTTTTTTCCCTGTAAAGGGCTAATTTTATGTTCTGTGAATTTCAGTTCAATTCTGTAGGAATTATTTTTTTTTAAATCTTGCATAAGGGGTATGGTGGGACGGTTTAGTGGGTAAAGGCACGTCTGCTGAGCCTGATGATCCCTGGGACTCCCATGGTGGAAGAAGAAATAAACATTTCCAAGTCGTTTTCTGGCTTCTACATGCATACCATGACAAGTGTCTCTGGGTATGTGAACACAAAATAAAAATGTAATAAAAAAAATCTAAAAAGTTAGCACAAGAGATTCTACTCTTTCTTTACATGAGAAAGAACCCCTGCTGTTATGACTAACCAGATACCAGGATATGGGAGCATCTGTAGCTAATGAGAAATACTATGTTTTCTGATATGACAGAATAAAAACTGGGCCAGGATTTTAGCAACTGAAGTATGACACTTCCTAACTCTATCTCCTGGTTCTGAATCCTAGACAGTTACACTAGGCAGAGAAGGGGTATCTGTACTCAGGTACGTAAAGTAATAACATGGCTACAATCTGTAACATATGCAGAAATGACATTCAATAGGGTCTCAGAATGAGAGCAAGCAGCATGTCTGTGTGGCACCAGAAGACAGCTAAGCTCACACAAATATCTCACCAAAGGGTGGCAACTGGGGCAGGGAATTGCCAAGAAGCTGGTATTGAAGTTTCTGCTCCAACTAGTGCATTGACAGAGAGATCTCGTTAATATAAAGCACTTGTGTTTGGCTGTAAAAGGCACAAGGCTAAAGGACCATTTGTATCCTGGCTAAAAGCTTCTAATGGGTCTTTAAGACTAAATAAAGTTAGAACAGCAGAATTTAACTGTCCATTTGTGATTCGTATTTTGGAAATTTAGAGAGAAAACCCGGAAATGTTTCCCCATATACTTTGTTTAAAACAAAAAACAAAACCAACAACACACAGGAAAGAAGCTGGCGGACAACTGTACCAGCAGGGATACTCACTGAATGATTATGTTTCTAGTGGTAAACACCCTCCCATCCCGCCACATACACCAGAACAGGAAGGAAACAAACGGCATTAAGAAGAAACCAAGGGTGACAGCATACCCTCCTTCCTTGCTCTTCTGTACGGTAGGCGTGCCTATATAAACAAGAAAACACAGCTCCAGGAGGCATGAGTTCACTGGTCTCATTCCAACCATGGGTATGGCAAAGGCGAGAAGCATCTCCCTGGCATTTTCGGTATAATACAGGGTCCAACCTATAAGGTTAAAGTGAAAAGAGAAGCATTCCTTCCATATTTTCTTTCCCAGACATGCTCAGGGTTTTTGCTGTCTCCCCACGCCCCCCCTCAGACAAGGTCCCTTAGAACTCAGGCTAGCTTTGAAGGATGAACTCTTGGTCCTCCTGCCTCCACCTCCTAAACACAGATTACAGGCATAAGTAGCCACACACCACTCTAAACGCCACTCACAATGACACAATAGTCAACCTTCAGAAACCTGTTAACTTTCACACAGAAGACATCTAGTCTCCCTCAAAGAAGTCATTCTAGTGCTGTAAGGTACCTACTATTCCTAACTGTAAGACCCAGCAGGCCAGGCAGCAGAGTAGAGCTAGGTTTGTTGTTAGCCTAGGCAATCTTTCACTAAGTACTTTTTCCTAGGATGAATGCAGTGCAACCTTATCTGATGCACTAGCTTCAACAAGATCAGGAAATGACAGGAAAAACAGTCTTCTACTCAGAACACTCAACAACAAAAATGTTCTCTTTATCTTCCTATGGAAGATAAAGTAGTGGTTTCTTTAATTTGCCTGAAAATTGCTTATCAAATTATAAAACATGTAACTTTGAATCAACTAAAGACAGTGGATCATGTGTTGAACTGGTTTTTTTTCCTCAAATCAGACCAAGGGATACCTGATTGTTCACATTCTATTGTCAACTGTAGGAGGATCTATTTAATGGCAGGAGAGAGGCTAGTATTAAGCTTTTAAGAGATTATGAAGCACATTTTTGATCCTAGGAGAAAGAGTTGAGGAGGAGAAATCACTGTCTTGATTAGGGAGACATGCTGTAAACTCAAGTTATTTCAGTTCAGATGGTTTGAGGAAGCTTGGGAAAGCTATCATACAGTTTCCTTTGATCCTTTCCATACCTAGTTTGTTTATTTGAAACAGGGTCTTGCTATGCAGTCAAGGGCAATCTTGAACTTGCAATATTTTTGCTTCAGTCTCCATTATATATATGTGCACTCATGTGCCACAATGCCTGGCCTTCCAGACTAATCTTCCAGACAAAAATACATCAAACCTCAAGTAACCTTTTCCATTGACACATGTGAACAAAATTAATAAATTAACCATCAAGAAAGGGTAAAGATTTAAGCAAGTTAAACAGGAAGCAGCTGATTATGGGAGGCAGAAGCAGCAGTAAAATCCAGTGTCAGCAGCACTGGAGAAGGAAAGAAAATAGCACAGAAAGAAGAGGTGAACACAGCCAAAAAACTACAGTGATTCTGACTACATGTAAGAGAGCACTCATCCTTTCTTTTTATTTTGCTAATAGGATGAGAGAAGGATTAGAAAACTGTCATTTATGCAGTTATCTTTTTAGAATCAAAGCTGAAGATGCTCTTGCTGTCTGCACAGGTACTAGGACTCCCTCACAACAGATATTTGTGGTATCAGAAATTATTTGAGTCCAATTTCCAAAGTAGTGGCAAACAGGGATGCTTGGCATCCCTACAGACTGGCAGTGGGCTGACTCTGCTTTTAGATACTGCTCTAGAAGTAGTAAGAATAGGTTTTCTGGGGGTTGGAGATAGTTAGCTATCCCAGAATTTGAAAAGAATTTGTTAACTTGTTACTGATTATCATAAAATATAAAAGTGGGGTATGGGGACACAGCTTAGTAGAGGAGTGTGTACTCTATAAGTATGAAGCCCTGGGTTTAAAAACACATGTGGGCTGGTGAGATGGTTCCATGGTTAAAGCACTTTATGTTGCAAGCCTGGTGACCATAGTTTGATCCTCAGAGCCTATGTAAGAGTGGAGGGCAAGGAACTGACTCCATCAAGCTGTCCTCTGGCTCCCACATGCTCACTGTGGCAAATAAACTCCCACACATTATGCATAGGTACACACTGATAAACCATTAAATTCTTCCCACATGAAAACCCATCCATTTGATACTGACCACACAAGAAGACAGAATGAGGCCATGCCTTCTACTGGTTTTAAAATACTCACTTCCAATCCCGAGAGATAAAATACTGCAGCTCTAAGAGACGGTGTTCACAGTCTTCCACCATTTTCTCTGTGTATAAGTGTTCCATCAGACATGACAGAATCCTGGTCATAACAGAAGTGAAATTGTAATGAAGGAAACATTCTGATGACAGGCTCTAACACTTATTTTAATACAGTATTTCCCTAGGGTGATATGATTTATTTTTCTGAGAAGCACACAAATTAGCTGAATTTGACAGTAATTATTTCTTCTACCAGCTTTAAGTGATTTTGCATTTCCAATTCTGCATACGTAAGATCTGTGTAACAGCTTTCTTTTAATCATTTACTGTAAAAACTTTACAATATATACATGAGTAGAAAATAGTGTACAGACTACTTTCCTTCCCCAGAGCTTTTGTGAACCTATAACCAAATTTGTTTTAACTCAGTCTCTTGCTGATAACTGGAGCAATTCTCAGTAAATACTTCATTCTATTTCTCTAAAATTTGAGATTATCATAACCACAGCAACAACAAAAAGGTAAATCCTTCATATAAAATAAAATCCTATTGTGTCCCCTCAAATATTTTCAACTATCTCATGTCTTTTTAAATGTTTGTTCAAATCAAGACCTAGCAAAGTGCTACATGTTGTATTTAATCAAAGTGTTGGAGATGGAGAGATGTGTCAGTGTTTAAGAGCACTGATTACTCTTCAACAGGACTCAGCTCAATTCCCAGCACCCCCATAACTCCTCTGATTCCAGGGAATCTGACGCCCCATGCTGGCCACTGTGTGTTACCAGGCAAACAAGTAGTGCACAGACATGTATGCTGGGAAAAGATCATACACATAAAATGCATTTCCTTCTTTTCCCTTGTCCCTTTTCTGGTTGACACAGTTATTATACTATAAACATTCTTAGTCTAAGTACACACATCTACCTCTTTACCAACATAAAAAGCTTTAAGCAAGAATAGCATTTTAATTCCTTACTGCAATGTGAGCAGCAGGAGCTTTCACATAGAAGAATGATGATAAGCCTGGACTGCATTTACTTCACTGTTAGGCACTGCCAGATGCAAGCTATAAAGAGTTATGTAAGCCGGCAGTGGTGGCACATGCCTTTAAGCCCAGCACTTGGGAGGCAGAGGCAGGCATGTAATCTCTGAGTTGAAGTGAGTTCCAAGATAGCACAAAGAAACACTGTCTAAAAAAACTATGAAAACAAAACAAAACAAAATCAACCGACCAACCAACGAAAAAGTTATGTAAAACAGGAAATCTGTTCTTACTTGCAATCTGGTTTTACTTGCAAACTGCTTTCACATCATATGGAATAAAACAAATGAAAATCAAATATTTTAAATTAATTTCATCATTTAGTTAGCCTTCTGCTATCTTGGATAAAATGTCACTATTCAGTTTGCCTATGGCCATAGCTTCTAAATATCCCATTTTGTCTTCAGTCTCAATTATGACTAACTGCTCTCAGATGGTTTTCAAGTAGTCAATGCACAAAAGGATGAAAAGGACAGAGTGCCAGTGTACAATGTCCCTTTATCCTGAGTGCCTCTGAATTGTAGGAGGTTACTCAGTGACGACGCAAGGCCCATATATGCCCAGACATTGTCAGCAGTTCTGGTTTAGATGTCTCTTCATCATGGATGAGGCCTACCAGAAGTCTCAATTTCAATATTAGCTTTAACAAAAGTTTGGTATGTGTCACTGCTCAACAATATTTCAGTCAAGATGTTAAGTTACTCAAAAGTCACTTGAGGGAATGTTCTCTGTCCTGCCAGATAAAATACAACAAAGTGTGACAAGTCAGAGAACCTACATTGGGTCTCCGGAGCGTATGTGTTTGCAGGCTGTCTGGATTACAGATTCACAAGCTTCATTCAAAGCCCGATCAATGCGGTAATCTGCACCAGGGTCAGTCTCCTGAATCAGTGTCTGAAGCTGGGTTGGAAAAAAAAAGGTAATTTAGGAACAGAGAAGAACAATGTCATATCATCATCAGATGCTCAGTCCAGGACATCACAACACAATCTAACAAGGTTCTACAAATGTTACTGGCCAAGTTGAAAAATGCAGACGGAACAGTTTCCAACTGTTTTCTCCACTTGTTCCAGGTTTTCTGTTGCACTCACTGTGGCAATTGCATATTTACCCGGTTGGACCCTTCACTGGGCATCTGCAAACAAGTCCTTACAATGTGCCATGCAGGCTCCCTCCTGCTAATCAGATTTCTCAACCTGCTGCTTAGAAGGAAGCCAGAGTTGAAAAGAGTAAAGAAAAGACAGCTCCAATTAGAGAGCAATTTGGTCTGGTCCTCACAAGGCTGTTAATTTCGCTACACCAACACTGGCACATGACAAGTATACTGTGTTTTATTATTAAGGCGGATGTGAGAGATTGAATTAACTCACAGCTGGAATTAGAAAACAAGAATGTTCTGGGTGGGTGAGGGTGTATACTTTTGATCCCAGCACTCAGGAGGTAGAAGCAGGATGATCTCTGAGTTTATCCAGCTTGGTCTACAGAGTGAGTTCCAGGACAGTTAGGGCTACACAGAGAAACGCTGTCTCGAAAAACAGACAGACAACAAACAACAAACAAAAACAACAAACAAAACAAAAATAAGAAAAGAAAACAAGGGCTGGAGAGATGGCTCAGGGGTTAGGAACACTGGCTGCTCTTCCAGAGGACCTGAGTTCAATTCCCAGCACCCAAATGGCGGCTCCCAACTATCTGTAACTCCAGTTCCAAGAGATCTGACACTTTCACACCAGTGTACATAAAATAAAGTTAAATAAATTAAAAAAAGAAAAGGAAACAAGAATTGTTACAATTTCTTAGTTTTTGCCAACTACATTTATACCTTAACACTCCCAAATGTCTGCTGTAAAGCACATGAAACTGAGGATACATTCCTTCTCATCTACTTTGCTCGGCCCATCCTTTCCAGAGCGGAGCACTAACTTAGACCAGAAGACCCAGGGTTAAGTAATGGTTCTGTTCCTGTGGAGCACTAGATTTGAGAACTGCACAAGTTCATCTGCCTCTCAGTTTCCGCACTCTATTCTCCCCCCCCCACTCTATTTTATCCTGTATTTTTATGTTATTGAAAGACCCTAACCCTTCAGGCTTATACCCCCCAAGCCCCAGGAAATGAGAAACTAAAAATCTAGTTCCAAGGGCAACCTGACTCAGCCACTACTCAATCACCCTTGCCACAATATAACAATGTAAAGAGATGATCTCTCAGAGATGTGCTTAATTGTGACTGGGATAATTGCAAGTGTTCCAGGAAGGACCACTGTGACCTTTGTGTAAGCTCCACCCCCCCCCCCTTGAGGTTTCAGGAAGAATGTACCTGTTGATGAAACTGTACCCCCTCTGTGATCACTCTGTAACCAGACCATGATCTTATGAAGTTAGCCTCTAGACATAAATCAATCGAAACGAAATTGTATGAGAATTGTAATCTTGTGGTTTTTGTGGGTTTTTCCTTTAAAAACCCCATGTGGCTGCAGTAAGATGCGACTCTTGCTCTCAGGACAAGAGTTTGCCCGTCTGTACAGTCAATTCTGTACATAAACACCTCTTGCTGTTGCATCAACTGGACTGGAGTCTGGGTTCTTGGGGTGCCCATTTGAGACCCTAGATTTTGGGGTCTATCATTGGAGGTCCCACCGAGATTTTTGGGGTGCCCCTGGACCTCCACTCTGCCGGTTGGAGGTAAAAACGAGCTCGATCTATGTTTTGTTATTGTGTCCTTGTCCTTTGTCTGGTTGATTTGGCATTTGTATTCAGTCCCTCCAGAAGTGTGCAGGACTTGGGACTTGCATGGGGAGCAGATGTGCTCAGATGTCCCCGGGTCCCCATTCTGGAGGTCTCCTCTGGAGTGATCTGAAAAAAGGAGATGAGTCTCTCCTTCCCTGGGGGAGCAAGGCCGTTCGCCGCCACTCCCATTTGAATTTGTGCTTTCGGTTTTGTGGCCAAATCAACTACCGCGCAGACTGTGTCTGTCCATTTTATGTTTTATGTTTTATCTGTCTTTGTCTGTCTCTACCTCTTAATTCCCGACCTCGCTTCCCCTTTATCCACACACTCCCCCTCCCCTCGCCTTCCAGCACCCCCCCCCATGTTCCGCTCCTGCGGCCCTTTTTCTCTGCTGCCTGGGCGGGACTTGTGCTCCCGCCAGGGCGGGATTCGCGCTCCCGCTGGCGCTGCTCGTGGTGCCCTAGACTCACCTGGACTGTCAGATTCTCCTGGAGGGTCTCAAAGGGGCAGGTAGACGCCCCAACAATTTGGCTAAGGTAAAAAGATTTTTACACTGGGGCGTCACAGGTTTTTCCCCTTTGCTGGGGGGGGTGGTGGCCACTAACTGAACTCCCTCATTGCTTCCTTTCTCTCTGACCAGAGCGTAGGCAGCGGCTGCACAGCTGCTGCCTGGGACCTAGGGCACCACTGAGAGGGCTAGGCAGCCTGTGAGCATCGGGGCAGAGCTGGCGGGAGCCAGCTGGAGCCTGGAGGAGCTCAGAATGTGGGGGTTGATGGAAAACTAACTGCCCTTCCAGGGTCACAGCTGACAGGTCTGTGGGCCCAGCCAGGGCATGGAGTCACTTTTAGTCTGCCGCTCTCGTGTACTTAAAAATCTGAGATTAACAGCAATCTTTTGTCCCCATGGTGCATGCCTTCCCGTCCTCTTCATCTCCCATGCTATTGGGTGGGGCTCCCAAGACCTGCCCTGGGGCTAAAAAACCTGATCAGAGTCTGGCTCCAAGAATAAAATGTCACTCCCTATATGAGGCTATGATATAAAAGGTCAATCAACTGTTTATTATGGTTTCTTATACCTGCAAATACTAAATTTAAAAGTTAATTCTGGTTGGTTTTCATCTTAAAAATGGCTGATTCTGCAAACTGCTTATGTGTGTATATGGACAGGTATGTGACTTGGAAATATAAGCAAGCTTTAACTGTATATATGTATGTATGTAACTTGGATCCAACTGTGTGTATGTGTGCAAGTAATTATTGTTTTAAATATATATATATATAACACCTAAGTACTTAAAATTTAAATATATAACAACAGATGTTTAATAAATAAGATATTTGATAAATATTAAAGCTACACATCAATGCTTTTATACACAGAAATATACCTTGCTCTGGCAGCTAAACTTTGTAATTTAAGATTTACCCATGTAAAATGATAATGATTTTAAAAACATAAAAGGATCATAGGAAACAGCTGAGGTTTGCAAATATATGACAGGAAAGAGTCTGGTTGCAGTGGTGGACCTTAGCGGTTTTCCAGTGTCAGGTGATGATCACTGAAAGCATGTATGTGCTGCCAAAGGTAGGGTCAAAGAAATCATCCAAGCCTCTAAGTAAAAGAACCAAAAAGATTATAAATGAGTCCCAGATATTGAACTTTGGGATTGTTTGTACTCTGGAGCTTGGTTTTACTTTACACAGATTATGATGATGCCATGTTTTCTCCCCCTTAAAGTAAAAAAAAAAAGGTACTTTATTGTTATTACAAAAGACATTTGAGAGATCTTAATCTTTTAAGAACAGTTTTTATGGTTAAAAACCAAAGACTTAAAAATGTTTCTCCTTACCCAAGGTACATTCAGGCTTAAGAATGTTGTCTAGCCTCCTTGTATTTGCTAAGTTTGTTAAACTTAAGTTATTTGAATAAGCTGATACATATATTGATATTTTGTTTTGGCTTCTTTACCGAACCTGCATTTGATGCTAGAAGAGCTTCAACTTAAAAGCATTGTTTTTAATAGTCAGTCATAAGTAATCAAGTTCCTTTTTAATTATAGTCAGGGTAAATAAGTACTGATATAATATTACAGAAATAAGTTTACTCATTTAGTCAGTTCCTTGCATATGTTTTCAGGGTTGAGCTTGAAACAAGTAATTAGAAACAACGTTCGTCTATTCAGACACCTGGACGGCCCTCATACTTCAGAGATCTGCAGAATATGGCATTTAAATGTTGATCTAAAAGTTTATTATATCAGACAGGCTTCCAGATCCTAGTAGTGACCCAAGGTCTCCAAAGATTATGTACGAGGTACCACAACGTCTCTGCCTGGATTATGACAACGCTGACCACAGGGCAAGATGCCCCAATGCAACACCTGCCGCCAGGACCCAGCCCAGACTGTGGACAAGCAGTAGGACACTAAAATTGATTACACCCTTTTGCCTGGTCAAGGTCAGTCTTCCATATCCCTATTCCACAGGAAAAATACTCTGCCTTATGGGCCTGATGGTGGAAGAAGATTGATGCTGTTCTGACTGGTGCCTCCAATGCTATGGAGACCTGGGTAGGGATTGGTCCCTGTAATTTATGGGATTGGAAGCTTCTTGGTCTACACTCAGATATAGTTTATCCTTCTCAGATCTCTGACAGTATTGATGGCTAGGCTAGCTCTAACTTTGTCAGCATGGCAGCATCAGACAACCAGATCCTTCTGCAAGGCCATAGCTAGCTTGTTAGCTCACTTTTTTAAAAAAATGTTCTAAGATATAAAAGTTTAAATAAGTCATAAAGGTTCAGATATGAGTGTAAAATGAGATATGTTTCAGATTACTCTCCTGTTCTATGGTTCAGAGCTTAACATTTAAAAGTCCTGATGAGCTGGTAGAGCAATTACTACTTACTGTTCAGTCACAAGCTCAACATTTTGGATCTGTCTTAGATGTCATCTAAATATGTCTAAATGTAAACCTAAAAGTGCTTCTCACCAGGCCAAAAATCTCTGTCCAACTTATACCTGGCTTTCTGGACAGAAGAAAAATGCCCAAATCTGTAGTTCTTGTTGGGACTCAAAGGTATGAGTCCACTTCTGCTGTTTTACCTGCTTTGTCTACAATGGTTTATCCTTTCTTGGAGTCTTCTCCGATTTGTACACATCTGACCTGTGATCACACAGGGGTTCATATGAAGGTTCTGGCCCTTTTACACACTTATCATACATTGCAGATAAAAGGAAGTAAAGATTCCAATTCATTCTACTATCCTACAAGTCACAAAGGAAGAAATATGGAAAAAACGTTAATATTCTAGGATGGAAGGTGTTTTGGTAAATTTTTGGTGGTTATTTGAAAAGGCTACAGAATACTGTGGTTTGCTGGTAGGAAAAATACTTTGTGAGTAAGTTATGATACCTGATGACCAAGATCAAGATAGTGAGTGACATCTTTTTCTAATGTCCCCTAGAGTCTAGTAGGCTAACAATTCCAGGAATCATTGTCATTCTACAATTTAGTGATGGGTGTGTGGAAAATATATGATTAAAATACAAACTGAGCTGGGAGGTAGTAGCACATGCCTTTAATCCCAGCACTTGGGAGGCAGAGGCAGGTGGATCTCTGAGTTCGAGGCCAGCCTGGTCTACAGAGCTAGTTTCAGGACAGCAAGGGATACATAAAGAAACCCTGTCTTGAAAAAAAAACCAAACCTCCCTCCCTCCAAACAAACAAACAAAAAGAATACAAACTGAGATAGATGCAGTGATGAACACCTTTAAACCCAGGCCTTGGGAGGCAGAGGCAGGAGGACCTCTTTGAGTTCAAAACTAGACTGGTAAACATAGCAAGTTCTAGAACAGCCAGGACTACATAGAGAGATCCTGCCTCAAAGTAAGCAAAAACAAAACCAAAACAATATAAACTGACGTTATAATTGTACATATATTCTGGCCCCTAGAAGTAAAAAAAAAAAAACCTTCAGAGAGAATTTGCCTGAAGAGTAGATTGTGCAGTAGTCTTCCCTGGTGTGAGAAAGCATGGACTGAACTCCATTAGTCATAACCCAAGAGAACTTAATAGTTGGCGATCATGGTAAATTTGGAGAAGCATACACTAAGATAATAGTTATTCACATGCTTTACAGCTCAGTACTTGCTTATGACTGTTAGCAGATCATTAAATTAATCCAAGCAGAGATGAAAAAATTAATGGTCAATTACATATATTGAAGTTTGCTGTGTCAAGGAAGAAAACTTTTAAACTGAAAAGAAATCCATACAAATTGCTTTAAAGCATTCAGTTTAAGGATGGATAATATAGAAAACTAAGGAAGACTCTCTCCCTTTGGAGAAATGCCTTTAGTTTTTGTGGTTAAAAAAAAAAAGGCTAAAAAAAAAATCTATACAATAAAAATGAAGTGTTTCTTTCCTAAGCTAGTCTTAATGTAGTCAAAACCACATAGTTCACTACTTGTGGCTACTTTGGAAAGTAATTTTTCTGGGTACAAAGGGTGATGTGGGTGGTACTTATTTATCTTTGAAGCTGAGTCACTAGTTCTTTCAACAAGCTAACTTTCAGAAAGCCTGGGGAGTGAACTATGTCCTTAAAATTTTTTTTCTTTTCCTGAACACTTTGCAACAGGTGCAGGCTGAGCAGAGATAGATTTTTGCCCCTATTCTCCTTCCACAACCTTTCTAGATGAAAATAAGGATGAAAAGCAAATGCAGCAGAGCTGTCTCCTGATTCATCCTGGACTGCAGCAGCATATTCATTGGCGTGGAGGGCACCCAGGGCAACTGCCATCAAGGAGGACTCCAGAGGAACTATCTTCAACAACGCAGTCCACGGTAGGCTCCAGAAGCCTTCCTCCTAGCTGATTTACTATTTGAGAAGAGGCTACAGTTGTCACCCCACCATAAGATGCATAATAGAACTGCAATACTATCTACTGTGGGTCAGGGTTAAAAGAAGCTAAGGTGAAATTTTATTCCATATCCAAAACTTATATAAGCTTGTGTTTCATTTCAGACTATCAAATTTTGTTATAGACTGAAATTCTGATTTTTACATGATTAGCTATAAAATAAAATTCAAGTAATATTTAGTTTTTAATAAAAATACCAAAAACAGAGTATAGAATGAATTGTGGTTTTCTTTCTTTTTTCAAAAATAACTTACTTATTTTTGTTTTGTGTGCATTGGTGTTTTGCCTGCATGTATGTCTGTGTGAAGGTGTCAGATACAGGAGTTACAGACAGTTGTGAGCTGTCATGTGGGCGCATGGAATTGAACTTGGGTCCATGGGAAGAGCAGCCAGTGCTCTTAACTGCTGAGCCATCTCTCTAGTCCTGAACCGTGGTTTTCTAAAGTGACACTTAGGTTATAAAACTAAAGTGTCTTTCATGCTTCCTAAAGGGAAAGTCATTGTAGAGAGCACCACTGCTGTATTTGGTATTTTAAAGTGCATAAGGCTTCATTATCCAATTAAAAAGCAACAAACATGGGCAAAGGTAATGAGACAAAGGCATTAAATGGTATTCTGTTGACTTTATATTGTGATCTTCAGTTATTGGATTGCTTATGAACACTGGATCAAGAGTCACTTTATTTTCTCCCAACCGCCTTTACATCCTTTCCTGTGAAGTTTGGAGCTGGTGAAAGAAAAGACCTTTCTATTCATAGTTGCCCTGGTTAATGAATAAAGACAGTGTGATTCTGAAAATGATTCAGGCTTGTGACACAACTGTGAAAGAAGAAACTGCCAGAAATTTTCCATTCATGTCAGCTCTCAATTTCAACTCAATCAAACTTGTTGAGACAGGCAAGTTCTCTTCTGCTAACAGCCTTCCTTGATTTTGCAGAAACTGATTTGCCTTTATTCTGCATTTAGGAATCCAATTTGGCAAGTTGGGCATTGTCTTTGCCCAACTCCAGAGCTGTTTTTTATTGATTATGAATTCAAGCTTTGTTGTGTAGCAACTTCTACATCCTTATTAAAACCTGCCCATAGGAACAATATTTTTGTCTATCGTTAGTATCTGATGTTCACTGTGATGTCAGAAGTAATCTAGAGAAACTGCCTGTTAGGTAAAAGTTCCTTGGCTGATAAAATGTGACAGTTGTTCTGGCTAGTTTTTGTATCAACTTGACACAAGCTAGAGTCATTTGAGAGAAGGATCCTCAACTGAGAAAATGTCTCTATAACATCAAGCTGTATGCAAACCTGTAGGGCATTTTCTTAATTAGTGATTGATGTGGGAGGGCCCAGGCCATTGTGGGTGGTGCCATCTCTGGGGAGGTGGTCCTGGGATCTATAAAAAAGTAGGCTGAGCAAGCCACAGGGGGCAAGTCAGCCAGCAGCACCTGTCTATGGCCTCTGCATCAGCTCCTACTCCAGAATCCTGCCTGAGTTCCTGCCGTGGCTTCGTTCAACGATGAACTATGACGTGAAAGAGTGAGTATTTAAAATAAACCCTTTGCTCTCCAGTTGGTTTTGGTTATGGTGTTTCATCACAACAATAGTAATCTTAACAAGGTGGCAGTAGAAATATTTTCCCTTACCGCCTGCTGGCAGTTCATTCCAAGGTTCCCCTTTTCACCCCGAACTACTTTCATCAGACAGTGGAGGGTTCGCCCTTTCCGATGCAATCCAGAGCAGTGGTGTTCAATCTCCCCTCGGCAGCTCAGGATGATCTCAGGGCTCAGAGAGAAATCTTCCATCAGCATGCGTCGGTAATCTAACATCTCCCCTTGGCACTCACTGCTCACTTGTCGACCTGTTAGGGTAAGTCATACAGTTACGAAAAGTGAGCTTGAGGACCTGTAATCTTTACACATTAAAGCACACTTTTCTGTCTGGAAAAGAAAAAGTCATAACCTTTCTGGATGGAATTAATATCTACATTGAAATGCTTAGATCTTGGCAAAAGCTTCAGCAGCATAAAGTAAACAGTCTCCAGAGACCCAGGTTTATCCTGCAGGGTTGTACATTACAGAGCTTATGAACTAATAAGCAAATGTTTTGCCAAAGGAAGCCCTTTTTTTTCCTTTCTTTTTTTGATGTGGAGGGTTGAACTCATGGCTTCATTCACGTTACATAGCACTTAGCCACTGAGCTACATATCCACAGTCCCAGATGTCTTATCAATAAGAAAACTATTAGGGGCAGTAAAGAAACCCAGAGAACAATCCCTAATGCTCTGAACAGCTGAAGTTTGTGAAAAAACTATCCTTCAAATATTCACAACAGCTCCCCCATGTCTTTGAGCTATAAACGTGATCCAACTAAAAAAAGCAACAACACCTGCCCCCAACAACCCCCCACATAAGTCACCCAGCCAGTTAGTTTAGTAATGGAGCCATAATTTGAAGTCAAATCACTCTGACCTAAAACTCATGTAACATGTTATCTCACTCTTCAAAAGAATGCTTCAGTAGCCGTTCTACAAATTAAAAGGTCTGAAAGAAACACAGAAGGGAACTACTACTTGCAGGTACAGAAAGCTTAGGATGGGAACTGGGGAAGGAATGAGAGGGCAAAGGAAATGAAGAGTCACCTCTATGCACAGCTGACTCCAGGCACATCAGAAGGTAGGAAAGCCTGGCTTCCCGGGACCGAGGAAGGTTCTCTACATTGCATCGGTATTTCTTCAAGTCACTCTTACAGGATTTGGCCAATGAATAACTGACTTTATAATCCTGGGCAATGAGCTTCTGGCGTGTAGTTAGTGCTTCTCTACACTGAGGAAAGAGTGTAAAGTGAATGAGATCACTTAATGTGGCTCAGCTATCTAACAAGCAGAAACACAGAACCATGCATGTCAACAACTGCACATTTTAACCAAAATGCCTATCTGTAAGTTTGTTTAAAATCTGGCTCTAGGGCCTGGAGATATGATCCAGCAGTTAAGAGCACTTTTATCTCTTTTAGAGGACCCACATTCCATTCCCAGCACCTACATGGTAGCTGACAGCATTCCCTAACTCCAGTACCAGGGATTCTGAAGCCCTCTTCTGACTTCTGCCAGCATGCACATGGTGCATAAACATAAACACAGGTCAAACATTCATACACAAAAATAATAGATAGTATGAAAAGAATTAGGAGTAAATCAATGGGACACTCTGGAATCTGATGGTGAACTGTTAGTTAATTGTTGCTAGAAGGGCAGCACATAGATGTTTGGTGGGTCCTAATACACTAAACTTTCCTCTTCAACCATACTCCTGGTATAAGTTGCACAAGAGCAGAAGTGTCAGCTGATATTATATTTGGGTGTTCTGTTTAATAGAACTTTCTATTTATTCTGAAGACAGTAAATACTTGGGCTGTATAAGAAAGCAAAAGACAGAAATGCAAAATTAGTTTTCAAAGTGTTAAAAAGATTCTTGTAGGGCTGAAGAGATGGCTCAGAGGTTAAGAGCACTGGCTGCTGCGTTGAGAGCACTGGCACATGGTGGCTCACAACCATCTATAATGAGATCTGGTGCCCTCTTCTGGCAGCAGGCATACATGCATGTAGAACACTGCATACTCAATAAATAAATAAATAAATAAATAAATAAATAAATAAATAAATAAATCTTAAAAAAAAAAGATTCTTGTGTCCATTTAGTGACAGGACTAATGGTAAGAAGAACATTTAAGGAGATAATACTGAAAAATTAAACAACTGGCTACCTGTGAAGGACATTAGTGTGGTTAGCCTAGACTACCTGAGAATGCAGAGCTGGCATTAATGTAGTTCTGATTTAAAAATTTCTCCAATTTTACTCTCAAATGACTTCTCACTTTATAAGCATCACAATTCGAGCTTCATTTTCTTAGTTTAAGACAAATATATTTTGTTGTTTTTTTAATTAATTTATTTACTTTGTATGTGCGTGTGTGTAGGGGGTGGATGGGTGCACTACAACACGTATGTGGAGGTCAGAGGACAACTTGCAAAGGCTGAGTTTCTCCTTCAATCACGTGGGTTCTCAGATGAACTCAGGCCATCTGGCTTGGTGGCAAGTGCCTTTATCCTCTGAGCAATCTTGCCAGTCCTCAATTGCTTTTTAAGATGGAGTATCACTATGTACCCAGACTGGTCTCAAACTTCAAATCCTTCTGCCTTAGCCTTCTAAGTGAAAGTTATCACAGGCATGTACCACCACATCAGGTGCCCAAATATACTTTATGTACTTAAACAAAAGTGTCTCAACTCTGGAAGGTATATGCTTTATCAGTCATTCATACCTTGGTAAAGTCATTTCTGTGGATCCATAGATTTGAATTATTTTGGAAAAATATTAATGTGTACTAATTATATACAGATGCTCTTCTAGTCATTATCCCTTAAACAATATAATGTAGCAACTATCATTGTAGCAACACCTCATCCACAGTGGGTGAGATATGTATGTACATATATTATACACACAAACATATTTTGGATTCTCAAGACAGGGTCCATCTGTGTAGCCCTGGCTGTCCTGGAACTCACTCTGTAGACCAGGCTGGCTTCAAACTTGGAGATCCATCTGCCTCTGCCTCCCAAGTGCTGGGATTGAAGGTGTGCACCACTACCATTCGGCATGTGAGGTATTTTAAGCAATCTAGACACTTAAAGTTCACAGCAGACTGTGCATAGGTTTTGATGTACCACTATGCCATTTTTGATATTTGGTATCTGAGTGTGTGGGTGGTGTTTTGAAATCAACCCTTTGGAAAGACTACAAGACAACTGTGTAAGAGAGGGTTATGAAAGCCAGGAGTGGTGGCACATGCTAATCTCAGTACTTGGGAGGTAAAAGAAAGAAATCAGGACTTCAATGTTACCCTTGGCTCCATACTGAGTTTGAGGACAGTCTGGGGTATGAGACTATGTTCCAGAAACAATCACCCACACCTAAACCAAAAATGAAACAATAAAGAGTTTGTTTGTTGAAGCTTTATGAACAATAGTTCCCTTCAAAGTGGTACCTTTTCACTCATGGATTCTTCAAATTTATGGTTAAAAAGACATTTATACACTCTTCCTTCACCAGCTTGTGTCTGTAAGATAAAACATACACATCATTACTATTAGCTAAGTAGTTATGCTATGATATACCCAGTCTTACACAGAACCTTGAAGACACGTTAATAGAAAACTCAAGTGAATCTCTTACAATTTGATACCTGAGTCAGTAAAACTTTATAATCGGTGACTCTGATAGTTAACACTAAAAATTCAAAATGGCAGGAAGAAAGGGAGGGCATACAGGTCACTCAGTCCTTTTTTGAGTCAGAAAAGAGATCAGTGAAATATGTACAAAGCTTAGGGGTCTAGCATGTATATGGGACTGCATTCAATCCTCAGTGCGCGTGAGCACACACACAGCAGCAGCAGCAGCAAAGGAAAGAAAAAAAAAAGGAAGGAAAGCAGGAAGGAAATGTAGATGGACAGGGACTGAAAGGTATCTCACGAATCAGCAAGCTCTATCCAAGGATAAGGCTTTAAAGTTAGATAACTTTTTGTTTGTTTTTAGACATTATTTCTCTGTGCAGCTCTAGCTGTCCTGAAACTCTATAGACCAGGCTGGCCTTGAACTCATAAGATCCACCTGTCCCTGGCCACCATCTATTTTAATGACCTTAATCAAAACCACATAAAAATGTAATGTATCAGAGGTTTAGCTATCAGACATGAATAGGACTTCCTGGTGAACAAAGATTCTTATAGATAAAATAGATTTTCCTTTTGATTTTTTGAGATAGGGTCTCTCTACATGGCTGTCCTGGAAGCCATTCTATAAACCAAGTTGGCCTCAACTCAGAGAGAAGATGCACCTGCCTCTGCCTCCTGAGTGCTGGGAATAAAGGCACTCACCACCAACTCACTGCAGATAAAATAGGTTTTCAAGAACAGTAGCCCGTGCCTTTAATCCTAGCACTTGGAAGGCAGAGATGGAAGGTAGAGGCAGATGGATCTCTGTGAGTTTGATACCAGCCTCGGCTAACATAGTGACTTCCAGAATAGCCAGGGCTATGTAGAGAGACCCTGTCTTTAAAAAACAAAAAAACCAAACCAAACCAACAAAACAAAAGAAAAAAAAAAAAAACCCTCAAATTAAAACGTGAAAGTAGAAAAAATGTGTTCAAACTGTCAGAAACAAACTTATTAGATGTTATTTCTTCAAAACTGAGCATCCAATACTATTTTTTGTACCTTGGGACCAATTCTATCTTCTACTTCAGTGGCTTTTCTATTTGTGCCTGTTTGTGATGGTGTAGTTCATTCTGGAATACAGTACTACAGATATTTAAAAAAAGAAAGGAAAAACAGCTTCATAGTGACTCACATTTTCACAAAAGCGTTCCCGATCATCTCGGCAAGCAAAATACAAATGCCGGTCTAAATGAAAGTCATCCGAGGACAGCTCAGCCACCCGGAGAATGGCTTTCTTGCAGAGTTCAGAGACTTGAATCTTGGGCTCTTTTTCTTCTGCTTCTTTCACCAGGCCCTTTTCCAAACATGACACCACCTCACCTTGTGAATGTGCATCCTAAAATAGCAAGGATATTTGAAAACTTTTACAATATAGGGATCAAATAAACATTTGTTCTATAAAAAAAAAAGGTGTGTGTGTGTGTGTGTGTGTGTGTGTGTAGAGAGACTGGAGAGATGGCTCAGCAGTTAAGAAGCACATTCTGGTCCAGCAGACGATCTGGGTTCATTTCCTATCACTTATGTTGACGACTCACAACTGCTCAGAACTCCAGCTCCAGGAGATCCAAAGCCTCCTGGCCGTGTCTCTTACACACACACACACACACACACACACACACACACACACACACACACACAATGTTACAAATGGAAAATAGGATTCTTGGGAATTATTCTTTAGATTTTTAAAAAAGTTTTATTTATTTATATGTGTGCATTGTATTTGCACATGTGTATGGGTTCCTGTGGAGGCCAAAAGAAGGCATCAGATCCCCTGGAGCTGGAATTACAGGTGCTTGAGAACTGCCTAACACAGGTGTTGGGAATTGAATTCTGGTCTTCTGCAAGGACAGCAAGAGCTCTTAACCAAAGTTATCTCTCCAGCCCTGAAGTCCTAAGAATTTTGTTCCTCTGCAAGAGCAGGGAATGCTTTTAAATTCCAATAAAATTTTATTAATTATATAATATTTTCTTATATAACCATATATTAGAAAAAAGTCTATCTGAAAATATTCACTGTCTTGATAAGCATTTAGAAGTCTGGTGGATATTTTTTTTCTTCCCTTCATTCCCTGTCCTTCAACCAACAACAATAACACTAATTTCAGACAGTAAAGAAGAGCTGCACTTTTCCTTGGTATCAACCATTCTCCAGTTTGAAGTTTCTGATGGTTCCTGTGACTACTTCAGTGGACTGAAGGAAAGACTGAACTATTTGAAGTAACTGATTAACAGCAGGAAATACTGAAATGAGACCATTAACAACGTGCAGGAGGAGTGGCCCTGCAGCACAGGTCCACACTGAGCAGTCTCATCAGCCACACGCCATTTTCCTTCAAGATGTGAGTCATTTACACTCTCACTTCTGGAAACCTGCCCTTTCATTCTGGCATTTACTTAGAAAATTCAAAAGGTTTTGATAATATATCTTCTTTGTTCTAAAATTTATTTTGAGAAAAAAATCACTAAAGTTGAAATCATGATATTATTTTACATACTTATACAGAGGAATGGTGAGGACAGATTAGCCCTGAATCCTTTCTTCTCTGATCCTTAGATCAGTTTCAGTGGCAGCAAGTTTGAAGTTTGGCCCTAGAGGATTAAACATGCCCGTGGCCCTACAGGAAATTACATAGGAAGGAACATGCTTTTTCTATGAGGTAGGCTGAGCCCGTATCACTGTCCCTTAAGCATAAGAAAACTTGGCATGTGAAGATGGATCTGGTATGAACAGAAATTTCATTTAACTGGTAGCTATATCAAAAGATAAAAATGAATTGGGTGTGTTAGTTCACACCTATCATCCTAGCATTTGGGGAACTAGTCTAGGCTACATACATACATACATACATATTTGTTTGTCTCCAAACAAACAAGCCAAAATAACAACAAAAAGATAAAAATGATACAAGTGTACTACACCTGGAAGGCTCAAGGAAGCATTCTTTGTTATTTTATTAGAACCGAATAAACAATTTGTGTTGGCTTTCAGTTCTAGCCACTGCAGACTTAGAAACATGCAGCTGAAAGCAGGTTTTTGGTATTGTTTTTTTTTTTTCTTTTTCGAGACAGGGTTTCTCTGTGTAGTTTTGGTGCCTGTCCTAGATCTTGCTCTGTAGACCAGGCTGGCCTCGAACTCAGAGAGATCCACCTGCCTCTGCCTCCCAGTGCTGGGATTAAAGGCATGTGCCACCTGCTTTGTTTGTTTGTTTCTTGAGACAGTAACAGTAACAACAGCCTTGGCTGTCCTGGAACTTGCTCTGTAGATCAGGCTAACCTTGAACTCACAGAGATCCCCTTGTCTCTTCCTCCCCCAAGTAGACCACCACTGACCAGCATGAAAGCAGGTTTCATACTGGTAATTCAGACAGGTGAGGAAACTAACCAGCTCTTGCTCAGACAGGCAATAGGCAAAATTATCATAAAGGGGAACGATATTGTATGATCACTGAACACAGTGTAAAAATGTATCAAGATTCCTGAAAAGTATGTCAGGAGCACTAGTGTGGAGATTTTATAATGAATGAGGTTTTGAGTCAGATATAATCCCCATCTGATAATTTCAGCTTCCTAAAATTATCAGGGTGTCTCAAATATATTTGTGCCATTTCTAGTCTGTTAAGACAAATGCATTCTTTCTTAAACAAGCCTTTCCTTAGTTATCTGAAAGCTTCATGTCAAGATTACAGAGTTTTTTGGTTTTTGTTTTTGTTTTTGTTTTTGTTTTTTTTTTTGAGCTGAGGATCGAACCCAGGGCTAGGCAAGTGCTCTACCACTGAGCTAAATTCCCAACCCGATTACAGAGCTTTTAAGGCTGACTTAGTGTTAACAGGAATTTTATCACTGGTCAACTTCGAGACACTGACAGAGGGAACAGGACCTGTGCTGATGTGAAGAAACACCAGGGTTTGCTGACAGGCAGACAATGCTCAATATTAAATCCTTCATTTCAGCTACAGGGTCCTAACACAAAAGGTCCACTTGCAAATCGTAAGCAAAGAGGACAAAGAAACAATGTGTTTTCTTCTCCATCTTAGGTCCTAATCAAATCCATGAGAAACAGCAATAAGAACTGATGCCATGTCTTTAAGTATCTCTCCCACTGCATTCCTTATTTTTCATAAATTTCTTTCATTTTTGCTGAACAAACAAGTCCAGAACCAAATGTCCATTGTGACAACCTGTTTACAGACAAATACAGCGGTTCTCAACCTATCAGATATTTACGTTATGATTAACAGTAGCAAAATTACAGTTATGAAGTAGCAACGAAAATAACTTTATGGTTGGAGGTCATCACAACATGAGGAACTGTATTAAAGGGTCACAGCATTAGGAAGGTTGAGAACCATTGGACTAATAATTTCAAACGTAAGATCGGTTGTACTAAGGAAGAAGAAACTAGATGATAGTTATTTCTCTTCTGTCTTTATTATAATCAGTTTAATCAGTTCATTAAGAAAAATCAGTTCATTTTTCTTCTTCTGACTAGTGAGAAGTAGCTTCACCTGTCTTAATTTTTCTACTTCTGAAAACAATACAGTGAATACAGTGATGATCAATCTTTTTTGGGGGTGGGGTGGGTGGAGGGGCTTAAGACAGAGTTTCTCTGTGTAGTCCTGGCTGTCCTGGAACTCACTCTGTAGACCAGGCTGGCCTCAAACTCACAGAGATCCATCTGCCTCTGGCTCCCGAGTACTGGGATTGAAGGCGTGCGCCACCACTGCAGGTTATGTGATGGTGAATTCTAACTGGTAACTTGACTTTGTGCTTTAGAGTCACTTAGAGAAAAACCTCTGGGTGTGTCTGTGAATATTTCCAGAGTTGTTTAATTCAAAGTAGTCAAAGAAGACTACTTTGAAAAAGGTGCAGAGGTCCTGAACTGAAAACAAAGGAGAAAGTGGAGGAAGGATATTGTCTTTGTTTCCGAACAGTGGGTGGCATATGACCAATCAGCTCAGGATCTCACTGTATTGGATCTGCTCAGGAAGCCCAAATAAATCCATCCTTCTTTCCTTAAGTTGCTTCTGTTAGGTATTTTGTTACAGCAACATGAAAAGTAGCTAATATAAATGCTGAAATATTGTGTTGCAAACCTACAAAATGTCCTAAGTCAATCAGTCTTGGATCATAGGAAGTCTATACAAGTTTGTTTTAATTTGAACTTTCAGATCACCTCAAGTCCTACTTTTCTCCCATGTGAGTCACACAATAGTTTTCGTTTACCAAGTTCATAGGTTCATTGGAGAAGTAAATGTAGTAGATACCTTTTCACCAAGACGAATACTGCCACATTTCAAAATGTTGATGTCATTTTTGCAGTCATCCATGAAGCCACAAATCAAACGGTAGTCACTGAAAATGATAGCTGTCATTTTGGTAATGTATTGGTGACACTGATACTCAGTTATGTTGCCTCGGTGATCCACCAAGCAGGAAACCATGTAACCTTTACCAACTGGTTCTTCAGCACATTCTTTAATCTGTTTTAAAAAAAAAAAGTAGCTACTTTACACATATAAAAATCAAGAAACCACATTCAAACCATCACTGTATTCACTGGTATTTTGTTATTGTTTTTGCTGGAGATAATATCTCACTATGCAGCCCTGACTAGCCTGGGACTCTGTGTAGCAGGCTAGCCTTCAACTCAGAGATCCACCTGCTTCTGTCTCCTGAGTTCAGACATTAAAAGCTCTTTACATAGGAGACAAAAAAGAGGATGTGCTGGGCGGTGGTGGCACACACCTTTAGTCCCAGCACTCAGGAGGCAGAGCCAGGCAGACTCTGTGAGTTCGAGGCCAGCCTGGTCTACAGAGCGAGATCCAGAATAGGCACCAAAACTACACAGAGAAACACTGTCTCAAAAAACAAAACAAAACAAAACAAAAGAATATGTTTAGAAATACATTGGTTTTAAGGAAAGACAGTGTTATTTCATGATGTGGTAAAGACATAGAATTTGGCTCTTACCCATGGTTCCTCATAACTTCCTTGCCCAAGTAAGGCTATAGAAACTAGGATTTCTCTTTCCTGATTCAGGTCATAAAAGCCCTAATACTTCCCATCTTTCAACACTGGAAGATGGCTATTACGTTCTCTGAACTCCTGAACTATCCTTCCCGGGGCAGTAGGTCATGAGAACTCTTTTATTCTACGGGGTCATGTCAGTATCATAGAATGCTGCAGAGGCCAAGAAGAATGCTGACAGGCCTGGCTGATTTCCCCGCCCACTTTAATATTGGATATACACTGAAGTCTCCATAAAAACCGGAAGAACAAGGTTTAAGAGTTTCTAGATAGCTAGACATGCAGATTCCTAGAGGGTGGGGCACCAGGAAAGGGGCATGGAGCTTGAGGCTTTTCTCCTAAACCTTGACTTAATGTATCTCTCCATCTACCAGTGGTTCGCAACCTGTGGGTCTGACTCCTTGGGGTGGGTGTTGAAGGATTCTTTCACAGGGTCACCTAAGAACGATTAGAAAACACAAATATTTACATTATAATTCACAACAGTAGTAAAATTGCAGTTGTGAAGTAGCAATGAAAATAATTTTATGGTTGGAGGTCACTACAACATGAGGAACTGTATTAAAGGGTCGCAGCCTTAGGAAGATTTAGAACCAATGATTTATATCCTTTCAAATGTCATTTACATTTGAAAGCCAGTAAATGTGTTTTCCTCAATTCGCCACTCAAAGTGGCGAAAAAGGATTGCGGAAATCCTTTTTCCCCCACTTTAGACAGAGTTTCTCTACAGAGCCCAGGCTATCCTGGAACTCACTATGTACACCATGCTGGGTACTCAGAGATCCACTTGCCTCTGTGCTAAATTAAAGGTGTGCACCACCATGCCCGGCTGGACCTCAATTTTTTTTTTAAAAAGATTTATTTATTTATTTTAACAGCATTCTCCCTGCATGTATGCCTGTATGTCAAAAGAGGGCACCAGATCTCATTATAGAGGGTTATGAGCCATCATGTGGTTGCTTGGAATTGAACTCAGGACCTCTGGAAGAGCAGTCAGTGCTCTTAATTTCTGAGCCATCTCTCCAGCTCCTGGACCTCAATTTTCAACAGGTCAGAATAACTGGTTAAACCATCTAGGACCATGTAATGTGGTAAATGCAAATAGTAACAGCTCTTAGGAACTCTGGAGGAATGATTTGGGGTTATAAGTGAGCCTTGACTGTATAGTCAAACTTTGCCTCTGAAAGGGAGGGAGGGACATAAGGAAAGGGGGGAGGAGAGAAAAGAAGTCCAACCTCCCTTACCCCCCCCCCCCCCCAATCTAGGACTTCTGACTGGTATCTAAAGGGTGACAGTAGGGTCCTGAAGAGTGAGCACTCAACTGTGGGGTCTGGCATTGTCTCAGATGGGCAGTGTTAAAACTGAATTAAATTAGAAGAAACCAGTCTAGGCAAGCTGATGACCTAAGTGCCTAACTGGTGCAGGGAGAAACCCTAGACATCTGATCAGAAGTCTTCTGTGTTGGTTGTGGTGTGAAATAACCAGAGAGAAAACATGATTTATTTCTAGACACACGTCTCTACCCAGAGCTAAAGTTCAATTCCTACTGCTACCAAAACAAACAAATAACAACAAAAAACACCACCCAAAAGGAACTCTACCCAGATTATAGTGTCTTCTAGGAAATAACTCAATGTCTTGAAAGAAAATACATTCACATTCAAGTGCTTACAAAGAACTCTTTTCTAAATGGAGTAAAAAGAGTTGTTAACATCTACACCCTTAGCTAATAGAGGGGTCATTTTAACCAGGCAAGAATGGAGTGAACATGAATCTAAACAGTAGGTCTGGAAAACATGCAGATCTGAAGGTCAATCTACACAGCAAACTATTGTCACTGGATAAACCTAATGGCCAAAGGAGAGGAGAGAAGACATAATGTAGAGTGATCTCAATTAATTATGGATTTAGACATACATTTCTGAACTTAACAGAAACCAAGCTCAAGAACTATGGTCTTTCTGGGAGGTGGTGGTACATGCCTTTAATCATAGCATTCAGGAGGCAGAGGCAGGCAGATCTCTTGAGTTCAAGGCCAGCCTGGAATGCAGAGTGAGTTCTGGGATAGCCAGGGCTACACAGGAAATCCTGTATGTATAATTCAGCTATCATTTGGCTTAAAAGGGCTTATTGGGAAATGTTATCATTTATACTATTTTCTACAGAGAAAATATTTTACTGTTTAAAATAAAAAAATAAATTAAAAAAAAATCCAATGCCGGCACCTACCAAAACACACACACACACACACACACACACACCCCCAAACCAACAACAACAAACCAAAAACCAAAAACCTGTGGTCTGAAAAGGCAATTGTTTGGTGTGACAATAAATTTAGGGAGGGAACATACAATCCAGTGGGCAGAGTAAATTGATATGGTTAATGCTTCTGCAAAGTCATCCCAAACCACAAATGCTAAAGAAGCAAACTGAAGTCAAGGAGAAGAAATTCAGCCACTGAAAAGTGAAACCGGGGGCTGGAGAGATGGCTCAGCAGTTAAGAGCACATACTGCTCTTTCAGAGGACCCATATAAGGCAGCTCACAACTAACTATAACTCCAACTCTGGGCAACACCTCTGGCCTCTGTGGGAACCTGCACTCACATACATATACCCAAACAATATATATAATTTAGCAATGATGATGATGATAATTATAATAATAATAATAAATCTCAAGGAGCTGGGCAGTGGTGGCATATACCTTTAATTCCAGCGCTTAGGAGACAGAGGCAGATGGATCTGTATGAGTTTGAGGCTAGCCTGGTCTACATAGAGAGTTCCAGGACAGCCAAGGCTACACAGAGAAACCCTGTCATGAAAATACCAATCAATCAATAAATAAAATAATAAATCTTAAGGGGCTGGAGAGATGACTCCATGATTAAGAACACTGTTGCAGAGGACATGGGTTCAATTTTTACCACCCAAATGGTGATTCACAACACCTGAGTTCCAGGGGATTCAACACTTTCTTCTTCTTTCCACTGGTAATGGGCATGGGCGCGCACGCGCACCGCGCGCGCACACACACGCGCACGCGCGCGCACACACACACACACACACACACAAAGGCAACAAAACAAAACAAACCCCATGCACATAAAATAAATCTTTATACAAAAGGTATTTGCCAGACATGGTGGCACTCACCTTTAGTCTCAGCACTCAGGAGGCAGAGGCAGGCAATCTCTGAGTTCAAGGCCAGCGTGGTCTACAAATGAGTACCAGGACAGTAAGGACTACAGAGAAACCCTGTCTTGAAAAACCAAACCAAACCAAACCAAACCAAGCTAACAAAACAAAAAGGTATTTTTTTAATCTGCGGAAGACAGCAGACAGCATGGACCTCTCCACCCTTTCCCCGAGCCTCTGAATAAAGTGTTTTGACTCTAAAAAAAAAAAAAAGAAAGAAAGAAAGAAAAGGCTGTAGTCAGAAGTTTTCCTGTGTCCTGCCTGGTCCACAGCCGCTCAGACCCAAGTAAACACACAGAGGCTTAGATTAATTATAACTGCTTGGCCATTAACTCAGGCTTACTACTGACTAGCTCTTACACCTAAACTCAGTCCATTTCTGTTAATCTGTATGTTGCCATGTGTCCCATGGCTTTACCTGTGTGCCATTACATGCTGCTCCCTGGATGGTGGGCTGGTGTCTCCTCACTCAGCCTTTCTCTCCCCAGAATTCTCCTTGTCTGCTTATCTTACCTATACTTCCTGCCTGGCTACTGGCCAATCAGTGTTTTATTAAACCAGTGTACAAAAGCATTATCCCACAGCAAAAGGCCTTTACTGGGTGGGTCAGGTGTGATGGTGCATGCCTTTGATTCTAGCAGAATTCAAGGCCAGCCTGGTTTTCACAGGCAACTCCAGGCGAGTCAGGGGTGTACAAGGTGAGACCCTGCTACTAATACAATGAAAGAAAACCAGCCAAATTCAAGGAGGGAAATTATCTCGGTGAACATGTATATGCATCCAACTAGATTTCTATATGGCAATCAAGCAGTTTATACTTAATACTGACCCATAATGGGGCAAAACAAATGTGTATGCATGTGTTTGCATCTATGTACAGATACCTTATTGCATCCAAAAAAGAAAAAACAACTTACTAAAAACTAATAGCTCTATCTATAATACAGTTGGAACACACACATTTATTGGCCAAGCCTGAGTGCATTTCTTTGTTTGAATTCTTTCTATTACTAAGCAAATACTTCTCCTCATATTTTAAGATTGGAGACTCAGTCTTATAGTTATCTAAGAGATTCTGAAATGTAGAATATTAAAGCTAGAAACTGAAAAACAAATTTTCAATGATTTCTACTCTGTTTTTAAGCATCAAGGTACAAATGAAGAGCCATGGTTTTAAACCAATAGCATATCAGATCTAGTATGAGAAGGTAAGATGAAAGAAAGGTGTATCAGCCTTCCAAAATGGCAACCCAAGGACCATAAACCAAGGGCTTATCTGGAGAAAACAGTGCCTTCCTCAAGCACTCTGGACAAAGTAGTTCTCATGTGTTAGTTTGATGACAACTTACTATGCTTCAAGACCCTAAGTAGATAACTGTAGATTGGAAAAACTCCCCCCCCCCCTTTTTTTTTCTGAGTCTCATACTTCATTAGTTAGAAATCTCTTTCTGAAATCTTTTTTGTTGTTGTTGGTTTTTGTTTTTTTGAGACAGGGTTTCTCTGTGAAATAGTCCTGGCTGTCCTGGAACTCACTCTGTAGACCAGTCTGGCCTCGAACTCACAGAGATCCACCTGTCTCTGTCTCCCAAGTGCTATGATGAAAAGCATGTGACACTACCACCCGGCATCTTTCTGAATTCTAATAGAAATTGAAAAGAAATTTCCCATAGCCAGCTGTGGTGGTGTACACCTTGAATCCCAGCAGCGGAGGCAGGTGGATCTCAGAGAGAGGCACATGGATTTCAGAGTTCTACATACTGGGTTCCAAGCTATATTGTGAGATCCCATCTCAAAACAAACAGTGAGATATAGTTTTATTAATTGTTTTTGTCTTTATACTCAATTTATAATTATATAAACATTGATTATTATTAGCCTTTTAAACACTAATGCCTATTCTCTGATACATGTGTTCAACAAACCCAAACTGCATAGCCAAGTCATTTAGGAAGGTCTATAGGCTTCTGGAGAAATCTATTCTGATAACCTCAGCAGCTGTACTGTTTATCTGAGAATCACTAAGAAAGAACCTGATTTCCTCGTACTGTTTCAGTGGGGAGTCACAGAAAGAAGTCTAGTTAAACATCCTTCTTGTACCACAACAAGGCAGATGAGAACGCCAAGAAAAGTAAAGCAATTGAGTCATCCCCTCAATAAGAGGTTGGTCAACAGATTCTACTTTGTCTTATAAATCACAATATCCACAAAATTATTTCACACTCTACCTCTGATATAGTTGACTTGCAAACCTCTCTGGCCACAGATTCAAATTTGGATCAGTAGTGAGGTTCAGCTTGTAATTCCACAACAACTGGGTTCAAGAGAAGAAGAAAACAAAATAAGACAAAAATGCTCTGGTTAGAACACCATGAAATTTGTCATCAGTGATTATTATAAACGACAAAAACTAATTATACAGTCATATAAAGCATATTTTACAATTTCCAGTAATACACAAAAGTCAATCACATTCACAGATAAAGCACAAAATATATACAAACATAATTAAAGCAGCACCCACCATTCAGATATTCTTTTTGCTTTCCTCCTAAATGACATGTTTTTAAAACTATGAATTAAAATTACGTGGTACATGGGCTAGAGAAACAGCTCAGTGGTTAAGACTATGTACTGCTCATGCAGAAGACTAGAGTTCAGTTTCCAGAACCCATGTTCTGAGGCCTCCAACTCCAGCTCCAGGGATCTGACACCGCTTTTCTGACCTCCATGGACACTGCACCCATATGCACAAACCCACACACAGACATAATAAAAGTAAAACTAAAAAAATTCTAAACTACGTGGTATCAAGAAAAAAACTAGCTGGGTGGTGGTGGCATACACCTTTAGTTCCCAGCACTCGGGAGGCAGAGGCAGGCGGATCTCTATGAGTTCGGGGCCAGCCTGGTCTATAGAGTGAATTCCAGCAAAGTGAGGGCTACATAGAGAACCCTGTTTCGAAAAACCAAAAATAACAACAAAACACCAAACCATAACTAAACAAAAAATAAAGAAAAAAACAAAAAACTTAAATACTAAAGTCCCTGATGAAGTTTTAGAGAAACTATCTGCTTCTAAAAAGTCTGTCCCAAATGCTCCAGATGTGGTGGAGTTTGTCTGAGGATTCTCAGGACAGTGCTTTCCACAGATCAACCTTAAGGAGAAGTGCTCAGACTCTAGTTTCCAGGAATATCTGTCTTTATTCCTTGAAAACACTGACTGACCCTTCGTTATATGGTTTACTTTAGAGTTGTTTGGCTTTGCTTTTTAATTGATTTCAATGTGTGTGGGAGTTTGACCTGCTGAGTTAACTACCACCCCGGCATACCTGTCTCCTTTCAAGGTGCTACTTACTACAGAGTAGATATCCTCCTTTTTATTTTTTGTTTTTATGAGATAGGGTTTCTCTGTGCAGCCTGGCTATTCTGAAACTCACTACGTAAACCAGGCTGGGCCTCTACCTCATAGAGATCCACCTGCCTCTGTTTCCTAGGATCAAAGGCATATGCTACCACATTTGGCTCACAATAGGTATCTTAATGAAGAAGCTGTCAACTGATAAGCAGACATTAATTCTTTTTTTAAAAAGATTTATTTATTTATTATGCATACATGTTCTGCCTGCATGTATGTCTGCAGGCCAGAAGAGGCGCCAGATCTCACTACAGATGGTTGTGAGATGGTTGCTGGGAATTGAACGGCAGGACCTCCAGAAGAGCAGTTGGTGCTCTTAACCTCTGAGCCATCTCTCCAGCTTCATTAATTCTTTTTATATGGTAATTGTAATAAGAAAGACCAAGAGTATACAATTATTATTGGTCACACCTTAAGGTTTCTACAGCAAAATAGTTATGTATAAAGTTCCGTAAACAAGGCTTATCATCCTTTTTTTTTTTTTTTTTGGTTTTTCAAGCCAGGGTTTCTCTGTGTAGCTTTGTGCCTTTCCTGGGACTCACTTGGTAGCCCAGGCTGGCCTCGAACTCACAGAGATCCGCCTGGCTCTGCCTCCCGAGTGCTGGGATTAAAGGCATGCGCCACCACCGCCCGGCACTTATCATCCTTTTAAAACTAATAGATTCAGAGAAAATATAAAGCTTCCAGAAAAAGATGAAAAGGCATCCCAAAATCTGTCATCATATTTATAAAGCACATATGGTAAGTTAATGAAAATTCATACTTAACATGATTGCAGTCTGAAGAAATTTCATTGTCAGGCTAGAGAAAAAAAAAAAAAGAAAGAAGTTGTTTTTCAAAAAATGAAACAAACACTAAAAACCCAACCCCTTAAGTTTTTAAATATCACAAAAATAAAGTTAAAACCAGAATCTGAATATTTAATAAAACATGTCTCTTCAGCACAAGGAGTACACTGGAGCTGACACTCCTTCCAAATTCCTAAGAAGAAAAGTACCAGAAAGGTGCATGAGAAACAATCCCTTCTCTATCAATAGTTACAAGGTGGAAATGGGAAAGCGTACTAACACAGTAATGCAACAGCAACATAAGAACTCTTTTTTATATGACCTTTTCTAAGTTTGAATGCTAATAAGGAGTGGTTGGAGAGATGGCTTAGTAGTTAACAGTACTGGCTGCTCCTCTCAGGGACCTGGGTTCAATTTCCAGCACCCACATGGTGGCCCACAACCACCTGTGACTGCAGTTCCAGGGGATCCGAGGCCCTTTTCTGGATTCCATGAGTACTGCACACACGTGGTGCACAGACACACATGCAGGCAATCACACAATTCATATAAAAGTAAAAACAAATTAAAAAAGAAAACTAGAGGATCAATATGAGCTGGGTGCAATATGAAAAGGCAAGGCAGGTGATCAATGTGAATTCCAGGCTAGCCTGGTCAACACACAAAGAAACCGGTCTCAAACATAACATCACAGAGAGGATCAATATGGGGGTTGTTTCATTAATAAAAACAGACATTTAAAAACCAGGATTACTGAGCTGGGTATGATGGCCTCACTCCTGTATTTCTAGCACTCGGGAGGCTAAGATAAGAAGATGGCTAAAATTGTGAGGCCAGGCTGAGCTACAAAGTTAGACTCTACTTCAAACCCTCTCCTCCAAAACCAAAGCAATCAACAAAAACACCCTAGGCTTATCAGAATACAGAGGAGGTCAACGAAGATTTAAAAACTAGTGTAGGACATTTGAAAACAGGGCAGGAGGACTGTCAGTTTGAGGTCACTCTTATATAGCAAGACCCTGTCTCAAAAAATAAAAGTAGCTGAATACAGCAACTTGGGCTTATACTTATAACCCCTGTACTTGGGAGGCTGAGACAGGAGGACTGATGTTAGTTTGAAGCTAACCTGAGATAGATTGTGAGTTTAAGGTCAGACTGGGTTTAGTCTGAGAGACCTGGTCTCACATAAACAACAAACAAACAAATACATTTGAAAAGAAACTCAGGATTCTGGGGAGAGCCCTAATTCCCAGCATCTATGCTGGGTGTCCTAGCTCCTGCTCCAGATGATCTGATGTCCTCTTTCAACCTCCACAAGCACCTGCATTCATGCTCCCACCATATATATATATATAGTTTTAATAAAATTAAAATTCTAAAAAAATGCCGCGCAGTGGTGGCGCACGCCTTTAATCCCAGCCACTCGGGAGGCAGAGCCAGGCGGATCTCTGTGAGTTCGAGGCCAGCCTGGACTACTAAGTGAGTTCCAGGAAAGGCGCAAAGCTACACAGAGAAACCCTGTCTCGAAAAACCAAAAAAAAAAAAAAAAAAAAAAAAAATTCTAAAAAATCCAAAAACATACAAAAATTAAATAAAATAAAAATAAGTAAATAGCCGGGCGGTGGTGGCGCACGCCTTTAATCCCAGCACTTGGGAGGCAGAGCCAGGTTGATCTCTGTGAGTTCGAGGACAGCCTGGGCTACCAAGTGAGTTCCAGGGAGGCGCAAAGCTACACAGAGAAACCCTGTCTCGAAAAACCAAAAAAAAAAAAAAAAAAAAGGTAAATAAATAAAGAATGAACAAAAATATGGGATTGTGCCAGGAAGAATGTTGCTCTTCCCTGGACTGCCCAGTCAGGTGCTCTGAAATGACTTGCAATCCACCAGGCTCGGTAATAGCGGCCTAGCCTGACGTTGTTGTTAGGAGCTCAAGCCCGGGACAATGGCACCTATGCCTTCCTTGTGTCATCATTCCACTTTGTCTCGGCCATTTTTCAAAAGGAAGGAAAAACCCTTCTGATTTCTTCCTTTGTTAGTTACCTATGGCCTAGAAAACTACAGAAGAACGCAATAATAAAAAAAGGGAGTGAGGGTGCTCGGCGGCGGCGCACACCTTTAATCTCAGCACTCAGGAGGCAGAGGCAGGTGGACCTCTGTGAGTTCGAGGCCAGTATGGTTTTTTTTAGTTTTAGGGTTTTCTGTTTGTTTGTTTGTTGGGTGGTTGGTTGTTGTTGTTTGTTGTTTAACTGAAGGAGAACAAGCAATGGTGAGGTTAGAAGCCCGGAGTCACAAAAGTGACAGGGCTGCAATTTGCACACACATATTTTAGGTCTGATGTCCAGGGGCTTAGCTTAATTCACTATGTGTGCTTGGGGTGGGGGATGTAAAACTCTGTGACAGTCCTGAGAGAGCGAGAACTCATTAACAGCTGAGCCACTAATGGAAGATCAGTTTATCTGCTGTCAATGTCTCCAGAGGCCACATTTCTAATTAGAGTGGAGTAAATTTGCTGTTAAACAGTACAGTGCCGTGGGGATGTCTTTCTGTACGCTCTGAATATGTGTTGCTCTGATTGGTGATAAATAAAGCTGTTTGGTCAATGACGAGCAGAATAAGGTTAGGTGGTACAATGAACAGAAGAGAGAGAAGAAGAAAGGAAGGTGGGAGAGACGCGGCCCCACCACAGAAGGAGCAATACGAAGTCAGCAGACTGGTAATGCTACGGTCACATGGCAAACATACAGATTTACCGAAATGGGTTAATTTAAGATGAAAGAGCTAGCTAGCAAGAAGCTGAAGGGATTGGCCATACAGTCTGTAATTGATATAAGCTTCTGTGTAATTATTTTATAAGTGACTACGGGACCGTAGGTGAGAGATTCGTCCCCACCACAGGGCCAGCTGGAACACAGAGAAATTTCCATCTACAGTACAGTTGAAAATGATGCAAAAGTAAATAACAAAATGGAGCAGTTTTATCCAAAAGTGTAGTAATGGCTAGTTATTGCTGTGAGGAATTGGAAATCACATAGGGGAAAGTTCTTTGGAAAATGAAGTAACTTTTACATAAATGTATAAACAATAAACATTACTTTAAAAGAAAAAAGAATTAATTGTCATTTTTAGGGGAAGCTAGATGATGGGTACACCAGATTTCAAATGGGTACACTATTTTCAAATTTCTTTTAAAAAAGTTTTATGGCTGGGCAGTGGTGGCACATGCCTTTAATCCCAGCACTCAGGTGGCAGAGTCAGGTGGATCTCTGTGAGTTCGAGCCAGCCTGGGCTACAGAGAGATCCAGGACAGGAACCAAAACTACACGAGAAACCCTGTCTCGAGAAAAAAAAAGGGGGGGGGTCGCTGAAGGTGAGCCAGGCCACCAGCAGAAGGTGCTGCGGCTACATAAGCACGTGCTGTGCCACCTCGAGTCGTGGTGTGTTCACAGGACAAATTCCGGTACTTCGCTTGTTTGTTGAGAGCCTGGTTTGAAGAACACAAGATGAGAAGGATTGATGAAGGCCACACAGCTGCTGAGGGATGCAGAAGAATAATTCTGGCAAAATCAGCATCCTCAGCCATGTATCTTCCCAGACTCGCCTGGGGGTACCTCCTATGAGAGATATGAATGCTACAAGGTTCCAGAATGGTGCTTAGATTACTGGCATCCTTCTGAGAAGGCAGTGTATCCTGATTACTTTTCCAAGAAAGAGCAGTGGAAGAAACTGAGAATGGAAAGCTGGGATCGGGAGGTTAAGCAGCTGCAGGAGAGACACCACCTAGTGGTACTTTGACTGAAGCTTTGCTTCCTGCCAGAAAGGAAGGTGACTTGCTCCCACTGTGGTGGCATATTGTGACCAGACCTCGGGAACTGCCTACGTAGACACAGGACCTCAATGTTCATGCTTGCAAGTGAAAGAAGTTACAGAACATGTTCAACACTTGCCCTAATAAAAATAACTAAACACGAAGGAAAAAACAAACAAAAAAACCAATTTTATTTATTTGATGTGTTTATCTGTTTGTATGTGTACCATATGCATTCCTATGCCCACGGAGGCCACAAGAACTGCAGTTACTGGTGGTTGTGTACTGCCAGATGTGGATGCTGGAAACTGAATTCTGGTGTTCTACAGCCCCTATTTTTTCAAATTTCTTCTATGTCTATATTGGAAAAACAGAATGTTGGGCTGGCAAGATGGCTCAGCAGGATGAAATCTCTAGTGCCTGGGAGAAATGTCAGTTTCCCCCACCTTTTAAAACTTTTACGAAAAGTTTTTAATCTTCCCAACCTGGTAAAACTTGTTTACAGAAAGCACTCTGACCCTCATCTTTCTTTTAAAACCAGTCAATTGAGCTGCTTTTAATTCCAGCACTTGGGAGACAAGGCAGGAAGATCGCTGTGAGTTTTGAGGCCAGCCTGGTCTACATAGCTTGTCCCAGGACAGCCAGGGCTTCACACAGAGAAACTCTGTCTAGGCAGAGAGAGAGAGAGAGAGAGAGAGAGAGAGAGAGAGAGAGAGAGAGAGAGAGAGGCAGGCACTGTGAGGTTGGATCTCAACCAGTAGGGAAGACATAGTCACCACCTGAATTAGAATAAAAACTAAGTGAACTTCCTGCTCACTGCGTGCTTGCTAGCCTGGTTTGGATAGTGGTATACCCTTTTTGCAAAAAGCAATTGGCTTGTTCAGATACTTCACTTTGTTCCCATGCTCCTTACACTAAGATTATTCTTCCTTTGTTTCTAACACACAGAAGCCAGACATCATAAATTAACACTCATACTTATTTATAAAATATATTTAAAATGGACTTAATTAGGCTGAGGGTAATGATTAGATTACAACACACTACTGACGAATTTTTTACCTTCCAAAATTTCAATAAGAATAAATACTTTAATGCTTTTGGGTCCCTGAAAATCAGCCTCCACACTATGAGTTAATCTAGTTTAACTTAATCTTTCATTCAAATACATTTCTACTAAACAATTTTGGATTAAAAGAGTATTTGTCA